AGACTCGGAAGTTTGGAGCATAATTGAGCTTCTACCAAGAATACATTATCTCAGCATTTTCTCAGTTTTTTCGAAATATAATTTTTTCATTTTTTAATATGTTAACAAGAATTAATTTATCTATCGATTCATGTATTTATTATGAATTTTGAACAAATATGAGACTCGGAAGTTTGGAGCATAATTGAGCTTCTACCAAGAATACATTATCTCAGCATTTTCTCAGTTTTTTCGAAATATAATTTTTTCATTTTTTAATATGTTAACAAGAATTAATTTATCTATCGATTCATGTATTTATTATGAATTTTGAACAAACATGAGACTCGGAAGTTTGGAGCATAATTGAGCTTCTACCAAGAATACATTATCTCAGCATTTTCTCAGTTTTTTCGAAATAGAATTTTTTCATTTTTTAATATGTTAACAAGAATTAATTTATCTATCGATTCATGTATTTATTATGAATTTTGAACAAATATGAGACTCGGAAGTTTGGAGCATAATTGAGCTTCTGCCTACATTAACTCAGCATTTTCTCAGTTTTTTCGAAATAGAATTTTTTCATTTTTTAATACGTTAACAAGAATTAATTTATCTATCGATTCATGTATTTATTATGAATTTTGAACAAATATGAGACTCGGAAGTTTGGAGCATAATTGAGCTTCTACCAAGAATACATTAACTCAGCATTTTCTCAGTTTTTTCGAAATAGAACTTTTTCATTTTTTAATATGTTAACAAGAATTAATTTATCTATCGATTCATGTATTTATTATGAATTTTGAACAAATATGAGACTCGGAAGTTTGGAGCATAATTGAGCTTCTGCCTACATTAACTCAGCATTTTCTCAGTTTTTTCGAAATAGAATTTTTTCATTTTTTAATACGTTAACAAGAATTAATTTATCTATCGATTCATGTATTTATTATGAATTTTGAACAAACATGAGACTCGGAAGTTTGGAGCATAATTGAGCTTCTACCAAGAATACATTAACTCAGCATTTTCTCAGTTTTTTCGAAATAGAATTTTTTCATTTTTTAATATGTTAACAAGAATTAATTTATCTATCGATTCATGTATTTATTATGAATTTTGAACAAATATGAGACTCGGAAGTTTGGAGCATAATTGAGCTTCTGCCTACATTAACTCAGCATTTTCTCAGTTTTTTCGAAATAGAATTTTTTCATTTTTTAATACGTTAACAAGAATTAATTTATCTATCGATTCATGTATTTATTATGAATTTTGAACAAATATGAGACTCGGAAGTTTGGAGCATAATTGAGCTTCTACCAAGAATACATTAACTCAGCATTTTCTCAGTTTTTTCGAAATAGAACTTTTTCATTTTTTAATATGTTAACAAGAATTAATTTATCTATCGATTCATGTATTTATTATGAATTTTGAACAAATATGAGACTCGGAAGTTTGGAGCATAATTGAGCTTCTACCAAGAATACATTAACTCAGCATTTTCTCAGTTTTTTCGAAATAGAACTTTTTCATTTTTTAATATGTTAACAAGAATTAATTTATCTATCGATTCATGTATTTATTATGAATTTTGAACAAATATGAGACTCGGAAGTTTGGAGCATAATTGAGCTTCTGCCTACATTAACTCAGCATTTTCTCAGTTTTTTCGAAATAGAACTTTTTCATTTTTTAATATGTTAACAAGAATTAATTTATCTATCGATTCATGTATTTATTATGAATTTTGAACAAATATGAGACTCGGAAGTTTGGAGCATAATTGAGCTTCTGCCTACATTAACTCAGCATTTTCTCAGTTTTTTCGAAATAGAATTTTTTCATTTTTTAATACGTTAACAAGAATTAATTTATCTATCGATTCATGTATTTATTATGAATTTTGAACAAATATGAGACTCGGAAGTTTGGAGCATAATTGAGCTTCTGCCTACATTAACTCAGCATTTTCTCAGTTTTTTCGAAATAGAACTTTTTCATTTTTTAATATGTTAACAAGAATTAATTTATCTATCGATTCATGTATTTATTATGAATTTTGAACAAATATGAGACTCGGAAGTTTGGAGCATAATTGAGCTTCTGCCAAGAATACATTATCTCAGCATTTTCTCAGTTTTTTCGAAATATAATTTTTTCATTTTTTAATATGTTAACAAGAATTAATTTATCTATCGATTCATGTATTTATTATGAATTTTGAACAAACATGAGACTCGGAAGTTTGGAGCATAATTGAGCTTCTACCAAGAATACATTATCTCAGCATTTTCTCAGTTTTTTCGAAATAGAATTTTTTCATTTTTTAATATGTTAACAAGAATTAATTTATCTATCGATTCATGTATTTATTATGAATTTTGAACAAATATGAGACTCGGAAGTTTGGAGCATAATTGAGCTTCTGCCTACATTAACTCAGCATTTTCTCAGTTTTTTCGAAATAGAATTTTTTCATTTTTTAATACGTTAACAAGAATTAATTTATCTATCGATTCATGTATTTATTATGAATTTTGAACAAATATGAGACTCGGAAGTTTGGAGCATAATTGAGCTTCTACCAAGAATACATTAACTCAGCATTTTCTCAGTTTTTTCGAAATAGAACTTTTTCATTTTTTAATATGTTAACAAGAATTAATTTATCTATCGATTCATGTATTTATTATGAATTTTGAACAAATATGAGACTCGGAAGTTTGGAGCATAATTGAGCTTCTGCCTACATTAACTCAGCATTTTCTCAGTTTTTTCGAAATAGAATTTTTTCATTTTTTAATACGTTAACAAGAATTAATTTATCTATCGATTCATGTATTTATTATGAATTTTGAACAAACATGAGACTCGGAAGTTTGGAGCATAATTGAGCTTCTACCAAGAATACATTAACTCAGCATTTTCTCAGTTTTTTCGAAATAGAATTTTTTCATTTTTTAATATGTTAACAAGAATTAATTTATCTATCGATTCATGTATTTATTATGAATTTTGAACAAATATGAGACTCGGAAGTTTGGAGCATAATTGAGCTTCTGCCTACATTAACTCAGCATTTTCTCAGTTTTTTCGAAATAGAATTTTTTCATTTTTTAATACGTTAACAAGAATTAATTTATCTATCGATTCATGTATTTATTATGAATTTTGAACAAATATGAGACTCGGAAGTTTGGAGCATAATTGAGCTTCTACCAAGAATACATTAACTCAGCATTTTCTCAGTTTTTTCGAAATAGAACTTTTTCATTTTTTAATATGTTAACAAGAATTAATTTATCTATCGATTCATGTATTTATTATGAATTTTGAACAAATATGAGACTCGGAAGTTTGGAGCATAATTGAGCTTCTGCCTACATTAACTCAGCATTTTCTCAGTTTTTTCGAAATAGAATTTTTTCATTTTTTAATACGTTAACAAGAATTAATTTATCTATCGATTCATGTATTTATTATGAATTTTGAACAAATATGAGACTCGGAAGTTTGGAGCATAATTGAGCTTCTGCCTACATTAACTCAGCATTTTCTCAGTTTTTTCGAAATAGAACTTTTTCATTTTTTAATATGTTAACAAGAATTAATTTATCTATCGATTCATGTATTTATTATGAATTTTGAACAAATATGAGACTCGGAAGTTTGGAGCATAATTGAGCTTCTGCCTACATTAACTCAGCATTTTCTCAGTTTTTTCGAAATAGAATTTTTTCATTTTTTAATATGTTAACAAGAATTAATTTATCTATCGATTCATGTATTTATTATGAATTTTGAACAAATATGAGACTCGGAAGTTTGGAGCATAATTGAGCTTCTGCCTACATTAACTCAGCATTTTCTCAGTTTTTTCGAAATAGAACTTTTTCATTTTTTAATATGTTAACAAGAATTAATTTATCTATCGATTCATGTATTTATTATGAATTTTGAACAAATATGAGACTCGGAAGTTTGGAGCATAATTGAGCTTCTACCAAGAATACATTAACTCAGCATTTTCTCAGTTTTTTCGAAATAGAATTTTTTCATTTTTTAATATGTTAACAAGAATTAATTTATCTATCGATTCATGTATTTATTATGAATTTTGAACAAATATGAGACTCGGAAGTTTGGAGCATAATTGAGCTTCTACCAAGAATACATTATCTCAGCATTTTCTCAGTTTTTTCGAAATAGAATTTTTTCATTTTTTAATATGTTAACAAGAATTAATTTATCTATCGATTCATGTATTTATTATGAATTTTGAACAAATATGAGACTCGGAAGTTTGGAGCATAATTGAGCTTCTACCAAGAATACATTATCTCAGCATTTTCTCAGTTTTTTCGAAATAGAATTTTTTCATTTTTTAATACGTTAACAAGAATTAATTTATCTATCGATTCATGTATTTATTATGAATTTTGAACAAATATGAGACTCGGAAGTTTGGAGCATAATTGAGCTTCTACCAAGAATACATTAACTCAGCATTTCTCAGTTTTTTCGAAATAGAATTTTTTCATTTTTTAATATGTTAACAAGAATTAATTTATCTATCGATTCATGTATTTATTATGAATTTTGAACAAATATGAGACTCGGAAGTTTGGAGCATAATTGAGCTTCTACCAAGAATACATTATCTCAGCATTTTCTCAGTTTTTTCGAAATAGAATTTTTTCATTTTTTAATATGTTAACAAGAATTAATTTATCTATCGATTCATGTATTTATTATGAATTTTGAACAAATATGAGACTCGGAAGTTTGGAGCATAATTGAGCTTCTGCCAAGAATACATTAACTCAGCATTTTTCAGTTTTTTCGAAATAGAATTTTTTCATTTTTTAATATGTTAACAAGAATTAATCACTCTTGTTTTTCCGTTCTTTCATTAGGTTGGGAATTAATCGATTAATTGGAATACAAAAAATTATTATGACAAATCTTCATTTAAGATAAAGAAAAAGAAAAGAAAATCGAAAAACAATTTAATTATTGTTGATTTTGATGATTGTTTCGATAATCTTATTGAACCTGATGTTCTCGTTTTCAAACGACCTAAAGAAATTAGTTGTTCACTCAATTGTTTCAAGTAACAAATAACTTACGGCAGATCACAAAACTTGTCAAAACATGCGATAAAACGAACAACCGTCATATTTGTTGTTTTAACTTCGCGGGCGATTTCTGTCGGAGTTTTTCTGTAAGAAATATATTTACTCCAACGAAGAAGCACTTAAAAAACTCACAACTGCGCGGCTTTTTCAAAAATCAACATTATTTTTTCCAGCTGTAGTTGAGTATTTTCGAATGGGGACAATTTTCGAATAGGTGCCCAATGTTTTTTGTTCTTTTGACAAACAAACTGAAAGAATCATATTTAATTAGGTGTCAGGTGTGTTTTTCGACTGTTTTCTCAACATTGGGAAAATTTAAAAATTACGTGAAAAGAATTGCCATTAAATCGACTTACCTTCTCATAAACACCACCAGCATCTTTCACCAATTCCATATTTCCACCACATTTACATTTTTCCATTTTCTTAAATAAATCGATCTCCCATAAAATTTGAATGAGTTGGTTTCCCTTTGCAATTTTCAAACTAGAATAATCGTTGATTGCTGTATAACCGCAATTAGTGTAATTTTCAGAGTTGATAAACTTACGTAGGGATGTTTTTTTGAGTTGGTCATTCCTCATATTCAATTTTTCTGCTCTCATAGTTTGAATTCCCATAACAATTTTGTGTTTTTCATTGCGTTTTTCGCCGCCGAGCATTTTCTAATCTAAATACCACAAATGATTTGTTGGAGAACAGAAATTTTCCAGAAAATTAAATGACGTGTCATCTTCACGTCAAAATAATAATAATATATATTCTCTGGTTTTTTTGTGTATAGTCGCACGTTTTTTAAAAACAAAAAACATGCTTTTTCCGATTTTTTTCTTTTTTTTCAAATATTTTTAAACCTTTCCAGTAAACCGATAAATGTGATAAATTTCAGATTATTGGAAAGTTCTTGTATGAATCTATTCAGCAATCATCAACGATGAATTCTATTTTCGTTTGTTGAAAAAAATCTATTATTTTTGTACTTAAAGGGGGAAAGTGTACTTAAAGGGAAAGGGAAAGTAAGTCGAAAAAATTTTATTTTCTCAAAAGATCGGGCCCCCTTTGAATCCGATGTCCGATAGGTATGATTTTTGAAGTTTTTGAAGAAAATTGATAAAAAGGGTTTTGAAAAATTAGGAAAAAAATCGAATCTAAAAGTATACCGGGATATTATGAAAAGGTTAAAATTGTTTTTTTTAATCACATTCAGCTCGAACCAAATGTTTTGTTTGTTCGTTTTTGTTCCTTTCTCCTTTTTCAATTCCCGGTGTTTTTTTTCTGTATATTTGTTCATCAGAATCATGTACAATGATGATTTCTGAAAACAACTAGTTCTGAAAATTTTTAATATTCGATAAAAATAATCTATACAAAAGCGTGACCTTTTAACGCGCCTTTTTTTTTTGAAAAATCCAAATGAAAATTTCAGTTTTTAGTGATTTAATTTTAGTAACTCACAGGGTGTTGTTATCGGAAAAGTAAGCAAATTATTTCCATTTTGCTCTTCTTCAAACAAACCTTTTTTCCAGATGAAATTTGATGACTTCCTATTCAAAAATTTGGGCGAAATCGGAAAATTTCAAATAATTCAATTAATTTTTGTCTGCATTCCAATGGTTCTTGTTTCTTCTGATGGTTTGAGTTGGACATTTGCATCATTAGAAACACCATTTCGATGTAAAGTGCCTGAAGAAGGAAACAATAAGATTTATAAAAATGAATATTTGAATTTCACAAAATGTTATGATCGGAAAACAGAAGAACGGAAGAATATTGAAGATTGGAATAAAGAGGGGATTACGGTAATAAAACATGTTTGGGGATGAGATAAGTAGATTTGATTTTTCAGTGTGAATATTCGGAAAAATGTTGGTTAGACGGTGAAAAATGCGAAGAATATGTGTTCGATCACTCATATATTTCATACACCGCAACTGAAAAGGTGAGAAGTTGTATTTTAGAGGAGGAGGGGAGCGGTGGATCGAATCAGATATATTTGAATTTTTTTCGGAAGCACTTCTTTGGCTCAACAAAAACCGACCAAACCTGAACAAAATACCAAAAACCCTAGCCAAAAAAATCCCCGCATTCCTAATTCTGACAAAATCTTAGGAAAGGGACTAAAAATGGATCTCCCAGAAAATTTTTCAAATGAAGTCTAGAGATTTTGGGTAGTAAAATACGACTCAAAGTGACGCAAGAATAAACGAATTCTGAAAATTCTGAAAAAACCCAAAAGTCTTTGACTCAACCCATTCGGCTTAAAAAATGGGAATTCCAAAGTTTCCACATAAACTTCGGAAAAATTCTGTTCGGAGTTCTAGAAGCGAAATTACGGAATCAAAATCGGAAGTCAACTCGGGGCTTCTGAATTTGACATTCCAACCCTGCCATACATCAAAAACATTTTATTTTCAGTGGGGAATAGTTTGTGATCACAAATGGATAAAAGCTTTAATCCAAGCTGTTTATTACATCGGTCAATTAATTGGCTCATATCTTTTCGGAATAATTGGCGATAAATTTGGTCGAAAAGTTGCCCTATATATTGCACTAACTCTTCAAATTCCCTTCTGCTTTCTGATTGTTTTTTCGCCTTGGTGGATTGTTTATGGAATTGGTCGATTTATGATTGGATTTTCACATGCTGGTGTTTATTTATTGGCAAATGTTGCTGGATTAGAGACATTTGGACCAAAATATCGGAGAATGGCTGGAGTTGCTATTGGAATGTTTTCAGCGATTGGACAGATTGCACTGGGTGTTATTGCGATATTTGTGACAAATTATGCTCATTTACATTTGATTCTTGCTATTCCAACTCTTATTTTTATTTCGTATTGGTGGTGAGTTAGACAAAATCTATAGAAATTTTGAGAAGAAAAACGAACTGAATGTTTTTTTAGTCAGAGTTTTTCTCAACAAAAAAAAATTAATTCGGACCAGGTTAGGATTTGGAAAACACTTAGAATTTCTAACACCGGTGAATATTTCAGGCTGGTTCCTGAATCTCTTCGCTGGCTTGTCTCAAAACAATATTACGAAAAAGCTGATAAAGTTCTTCGGAAGGCTGCAAAAATAAATGGAAAAGAAATCCCAGATGAATGGTGGGATGATTTGGATAAAAGTAATAGTGAGGAAAAATGCGAAAATCTCACAACTGCTGATCTTTTTCGAACAAAAGAGGTTAGAAAGCGAACATTGGTCTTATTTTTTGTTTGGTAAGAATTATTTCTTTTCTGGTTTTTTGAAAGTTAATATACTGAAACTAATATTTTAGGCCAACAATTTCAATGGTTTACTACGGTATCTCAATGAAGGCTGATGTTTTGGGTGGTGATATTTACATGAATTTTATAATATCTTCTGCTATCGAAGTTCCTGCAATACTTTTGGTTGCATTGCTCAGCGATCGTTTGGGTCGAAGATTATTAGTTGCAGGAAATTTATTCATATCTGGAATTGCTTTGATGCTAAATTTGATAATTGATAAAAATGTGGGATTTGTTATAGCAGTTATTCAAATGGCTATCGCAAAAGGATCAATTACAACAGCTTTTGCAACTTTATTGATTTATTCACCAGAATTATATCCGACAGTGAGTAGAAATTCAGAAATTCTAATTCAGAAATTATATTTTTGAACATTCAGATAATTCGAAATACAGCAACTGGATTGTCAGCAACAATCGCAAGAACTGGTGCTATTTTGGCTAGTTTCATCTCAATGTGGATTGTTGAAAGATATGGAAAAATATACATGATTATCCCATTTGGAACTTGCGCTATAATCGCTTCAATTTTGACATTTGTATTTCTACCAGAAACTATGGGAAAACCATTAGCAGATACGATGGCCGATATTGAAAATAATCAGGAATATGAAAAATTATCGAATTCAGAAGAAACTGAACCGAGTTCTGTGTCTTCGAAATAAAATTTTGATTTTTCAAAAAAAAAATTTATTGTTTTCATAAATGCCAAATTAATCAACAAATAATCAGACCGAAAAAAGAGGTCGAGACAAATTGTTTAGAAAATCACTTATTTTGTGTGTGAAGCTAAAGTTTTCTGAATTCAACAAACTGAAATAACCCGTAAAATATTATGGTGGTGCACAAATTCAAACAAAATTACGTTGGATTTTACAATCAAGTGATCCTCCGATTTCAGCATCCGTAATTGATAATTCCTCAACAAGCCATTCAATCAATTCTTCTTCACTCATCGATAGAAAATGAGCAATTTTTGCATATGATAAATTGGGTCGATAGGCTTTATTGATTGAATTTAGAGCACGTTTTCGTTCTCGATCCACAAAAAGATCCATTATGAAGGGACACATTTTCGGAGCATTCTGCAAAAAATTACTTGAATTACAGTTGTATTTTTTCAAAGTTACCTCAAATAGCTTGAAAAATTGAACATAGTTTCCCATGGCAACTGCTTTTCTCACTTTCAACGCAAATTGAATACATTCTGCCTCTTCTAATTCCGGCGTCAATTCTTGTAAAAGCGAATTAATGTCAATCAAATTTTCCATCGCAATATAATAAAGTAATCGATATGACACAAATTCAGCTTGATGTTCACAATGACCACCAACTTCGGAATAAAGCAATTTCAATTGTGATTGACATTGATTGAATTCCTCGCGATCTTTGTTTTCCAATGATATTCTTGCATTTATTTCATAAACTTGAATAGTAAAATCAGTCCGAATTCTTTGAACAGTTAAATCTTGTCGAATTGATCGCAGCTGACTTGATAAATAACGATATTCACATTTTTCTCTGTATTTATTTTTGACATTATCAAGTGCTAAACGAAGAATATGCAAAGGACGAACGACTGTTGGATCGGGAGCCTGGAAAGAAAAATAAGAGATGAAAATGTGAATTTTGAGAGAATTGATTATTAATACTCACCGCTGTCAATCTGAAATATGATTTTTCGACTTCAAGACACAATCCTTTGATAACTTGTCCTTTTTTAATATGATGTTGACTTGCAGCTAAACTAACAGGTTTTGAAGACTGAATAGTTTCTGCAAATCGTCTTGCTCTTTTCTTCTCGTTTCGATTGTGAATCATCATATTCAAATCTCCATTGATTCTGTTTTTGTTGTTGTTTCTCCAATTTCCTCGCTTTCTTATCTGCCTTTTTCTCGCTTTTTGTTTTCTTTTTCTGAAAAAAATCAAACTTGTTGAAATATTTTTGATAGGATATAAAAATGGTATAAAATAAATCATGGATGAATAATCAATCTGAAAAGAATGCCCCCTGTTTTAGAACCTTTGACGCGCCACTGCTCATAATCTCAAAAATATCATTAGAAGACGAGGATTCTTCCGAATCTCGCCGACCACGTTTCTTTGTTGATCCGTATTCGTCAGACTGTCTACGAGGCGGCGATTTCTTGCGCGCAAATCCGTTTGCAGCGTAGGCTAGCTTATTTGCGGGCGTCCACAGAGTTGGTAATTCATAATTACGCTCATGTGGAAGTGGTTCATTATCCCAGTTAACTGTGTGAGCTGTTCCAGCGCTCAACATGGGGTGAAGACGTTTCTGAAGATAATCTTGAACTTTCATTCGATCTTCTGCCGTATTGGCTGATTCGAAAGATCGTTCCATGTAGCGCCTGAAAAATTCAAGATTATTATTTGAAAATCTTCTAATTAGAACATACTGTACACTTGGAGGTGTTGCTGGAATTCCTCCTCCTCCTGCTGCTGCTGTTCCCATTTGCGATTGCATTCCTCTACCTCTTCCATTACTCATATTACCATTACCTTGTGGAATAAACGAATTTGTTAAATGTGGAATCGCGGCAGTATTATTAGTCTTATTCAAAGTAAACGGTTGGAATCTATTATTTTGCTGCTGCTGTGGCTGCTGCTGATTATTTTTCTGATTCCAATTGTTTTGATTGTTCTTTTGCTGTCCTCTTCCTCTACCTTTTCCAGCCCATTGTTGTTGTTGATGCGGTTGCATTAAATTATAATTAAATTGCTGCTGATTATAGTTTACATGTTGTTGGTTCCAAGTGGATGGATGAAAACCACCACCAAATTGATTTTGAAGGGGACCACCGATTACAAAACCCCCTTGAGGGCCAGAAGGCGCACCGGCAACCGGCATATTTAGATTATTCATCCACGATAACATTCCCGGTTGTTGATTCTGACCTGTATAATATTCTCCGCCACTTTGTTGCTGATGTTGTTGCTGTGGTTGCTGCGGCTTCATAACCTGCAGACAAATTGTAATGACAAGATAAAATGAATGAGGTTTTCACGTGAATTTCTAAAAATTCCACATTTCTCACCTTTTCCAAAGCTTCTCGCGCTTTTTTCCATGCTTCTGATTGTTCGCCTCCACCAAAATCTGTTGAATTATCTCTGAACAAATAGCATGTTCATCTATCTTGAATGAAAAAATAGATGAACTTACCCCATATCTGTAACCAAAACAAAACCTGTGCAGAAAATGATCCAGTCCTAAAATGAAATTCTTGAAGATATTTTTTGAGAATAGAATTATAATAAACTGTTTGAACAAGTAATTTTTCGAAAATGAATCGAAAAATCGTTCGAAAGACGCACAAAAAAGTTATTTGCCATGAGCGAAAACAGGGCAGTGGGACAGCGGAGTAACGTTGGGAAAAACATGGATGTTTTCGCACACATATGTGTACATGCTCTAACGCAATAAAATACAAATAGATATTTAGTTTTGGAATACGAAACCAAATTTTGAATATCAGACACACACAAAAACAAGAATATTCATTAAACTTTCCTAAAAAAACAAAAATTGAAATTATTTTTCATTTTGAGATTTCCATTCTCGATATTCTTCTAATTTTCTTTGTTGAGAAGTCATTCCAGTTCTTCTTGCTTCTGAACGCTCTCGAATATAATCATCGGTTATTTTTGCTCGGAACTCAGGATCGTGGAATCTAGAAAAATTATATTTATTTTCCATATAAATTTTATCTGTTTTATAACCTTTCATATTTACATCTATTGAATATTTCAAGTGCCGGTTTGCATGTATTCAAACCAGAAACAGCTCCATCTTTTCGAAAACATGTGATAAGCCCAAGATATGATTCATTACAAGCATTTTTCTCGATATGCGCATTCATTCGATTCGGGATTATGACATCAGCTTCAATTTTTCGCAATGTTCGATCATCCGGGTCACCTAAAAATGCATTTTTTTTGTTTAAAAATAAAAAATCTCATAGTTATTTGACTTACCTAATCCATGTGGTCCTCCAGCCGAATAATGTGGCATAATATTTTTCTTCACTCGATATTTTTTACCGGTTTTTTCATCGGTCACTACTTCTCCTTCGCGAAGATTTTCAAGATTATCTGTGATGTTCACAGTTGTTGCAGACATCTGAAAATGTTTTAAGATTGATTTTGGTACTACTGCAGGGCTTGCGGTGTGAAAAGCACAAAAATCCCGAAATGCACCACCACAGTGCCCCCAACGCGTAGGCAGAGAAAAGTTGTGCGCATTTTTGGTGCATGTGCGGTAGAGCGCACAAGCCTGTTTGTCGGTTTTTTGAAAATTTAACACTAGGTTTTTTCTTGAAACGATTATAATTAAATTATACGTGCATGAAAACTCCCAAACTGAGCTATATGTTCTGGAGAATAATGAGAGGAACGTTTTGATATAAAACATGTGAAGATTGGATTCAAAATAAATTAGTTATTCTCTTTTGAAGAAAAACAATTCAAATTTTATGAAGGAAAAATGTGATTCGGCACTTGTTTTATGATAAATATGTGAATTAGAATACTTTTAAGGTGTCTTAAGAATTATTTGATCAAAATAAACTTCTGAAATCTAGTTTTTTGGTCATTTTTGGGCAAATTTCGATGGAAAAGAAAATAACAAAAACTGCATAATTTTGAATTATTATTGATTCCACATACTTGAGGAGTCCTATTTCAATGTTTTAGAAGCATAAAACTGAATTTTATCAGCTTTCCTGGCTCAAAAATGATGTTTTTCAACAAGCTATTTTTTGAAGAGCTCTTGCTCATTTCATTCTCAACCATTTTTCATGAAACAGCTTGGAACAGCTTCAATTTTGCTTTGTCTGTCTTCTCCATACTCGATTTAGTTACAAAAATTCCATTTCCAGCATTTTTCAGCAAGAAAACAAAAGCGCAAAAAAAGATGAGAGAGTGCGGTTTGCTGAAGAGACGGATGAGAGATAGAAAGAAAACGAGAGAGTGTGTGGAGTGTGGAGTGCTGGCGCAATACGCGTTCGGGACACTGTGACCACCAGCGCGCTGCAAAAATCGCCTCCACAAAGGACTAGTTCCCGACAACTTCGGCCAACAGAAAAACTCGGCCACGGAATTTTTGAATGGATTTTTTTTTTGGAAAAAATGGAAAAAACTTCTATTCCCCAATGAAGCTTGCTATAGCAGTTATAGAATATACGAAAAAACCATAAATATAGATAACATCATTTTGCGCGAATTCGCAAAGTTCAAATTTCTGGCGCCATATGGCGACTATTATTGTTTCATTTTCTGAAAATGTGAAACATAATGTTTTTTTACGTCTTGTTCTCGGTTTTTGCAATAGTTTTTTGTGATTCTGGAATTTGTGAATCACCAGAAGGAGTGAAATGTGATTGTCAAAGTTTTGAAAATGAAATGAAGGTAAGTTCTTATCTGGTCAATTGTACAACCCTTTGAAAATAACCCTAAAAAATTTAACCCTCTGAAAATAAATATCCCTCGGACTTGAACAACCCTCAGAAATAACCCTCTGAAATTGAAATTTCCTAGAAAAGGGTGTTTTTTCCAGAGTTTTTTGAATTACAAAAAGTGAATTTCAGAAAACATGATTATTTATTCCGGATAATTACATAATAATGTGAAATATATACTTTTTCAACTTTTAGGTTGATAAAAAGTTTTTCTTAAAATATGTTTTTAGTCATTTCTGTCAGAGTTATTCACAATAACTATAATTTACTGTTATTGTGAGTAATTTTCAAGCCCTCAGAATCAGAGGGAAAAAATTCTTAGGGTTATTTTTTTCCAAGGGTTATGTTTTTTCAAAGGGTTAAATTTTTTAGGGTTATTCTCAAAGGGTTGTACAATTGACCTCTTATCTCATTTTCTGTAATTTTTTGAAAATCATTTTTTCAGATAAGCAATTGTTGGAAGAAAGGTGAATGGTCAAATTGGTCAATTTGGTCAAAGTGTCGATCAGGAATTCAAAAACGAAGAAGGAAATGCAATAATCCAGCACCTTTAGGAATTGGCCAATTTTGTCGAGGAGATTCACTTGAAAAAAGAACTTGTAGTGATATTCCTGAATACATTTTCAATTCTTGGACAAGTTGGAATGAATGGACAACGTGTGATTGTTCGAAAAAACAACAATCACGGTGAGGGTTTTTTAAAATACTATAATTTTTAAAAATTCAAGTTTTTCAGAATTCGATTTTGCCAAAATGAGTCTTGTGAAGGATGTAATTTTGAACAACGAGATTGTTCGAAAGATTGTCCAGATGTTCGAAAATGGACAAAATGGTCAGCATGGTTTCTTGATGTGAATGGAAATGAGGTTCGATTTAGCGCATATACTTCATCGAATTTTGGAATTGTTGAGCTTGTGCAAGAAAAACGAGAGCGAATTCAAGAAAATAGTACGTTACACCTTTTCAATTTTCTGTAATATTGTATATGTATATAATTTTTTCAGTTCAATGGTCAAACTGGAAATTCACATCAAATATTGCGTATCGATTTCGAGTGTTATCTGAAACTGTGATCGATTTCGAACATTACATGATCCATCCTAAAATTAACACACTGGTTCCAATTTATATTACAATGTTTGTTGGAGGTATCGGCTTTATTTGTGGGTTTACTGTTCAATGTTTTTTGAGTTGGATTTTCGGAAAAATTTCTTCATATCGATCAGTTTCATCAGACTATTCGTCTGGCCAATTTTATTGATCAAATAAATAATTACAACAAAACATTTATTAACAAATTGAAAATTTAAGACAAATAAAAATGTAAAGAAAAATTGTATCATCGAAAAAACATTCTAGAATTGTTTTTCGTTTGAGCAGATATTCAGAACTCAAAAATTAATCAAGTCGTTCACGAACAGTTATTGATCGGGAAAAATGTGGACTTATGCATCGTCCAAAGTGAAAAAAAATGCGAAAAATCAAAAAAAAAACGTCCAAACTGACGCATTTTTTTTCGCAGAAATCGCATTTTTTCGAGCACCTTTTTCGCGTTTCCTGGTGTTTTTCGACCCAAAATGGACAGAAATTGAAAGAATTTGTCTGAAATGGTGTTTTTATTGATACTGGAAGAAAAATCAATGGTGAAACATGAAAAAAAGCGATTTTGAAAATTTCAAATTTTTTCGACTTTTTCGAAATTTTTTCGACAAACTCATTTTTCATGTTTCACCGCTGATTTTTCTTCCAGTATCAATAAAAACACCATTTCAGACAAATTCTTTCAATTTCTGTTCATTTTGGGTCGAAAAACACCAGGAAACGCGAAAAAGGTGCTCGAAAAAATGCGATTTCTGCGAAAAAAAATGCGTCAGTTTGGACGTTTTTTTTTTGATTTTTTTTTTTCACTTTGGACGATGCATTAGTGTTTCTCGGGTCCGTTTCAAAATGTTCCGAAAATTCCAAACCGATCAAAGTAACTGTTCATGTTACCGCATATGATTAAATCAAGGGATGGGACGATAAATTTATAAAGTTAAAGTGAAACCGGTACAAATACCATTCGATACACCTGCCAGGCTCAATTTATCCTGTTCACACTTATAAAACTTATCAGGCTAATTCGGGCAGCTGAACAAACCAGGGCTTACAGTATTAAAAATCTTCTCTGTTTTACTTCAACCCAGCTCATGGATTACAAGCTTGTTTATATAGATCAACAAAATATCAGAACAATACCGTACTGTTACCCAGCGATCTAGGACGTACTTACGCTATAAAAACCTCGTTTTTTGAATTTACCTATGCTTAACCAAATCAAAAATAATTCAAAAACTGTTAATCAGAAATAGATCATCTCAGAAGTGGGGGGGGGGAGAGAAATCCATAGATCATCGATGGTCACTAATAGTCCAGCAGAAAATTCATGCACTGTTGTTGAAATACAATTTTTTCCATTCACGTCGAGTACCAATAGTCTTCATAATAATTATCAAAAAATTCTTCATCGATAGTTGCTCAGTAGCACCATAATTCAGGCAACGTTATGTTGAAATATAATATTTTCCATTCACGTCGTGTACCAATAGATTTACATAATAACAATCATAAAGTCACCAAATCATCATCGATAGTCGATAGTTTATCAGCATACCATCCGCGTGTCGTTGTTTGAAAGAAAACATTTTCCATTCACGTTGAGTACCGATAACAATTAAGACCAATTTCCAAGGCTTTTGGGGAGGCGGAAGAAGAAGAACCAGGATAATAGCCAGAATTTTTATCTGATCACGATATGATCAATCGGACATCTTTGAGTGATCAGGAGTTTCAGGGAGGATAGTAGAAGACGGACAACGTTGTGTTGAAATACATTTTTTCCATTCACAAGTCGAATTCCGAGATCGGGGATTTGTAAAATATCATTTGGTCACCAATTGCAAGATCTCGAAGTTCTTAGAAACATCTAGACCTCAGCTCCAATAATGGATCAAGTTTCGATTCATCAAATAACAGAAGTACACATTTGCATCATTTTTGATTGATTTATCATATTAATATAACCACTTGATACCAAATATTGATACACATCTCATTACAAAAAAAATCCACCGAACTCGGGGCCAAATAACTACGTATGTCTTCATTTTATTCAGGAAGGTTCTTCCAACCCTCAACCCGGGTTTAACACCCAAAAATGAGAAGTCACATTCTTCTGAAATAAAACAAGACGATTTTGGAGAAAAAATGCATCAGAAAATGAAATTTAAAGATCCATGTTGCGAGAAGAAATAAAAGTTCACGTTTGAGAATTAAGAAAAAAATACGAAATTATTGAAAGTGAGTCATTTCAAAAGATGAACCCATCAGAAAATATGGCAAATTAAAATAGAAATTGTGGAAAATTGATTTAAAGTATCAAGTAGTATAAAATGAGCAATGCAACAGAGAAAAAATACAATTTTTAACATAAACAATTAACTTTTGGAAATAGAATTAAAAAATAATAAACATTTTGATCAAAACTTCATGCAAGATTACGAAATTATTGAAAGTGAGTCATTTTTAAAGAAAAAGAAATCAGAATTTTTTCAATAAAAAAATTCCACTCTTTCAAAAAAATTTTTCAATGTAAACTGAAAATATTTTCACCTTAAATATTTCTGAACGCTTTTTTAAAAAAAAATAATGACTTTAGCATGAATTTCAAAACATTTCGAAACAACCCGGAAAATTGATGCAATACTATAAAATGAGCGATGCAATAGAGAAAAAGACACGACACATGTGTGTGGAGATAAAAAGAAAATATCGCGTTTCTTTTGTTCGCGCCGAAAAAAAATCGATAAAACTAAAACCAAAAATGAAAAAATTTATTTTAAAACTCAAAAATTATCAAACACACAAAAAAATGATGAAAAACATAAGTATTCGACTATTCACAAACTTGTAGCTTTTGGAATTTGTGGTAATGCTTGAGTTTCGATTATTTCAATAATTGATTTTGCCACTTCTTCTCTGCAAAAAATAAATTGGAGATAATTGAAGGGGAACGAGGGACTAATAAACATTTTTGGGGAAAAAAAGTATTTTAGACGAAGGAATCGTGATTAGCGGGTCGAAATTACTTGAAAACATACATTTTATTGACAAAAAGTTGAAACAGTTCCTATACTTTTTCCAAAAAAAAAATAGTTTTTAAATTCTAGAAATTTCAAAAAATAAAACAAACCCAAGTTCATCATCACATCTTCTTAAAATATTAGCAATCGATGAAGCGAATCCAATATATTCATCAGATTGTCGATCAGGTTGATTAAGTGTTTTCAGAACCGAACTAAGTGTATCATTTCGAGGTTGAATCTAAAAATTTTAATTTCAAAAAACATATCAATTTCCCCCCAAAAAATACCTTTGTCTGATGAACTCTGCCGCAAATTTTGGGAATTTTAGCCAAACTACCCTTCACAATTTCAGTTGTTTCTAGCATTTTCTTCATATCTCCTTCTTCAATTTGAGAAGGTTTCCAGTTTGTATGCGGATCTTCATTGATAAATTCACTGGGTAAAGGAACCAAAGCAGTTGTTTCAGGGCTCGAAAAATTCAAAGTGATGAATCCTGGCGAGTTTTTGAATTGGTCCAAAATTTCAGTCGCTGCCGCACGAAGCTCAGGATCTTCGACTGGAAAAATATATAAAGATAAAGTAAAAGGGTTTGAGAAAAAAAAATTAAAACTCACTCAATTCATCTCCTCTGGTTACTTTATGTTTTTTCTTTGGCATACTCAAAACAGGTGATCTCCTTTTCTCTGTTGTATCCATTTCTTCTTGTTCATCTGAAAAATTTTGAACATTTGGATTTGAAAAATAGCTTACAATCAATTTCTAACCCAAGAAATGAAGGTTTTTTGGTTTTTGGAAGCTTAGAATTCAAATCAAAAGATACTTGCAGAATTCTCAGAACGCCTAGAAGTACCTAATGAAAAATGGATAATTTTGACCTAAATTTAATTTTGGGGTAATTTGGAGCATTTTGAGCCAAATTTCAATATATTTGGATACTTTTGAATCCTGGATTTTTTTTTGTTTCACAGCTGATAAATAGGAAAATTCTGGAATTTTCAGCCGAAAATGAAATACATAAAAATACTCACCTTTAATACTTGGATCTTTTTCTTCCTCTTTACACATTCTTTTCGATGGTGGTGAATCCAAGCCCCAATCGCCTGAAAAGGAAAATATAGTAACTATATGGATAAAAATTGATTTTCACGTGTTACAGTAAGAAATTGAATGTTTTTCGAAAATCTTCGAAAGTTGTAAAATTTCAGGAAAAACTTCAAGGTCAATTTTTATCAGAAAATCGTCTTAAAAACTGAAATTCCTTCCTGTAACACGCATTTTTCTTGAATAAAAAATTTTAGAATCGATTTTTGAAAACATCGAAAATTCGAATTTCCGCGCGTAGATCAAAATTAGAAAAACAAAACAAAAACTCACTAAAATCTAGTCGTTCATCAGTTGTTTTGAACAAATCTTCATAACTCATATTCATCTGAAAAGGAGTACTGTAATTTAAAAAAAAACCAAAAATTTGAGACTCAAAAGTATCTAACTTTATTTTCATATATCGAGAAAACGAAGCCTCCTACAAAAACCTATTAATATCAAAAATGCAAAATGTTTTATTGAAAAAGGTAAGTATGGCAAGAAAAGTGAGCAAAACCGGGGGCGGAATACAAAAAGAAAGATATTTTGGGGAAGAATATGGCAACACGAAAAAAAGAAACAAATATTTTACAGAATTTATATTTACACTATGAATATGCTATTTTTATTCTAGAAGTTTAGAAACATTATTGTTGATAGCCATTTCATGTTTTTGAGTGTATTCAAGACTATTTTCATGAACTCGGTTGAGGTCGTATCTGAAAAATGGAATAAATGCGCGTTGTTTATTGGAGCATGTTTGGAGCAGCATATTTTTAAAAATTTGATGATAATTATTCAATCATAACTTCTAAATGCTAATTTGGATAGTGCAGGACGTATGGGTTTTAATTGAAAAACCTATACACACCTTAAGGACCTTAAAAAGGTCGTGAACTTAATTTCCAAAAATCACCGAAACTATAGGAATTCAAATTTCCCACCTACAATACTCACTCAAAAAGTTGAAAAGTTGTTCAGTGTGAAAGTTTGATAGATATTTTTAATTTCACATCAAAATCTGCCCCCCCCCCCTCCAAAAAGCTCACCTATAATTGACCATAATTCCAAAACTGTTATTGATTCCTCGATGACTTGTATCACCCATCCAATTCAATCGATATAATTCCGCACCATTTCGTAAATGGAAATTGGCTACAAAATGATTTTTTTCAAGTTCAATTTTCCCCAAAAATCTTCACTTACTAACTGAATTCAATGCATTTCCATTTCGCTTAGCTTTACATAAATAATGTGCGCAAGAATACAATAAAATTTGGCGAATTTCTTGAAGCCGTTCTTTTTTCGTTTTCTCATTTGATATAACATTGAGAAGAATATCAGTGGCTTCTTTTTGATCGACTCGTTTTCCAGCAATTCCAGAAACCCATTGAATTACTCGATCATCGACCACTGATGCTGGAAAAAATTCGAGTTTTTAATCAATTTATCGTTCAAAAAACGCGTGGCTTACGATATTCAGAATTTCCTTTCAAGTTTCTAATCAACCATGGTCTGAAACCAGGAATTGGTGAAAGTGTTGAATGTACATTTACTGATGGAACATCTTTTTGAAGTTGTATAGCAACTCTTTTAATCAACATATTTCCCAAATCAATTCCACTTAAACCAGCTTGTGTTGAAGTAATCGAATAATAAATTGCTGTTGTTTGATCTTCTTCATTTCCAATAGGTTCTCCAAATTTCGTAATTTCTTGTACACTATCTGATATTTCATCAACTAATGCAACATGAACCATAACAAGTGGAACACGTGGAAGAGATTCGTGTGAAAAATAGAAACATCTTCGAAGTGGTCCGAGTCTTTTTCGAAAATCTGAAAGTCCTCTGACTGGGTGAACTGCTTCGTATTCAGCGACTCTTTGAAGAATATCTCCTGGTGAGGACCAAGTTAATCGTTCAAGTTTCAAATTGCCGAGAGAAAACCAGGCTGTCAAATTTTCACGGCAAGCAAATTCGATATGTCGAAGTGCTTGAATCGAAGGTTTATCCAAATCTGATTTTTTGAGAAATGTAAGAATATTCGATCTCATTTGGCAAACTTGTTTTACACCATCTGGCAAATTTCCAATCGATTTTATAAGTTTTACATAAGTAGCTGTTGCCGAGTTTCTGACTTCTGGATACATTTGATCATTCTTTGAATATAAAGAAATCGCATGATTTAATGCATCCTTATTCACACCATACGAATTTACCAATCCAACAAGTATACTTTTTCTTGAATCTGGTGAAGCATTTTCATAAAGATTGACAAATTTTTCGCTGAAAGTCTGAAAAAACATAATTGAAATGAGAACAATTGTTGAATTTATCTTACCAACAATTGATCACCTGATGTTCGATCTGTTAAACCATCCAATGCTGAAGTGAGTAAGGAATAATTCCGAGATGAGTTGAATATTGATAAACGTCGCAGCATTTGGATAATTATTCAACTGAAAAAATTAGAGAATTTGAGATTTCGCACAGATTACAAGGAAGGAATAATTACAACAAACTCATGAAATTTAATTGAAAGTTGAAATAAATTTCTAATTATATTTTTCAATTTCTAGTAAATTTTTCAAAAAAAAAGCAGTCGTTTATTTCCTGAAAGTTAAATTGATCTCTGATTTTCAAGAGTTAAATTTTTTCAACTCAAAGAACGATCAAAAAGGTTTTATGCGTCATTGAAACAAGAGGTGCAAGAGAAATTTTTCGATTATTTACACTTTTCTTTTTCTTGAAAAATCGTATTTTCATCTTTTTTTTTCTTTTTTGAAAGATCATTAAGGTCAAAATAATTGATTAAAATGTATTTTCTTTCATTTTCAATGAATAATATAGTTTTCCCAGGAACTGCAACTTCTGAACTCAAAAAAACAAAGCAAAATGTGGAAAAAATAAGATCTTTTGCCAGCTGAAAAGCTACCAACTGTTATCTTTTTGTGTTGTTTATCATTCGCAGAACAACAAAATATAAAATAGTGCAAGATAAAGATACGGGAATTATATAAGAGCCTAAAAAATCTTATTACTCAATTTTAAACGGTTTTCAGTGAGCAAACAAAAACAGTTATTGAAAAATTGAAAAAGAAAAAGAAATGCGTGCGGCAATATTGCAAATATTTGGCGGGCGGGTTACCAATCAATTTGGTGCCGTCGGTCCGCCCCTTTTTTCATTTTCGTTTTTTGTTCCGTTTCCTTTTATAGAAAAATGTTGGTTTTTGGAATCAAACATCATGTTGATCTCATTCTCAATATCTCAATGAAACAAAGTTCAAACGTAACTCAAGGTTGTAACCGGTTTTTTGAATTTTATTGAAATTCCTTCTTTCAAAGTTTTTCCGTTGAAACTTGCAAGATAAAAAAGCTTATCGAAAAATTCTCGAAAATTTTTTGTGCACTTTAACACATAGATAACGGAAAAATCAGTTCAACGAACGATCTATGTTTCCTGAAATATAATTATATTTTAATTTTTAAACAGTTAGATCGTTTGAAATCTTTGTTTCTTTTTTAAAAACGCATTTCTCTTATGATGTTTCTCTCAAGTCACCCCAGGGCAATTGAAATTTTGTTAGGTAACCATGTCGGCCACCAATGTGCTCGGCAACACATTGAGAACTTCGAAAAGTGTAGTTCAAAAAGCCTTGGCTTCATCTGCTCCAAGTTCTGAAATGCTCCGTTTCCGTTCACCAGTTTTGCAAACCAACACTCAAAAATTGGCTCGCTACGGTGGTCGTCATAATGTGACTGTTTTGCCAGGAGATGGAATTGGTCCAGAAATGATTCATCATGTTGAACGAATTCTCACCGCTGTTCAAGTATGGTTTGAATTTTCAAAAGATTCGTATTCAACAAGATTTTTCCAGGCACCAATTGATTTCGAATTAGTCAATTTGACATCAAAAGAAGATGCTGCTGAAGATCTTGAAGAAGCCATCACTGCAATCAAAAGAAATGGAGTTGCACTTAAAGGAAATATCGAGACCAAATTCGATAATCCAGTATTTGTCTCCCGAAATATGGAACTTCGTAGACAATTGAACTTGTATGCCAATGTTTTGCATTGTGCCACAATTCCAACTATTCCAAGCAGACATACTGTATGTTTGATTATTTCATAAATTTCGAATTTCAAAAAAAAAAGAACTCATATTTTTCAGGGAATCGATATGGTTATCATTCGTGAAAACACTGAAGGAGAATATTCAGGAAATGAACATGAAACTTGTGCATCTCCAGCTCCACGTGTTGTTGAATCACTCAAAGTTATCACTCGTGAAAAATGCGAGCAAATTACTCGCTTCGCATTCCAATTCGCAAAGAAACACGGACGTAGAAAGGTCACCGCAGTTCACAAGGCAAACATTCAAAAACTTGGAGATGGTCTTTTCTTGAAAATCGCTACTGATATTGCCAAAAGTGAATATCCAGATATTGAATACAATGCGATGATTGTAGATAACGCATCTATGCAATTGGTAAATATTTTGATTTTTAAATTAAAGACTATGAATAAAATTTTCAGGTTTCCCGCCCACAACAATTCGATGTTATGCTTATGCCAAATTTGTACGGTAACATTATTTCAAATATTGCATGTGGTTTAGTTGGAGGTCCAGGACTTGTTTCTGGAATGAATATTGGAGATGATTACGCTGTATTTGAAACTGTAAGTTATTTTTTATCAAGGCTTCGTGTTTAAAATTGAATTTTATAATTTTCTCTATTTTTGTATTTCATACAAATTTAGGCAAGGTTCTGAAAAAAAAATTCAAATATTTTTTTAGGGAACCCGTAACACTGGAACCAGCCTCGCTGGAAAAGATTTGGCCAATCCAACCGCATTCATCCGCGCTTCTGTTGACATGTTGCGTTTCCTCGGACTCCAATCTCATGCTGATATCATTTCCGATTCATTGTTCAGATCTCTTGTCGATAAACGAATTCATACTCCAGACATCGGAGGAACACACAAGGTTTGTCTTTTGTTTTGAATAATCAACAAAAAATAATATTTTCCAGTCTTCTGAATTGGTTGCCAGTGTCATCGAATTCATTGACAAAGAACTTGAACATCGCAACTTCCAAGTTTAAATGCTCTTCATTTTTTTCTTACAATTTTTTATCGACAAAGTTTAGTGGTTAGCTTTAAAAATATCCCTGTTTCAACCCCCGAGAGCATAATTTTGAGCTTCCTTGACCCATTCCTCTATTTTTTCCACTTCTGTCGAACACTTTCCTTTCTCTGTAATAACTTTGAATGTTACTTTCGTTCTGTAGTAAATTTGATTAGTAACTCGATACTGTCTCTTGAAAATGGGCGGAGTTCAAAGGTTTGCTTAGTTTGCACCTTTATAAGTGGTCCCTATATAATTAGATGGTTCAACAAAAATGTTTGCTACTTTTAAAATAAAAATATTTTCTATTGAATTGAAAAATCAGAAAATTTCAAATATTTGAGGAAACTTTCAGAATCTCTTCAATATTCGGAATTTTCTGATTTTGTTAATCGAAATTGTTTTAACTGGTAGGTTAAATTCTTTTTTTATAGTTTGAAATTTGACAATTCTTGATATCCAAACGTGACAATTTTTCGAGATTGACTATTCATAAGTGAAAATAAATGAAAATTAACATAAAATGACAATAAAAGTGAAACGTATTCAAATATGCTGCAAATCACTATCACAAGAAATCGGGAGACAAAAAGAGAACTAGATCATCGGGATTAGGATTATGAAACTACATATATTTACAAAAAAAAACGATTATGAAATAATTAAAAATATAAATAAAAAAATAAATTAAGTAAGTAGATTCAAAGTTTTTGAACCGGCGGGGAATCCATATCTTCGTATTGAAATGATGTATTTACAAATGATGCATTATTTAATGCTCCAGTGCTTGCGCGTTTTTGAGAAACCGAAGGAATATTTTTCTTTTCTTCTGAAACATTATTACTTTTGGAAACTTTTTGAGGCACGGAAAAAATGAGAAAGATTTTAAATTCTATTTTTAAAAATTTTTACCTAATAATTTTGAGGATTTTAGAAACACTGTATTAAAGATTTTTAGGCCAAAATCTAGGCTTTCCCCCCAAAAAAATCTTACTTGATTTTTTGTGTCCACTTTCACTGGTTCCAGCAATTGTTGGATGCGAAGATCGAAGTCCAAATCCTTTCTGAAATCAATTCAAAGTTGCAAACTAACATCTAGATACAGTCCTCCCAACCTTTTTCTTTTTTTCCACACAACTTTCAGTGGCAAACATTTCAGCTTCAGATCCATCAGTTTCCAAATCTGATTCATCATTCGGTTCAACACTTCCTCTAATTTTCTTTTTTCCTGAATTTTTCGATGTCGGTTTTGGAGTTTTTGGTCCTTCAACAAAATCGATTTTTGTAGCCGAAGGATTTTTGAAAATCAGCGGCTCATCGATTATTTTCACTTTTGATGAATTCGGAACTTCAGTCGGTGCTCCGACAGATATCAAAGTTCCAACAATTGGTTCACATGGTTGACTTGTATCTGAAATATCATTATCATCAACATGAAATCGAATAAAAACTGCAAACCTGTTGTCAAATCGGCGATAGTTTCAGGAAACGAAGTTGTTGACATACTTGGAATAATTGAAACCGGAGCAGTTGTTGGCAATTCAGGTTTCCAAGCGGTTAAAGGAGTTTGTTGTCTGGGTAAAGTGGCGGGTGCGAAAAGTGTGCTTCGATTTTGATTTGTTGTTGGGCGAACATGAATTGTATCTCTTCGATCTGACCATCGATCTCCCAAATCCCATTCATCATCTGTGTGTGTTTGAGCTCGATTTTTTACAGATTCGCTGGTTTCCTGGAATATAGTGATATTTTTTGGTATAAAAATTGTTTCTATCTACAATTATTGTCAAAATCCCGGAGTATTTTTTATATTCTGAACTCAAGGATAATATTTTAAAGAAGTGAATATTAAGAAATTCCATCTTAGTTAAAGTAAGTTCCGAACATCTTGACTTTTCAAAAAATTCAAATTAGGCTCAATTTTTTTTCATATTTGAATCTTCAAATTGCAGATTTTCCAACGTGAGCAAGTCTTGAAATTTCTTTTTATAAAAATTTTATAAAAACGTGAAATTTTTCAAGTTTTTTTCATTTCTAATCTCTTTCATTTCACTCCCTCTCCTCAAACTAACCACAAGATTATTCGGTGACAACATTTTCGGTGTCAATTCATCGCGTAAAAATGGATTTGTACAATTGTTTGTTCCAATAAAAATCGGCGCATTTAATTGAGATTCGATGGCTGCCAAATATTCATTCTGGAAAAAATGGGGAATTTACGATGGACTTAGCTTGAATCTAAAACTAGGCTGAGTTTTGGTTTTTTTCCAAAAGTTTTGTTTTCAATTTTTTTTGGAATTATATAACCCTAAAAATTATGTTTATATTTAAAAATCTACCTATATTCTAGTAATTTCAGATAAAACATTCCGATTTGAATTCACAAGGAGTTCAGAAATGATCAAAAAAAATAAATAAAATTTAACTCATCTTCATGTTAGCTTGAATCTAAAGCTCGACTGGGATTTAGAGTTTGATGTGAAACTCTGAAAATTCCAGACAAGATTTTTTTCAAAATTTTCAGAATCAGTCTAAAAGTTATGTTTACAGCGATGAAAATGAGCAATTTTTTGTTAGAAAATATAATTGAAAAATTGAATGAGAATGACAAGTAACCAAAAAACCTTACCTCATCCTCATCCTCTAATCCATCATCCTCTAACAATGGCCGACTTCCCCCATCTTCACTTCCAACAGTATTCTGCGAAGATGTGTCCTCTTCGTCTTCATCTTCATCATCATCTTCTTCATGTGATGTATTATCATCAACTCGTCTCTTCGTTTTTCTCGCAGCTCTTCGATCTTCATCATCATAATAATCATCTTCCGAATCATCTCGATCTGTTTTTCCTCGACTATCACTACTCGCATCATCTCCAACTCCATCAATATTTTCATAACTATACCGACGTCGTGCATACATTCTTTGTTCATCCACTTCGCTATCAGTTTCAGTCTAGAATTTTTTATGTTTTCAGATTGAAACGTAGTTGTTAAAAGTTGTTTTCTTACTTGCACATTATTCGTCGCCAATTTCTTAGTTCTTCTAACTTTTCCATCAGTTTCAATTTTTTCGACAACTTCTTCTTTCTCATCTGAAACTTCTAAGAATGAGTGGATAAGAATAATTATAATATTCATCATGCATACAAAATCACTGGACAAAAATAAAGCTGGATTCATCATATCTACATATTTACAACATTCAACTAAATCAAATCAAATCAATTTTGAAATGCTTGCCATTTTGAAGTGGTTCTTTGCGGGATTACCGGTGGTTTTGGGGAATTAGCAAAATATAATTTTGGGTAAATTGATGAGGATGTACCTGTTTTTGATGTAATTTGATCAAATGGAGCTGCACCAAATGGATCACGTGAATCAATCGAAGAACAATCATCATTATCATCTTTTAACACATCCGAGATTGAATTGTTGGGATAAACTTGTTTGAATGCGTTGTCATCTGGTTGATAGAATGGGGAATTAACAAAAGGTGCGGCTAGAAAAGGATTCCATTCTCCGATTATTTCATTTTTCGATGATTTTCTCATATCTTCAACACTTCGAACATTTGAGGAAACCGGAGCTGTTTGGTTGTATGGTCTGCAAAAAAACGGGAATTTTGAAGGATTCAGATGAAAATCACTAATGTTTATCCACGTCAGGGGTGGGGAAACTGGCCTCACGTTGTCCTCATGTTGGCTTTGGTGGTAAGAACATAAGCCATGACAGGTCCACGTGAAAACCTGGCTATCTGTCCTGTCCTGGACAGGTTTGTTTTTTAGTCGAAAAAAAACACGCCGAAAAAAGAAGATCGCATTTATATTTTATTTTTTTTAATGCAGAAAAAAATTTCTTTGTTAATTTTTGTTCACGCGAGGACAGGTTGGGCATATGGCTTTAGGACATGTTCAAGCCATGTTCGAGCCAGGACAAGTTTAGGCCATATTCAAGGACAGGACAACATGAGGCCATGACATTTTCCCCACCCCTGATCCACGTGGTTCAAAAAATTCAAAATTTTATTTTTATTTCGGAACTTTAAACAATCATCAGGGAATTTTTTGAACTTCATAAATTATAATTAAAAATCGTAATCTTGAAAGATTGATTTTGGAAAATATTTTTAAAAAAAAATTCCCCTAATTTCCGTGTCCCCCGAATTCTTCCTCTAAAAATCATCAAAATCACTCACTTGAAAGCACTTTTTGAAATTTGTGTCGTATCGCTGACATTTCGTCGATGTTGTTGTTGAATTGTAGAAACAGCTGGAGTTGCAGGCGGTTCTGGATTCGAAAACATTTCTGGCGGACGTTGATGTGTCGAATCAGTTTTAGCACGATCTCGTGGAATTGCGGGATTTTCCAAGACTGAAAAAATACCGATGAGAAGGATGATACTCTTCAAAAAATAAGAAATAAAAACCTAGATCTGTGAATCCCAAATCTGCAGGTTCCAAAAGCGGACAAGACAATGGACCAACTTCAGCAACTTTTTTCGCTTCCATATCTTCTCCAGAAAATGATTGTCGATGGTCGGATTTGGCAATTGAAGATATCTGTGAGAAGATTTGTTATTGAAAAACAAAAATATATCAGAGTACAAATTCTAAATACTACGAATTGGAATTTCGTCAATAATTATTACAGAAATCCCGAATAAAAGAAAAAATAGAAAGAGGTGGGAGAACAGTTCAGAAATTTAGAAGAACGTTTTTCGATTCCTGGTGGGCGCGGAATTTTTTGGGCGAAATTTTATATCGATTTCTTTGTGAGGTAAAAAATATCAGAAAACTCACCGGAATTACTGGTAAAATATTGGTAGTTGCAGCTTTCGGTCTTAACCTCGGATTCACCGATGTTGTAATACTGTGGGAAATTGTCGGTTCTTTGGTTGAAATTAGAATCTCCTCAACTTTCGATTCAATTACTTCTGCTTGTTTTGGAGGATTCACAAAGTTATGAGAATTTCTTGGTTTTCCTTCTTTTAACAGAATAATAGCTTGTTCAAGTGACGGAATTTTTACACCCTGGAAAGATCTAGATGTGTTTTTTGAAAAAAAAAGAGAACTCACATGAACATTTTCAATTGGCAGTGGTTTACCATATGCTTCAAATGCGAGACTCGAACATTCGAATATTGGAAGACGACGAGAGATATCAACATCGAGAAGTAGATCTGCATAAACATATGTTGAAAGTATAATAAAAGTTGTTCCCAAGAATTTTTATTTTCTAACAATAAAACGAAAATAAATAAAAACTCACAAATAATTGCACGAATTGCAGCTGGATAATCAGGATGTGTTGGAAATGGAGTATAATTACCATTCTGAATTGCCAACGCAGACTCTTCAAAAGGTAATGAAAAATAGCATAAACGATATAACATAACACCTAAAGACCACATATCAGATTGTATTCCAATTGGTTGTCCACTATAAATATCAATCATTTCAGGTGATCGATAACAAAGTGTTGTATTTCTCTCGATTTCTTCTTGAATAACACTTGCTGGCTGATTATTTATCGACATTACTTTTGTAGTTGCACTTCCGAAATCACAGAGAACGAAAATAGGAGGAGCTGCCCGATTTCTCTCGTCGATTAGAATATTTTCAACTTTTAAATCACGATGAATGACAGGTGTATTTGAATGATGAAGACGGGAGACTGCTTCACACATATCACAGAATATATTCAGAATTTCAGTTGAAGAAAGATGAAGATTATTCGATATTCTTTCATTCATCAGTTGCAACACATTTCCTAAAGTTATCTCATTATTATTTTATATCATGAATCATAATTAATTAAAATACTCACTTTTATGATAAACAGTGAGAAGCATACAATCATATTGCCCATATTTATTCATACTAATCATATGATCAACATATTCTATGATATTTTTGTGACCACGCAAATCACTCTGAAAAAAATATTTTCTTCAATTTTCTTTTTTTTAAATTTTAATTTAACTTACCACAATTTTACATTCTCTAATACATGCATCCAATTGTTTCTGATTATCCAATACAAATTGTCGTTTTAAAGCAAATTTTCGATTTTTCTTGTCAGTCACCACATAAACTATTGCAAAACCGCCTTCAGCTAATTGTTTATCTATTGTTACTTGAGTGTTTGTGAGTTTCAGAGTAACTCCTGGAAAAAACCGGTTTTATAAGAACGTTTTTTGAACAATGACTAGGTTTTGATAAATAAAATTTGGGAAAGTTCACGTGAACACGTGAAATTTTTCTTGTTGGAATTTTTATTGATTTTATTTTCATTTTTTTATTATTCATTTGTCAGAAAAAGGTCTCACCTTTACAATTATTTTCATTCAGAGTTTTCGACTCTTTTTTCGAAGAACTTCCTTCATTTCCAAGAACCTGTGGCTTGTTCGAACTTGTTCCGCCACCAAACAAACCAAGAGGCATAATCCCAGCTGGAAAGCAAAGAAATTAGCGATTTTATATGTATTAAATGAAATAAATCATCATTGAAAAAGAAAAATGCTGCTGGAAAAGAACTAGAGAGTAAGTAAGTGAAATTGGGGAAGAGGGTGCAGAGGAAAAGAGGAAAATGGGAGGAGTTTTAGTAGCTTGCAAACAACTCGCATACTTTTATGTTTGTTTATCTGATTTTTTTATTTTTCAAATTCTAACGATGATTATCATTTTTACACAAATTTTATTGTTGTTTTTGTGGGAATGTTTTCCGAATTCTTTGGGAAAATAGGTGACCAACAAATTAAATCTATAGGAATCAATTGATTAAAAAGTTCATTTCATACAACTATGGCGTAGTTACATATTTACTTTGAGGGAAATGAAATTAATTTCGCAAAACTTGAAAAAAATCGAAATTTTATTTTTGAATAATGACTGCGCGCGTTACGAAATATCGTTGTTCCTCCAATATTTTACTGTATCGCTGTAAGACCAATTTTGTGTGTTGCAATGTGCCTTTCATCACTTAGTGTGTACGGTACACACCATTTATTTTTTTATTCTGAAAACTTCTCTTGAAACTGCGCACTAAAAACACAATGATGTATACCGCAGATTTCATAGGACCTGATGATGGACAAATGACTAATCTAAGCATCAGTCAGCCAACAAGCTCAAAGAAAAAGGCGAGTGAACCTATTTTTTAAAATGAAAATTTATTCAAAAATTAATTTTATAGATCTCATTCATCGTTCGAGAAGAACAAGAGCAACAACATCGATCAGCAGTCAGTGCTTTGCAATTTGATCAGAATTTGAGTAGATTATTTACTGGTGGAAGTGATACTATAATTCGTTGCTGGAATGTGCCACAACATAAAGATGCATTTTCGGCGAGAGGAGGAGTCTCGCGATCGCCTGGCAAAATGTGTCAAGCACAATATCAAGTATCTCTAGAACAACATACTGATTGGGTTAATGATATGATTTTATGTGCTCAGGGAAGGATATGTTAGTTTTTTTTTTGAAAAAATAGTGGCTAATTTATCTCTCTTTAGTAATTTCCGCTTCAAATGACTCAACAATCAAAGTATGGAATTTAGAAAAAGATAATCGACATAGTTGTATTAATACAATCCGTGCTCACAAGGTAAAATTATCTATGTAACTAAATATATAAATACACATTATTTTCAGGATTATGTAAGTTGTTTGGCTTATGCTCCATTGGTTGAAAAAGCAGCCAGTGCAGGATTCGACCATAATGTATTTTTGTATGATATTGCTAATAACGCTAAAATTATTAACACATTAAGTGGCTCAAAAGATAGTATTTATTCATTGACAACAAATCCATCGTGTAGTGTTGTTCTTGCCGCTGGAACAGAAAAGGTTAGTTGAAATATTATTATCATTATGAAAAATGAGATAGTTTCTAGTGTATTCGATTATTTGACCCACGAACTAATGAAAAAATAATGAAACTCCGTGGACACACTGATAATGTTCGAAGTCTTATGGTCAGCGATGATGGAACTAAGGCTATTTCAGCTGGAAGTGATGCAACTATTCGACTTTGGGATATTGGACAACAAAGATGTGTGGCAACTTGTATTGCGCATCAAGAAGGAGTTTGGACACTTCAAGTTGATTCCACTTTTTCAACTATTTATAGTGCTGGAAAAGATAAAAAGGTTTTGCGGACAAGAACAAATGATTTCACACAAAGTCAACTTCTTTTTGAAGAGGAAGCACCTGTTAAAAGGGTTAGTTCAGTTCAATATTTATGTAGTTATTCCCTATTTTTCAGATACTTTTAAATGATCGCGATAATCCGACATCAATCTGGGCTGGAACTTGGAATTCGAATATAAAAAGATGGTCGATTCGTCCAACTGCTCAATTATCAATTGGTGGAGACGAGGAAATGCAGAGTTCATCTTCTGGAATATTTCATTCGAATTATAATTCTAGTTTTATGCATTCAGCTCTTCAAACAACTCCAGAAATTGTGATTCCTGGAGCTGCTTCCATAAAACAAAATATTGTTTTGAATGATAAAAGACATGTTATAACAAGAGATTCTGATGGATGTGTTTCACTTTATGATGTTTTGGCTGCTAGAAAAATTGCTGATTATGGAAAAAGATCAATGGAAGAAGTCGCGAAAGAACACTTTAGGAAGGTTTTTGTGCCCAGTTGGTTTAGTGTGGATTTCAAAAGCGGGGTGAGTTTTTTTCGGGAAATTGAAATATATGTTTCTCATAATATGATATTATAGATGCTGCAAATAACTCTTGATGAATTGGATGTGTTTTCTGCTTGGCTTTCATCAAAAGATGCTGGATTTGAAGATCCGGATAGAACTGATACAAAAGTAAATTATGGAGGAATGATACTGCGATCTTTATTTGAATATTGGCCTCATAATGATATGGCAAATATTGAAGGAGAAGGAGGTGAAGACACACAAAGAGCAACTGCTAATTATATTCGTTTGCCTGATCATACTCCATTCATTTTATGGTAAGGATTTAGAGATTTTTGAAAATTAAACTTTTAGATTTAATTTGGATAGAGGAACACGTGGACACTTATTTTACCCTATGTCCTATATTTGAAGTTAGGTTAGGGAGTGTGAATTGTGATTTTGAGCAATTTTTTTCAGAAAAAGCAAAATGTTCATCAAAATTTCAGCGAATCAAATGGTCGCCCATTATTCCGTCTTCTTGTCCGAGATGCTGAAAAAGAAACCGAATCAGCACTTCTAGCCGAATATGTTCCACCTTGGGTCACTGATGTTGTGGAACGACGACAACTTCCGAAATTCACAAAAATGCCATTTTATCTTTTACCTCATCCATCGCTTAATGTAAAAACGCCCAAAAAGTTGGTGATTTTAGCTAGAATTTTCAGATTTTTTAACTTGTGGATTGTTTTTCAGAGATCGATTAAGTGCCACTGAAATGCTACAAGTTCGCAAAGTTATGGAACATGTTTTTGAGAAGATTTTGAATTCAAATGAAGGTATTTTTGAGAGGGGGGGGGGCTTCGAGGAAAAAATGTTTTGACAAAAATTTTGATTTTTTCAAAAATCTAATATCAAAAGATATATGTTTTCACTGGGAAAAAACGAGCAAAACTCATTTTTTGCTCTGACTCCACCTTTAATTTTTTCACCTCATTAAATTTTCCAGCCGAATCCAGTCACCATGTTGCATCAAACATCACAACATCTACAGTACCACTTTCCCTAATTCACACAAAACTCGAAATGTTTTGCAATGATCAGAAATTAGACCCTGATATGGATTTAAGAACTGTCAAACATTTCATCTGGAAACAAGGCGGTGAATTGCTACTGTATTATAAACCATTGAAAAATTGATATTTATTTAAATATTTATGCTTCATTTTCTTGTTTGTTTTTTTTTCTTTTTCAGTCAACAGGTTTAGATTCCTTGATACTTGTTTTTTTTTCAGAAAATTTAGCATTTTTCAATTAGTCTTCAATTTAGAGATGACGGGAAAATTGAGATCTGAAGATTTTCTTCAAATGCGAAGTGAATATTTGGCTGAGAGGAACTCGGAAAATGGTGTGGAAATATTGAAAAAATTGGTTCAGGTTGATGAAGAACAAGTTGATGAGTTAGTTTTTTGAAGGGAACTTGGGCTAAATCGATTGGAATAAGATGTTCCTGGAAAGTGCCAATGTTCAAAAAAAAATCTTATTTTTTCAGAAATGCTTGGATTGATTGCAAAGATGTTCTGACCATTATAATTGAAGATATGCCTGCGACCGAATTATTATCGAAATATCAAATTCTTCTACTTCAAGCAATTCCACATTGTCCATCAAATGTTATTGATGTTCTTGCAACAATTTTGCAAAGAAAATCGGATATTTCACAAATTTTGAATGATTCTGCAATTGCGGTTGCTGTTGCTTTTACTCGAAGAGTCAATGAGGAAATTTGCAATGAAGCTGTGAGTTTTTTTTAGAAAGAATTTATATATATTTTTCTGTGTAGATTGCTCGACTTGTTGGGCCAATTGCTTCGAATGAATTGATTATTGTTGAATTGAAAGAACAACTTGAGAATCTTCAACAAGGTTATACAAATTCAGAAGGGAGATTCAGAATTTATCAAGTTTTGCTCGAATCAATCAAAGCTGAAAAATATGAATCGAATCTTGAATTCATTTTTAAATCGATATCCGAAGATTTGAAAAATAAATCAGATGTTTTGACCCAATTATCAACAATTGAATTGCTTTCTGATTGTTCGATTACAAGTGCAAAAAATGCGAAAATTATAAGTGATTTGGGATTCGCTGGAAAAGTTTATGATATGTTGATCGAATCGAGAAACAGTCCAGATGGCGGCTTTCTTTACACGGCGTGTATTCGATTTTTGGGATCGTTGGCTAGAAAATATCCAGAAGCAATTGAAACATTCAAAGAATTTTTGCCCCTTGTTGTGGATATGGTAGGTTTTTTTTAAATTTTGGTTTGTTTAAAATAAATCTGAAATATTTCCAGATCGCTCATTTCGATTTACTTGATGCTTCTCAAAGAGTTTTAGCTTTCGATACCTTCGCCAATATTTGTTATGAAAAATCAGCAAAACAAACAGTTGAAAGAGTGTTATATGGTAGGTTCTTTATTTTTGAAAAAAACATGTGAACTTTACGGAAAAAAATTTTGTAGGTTCTGATCGCCTCAAGAAGGTTTTGGGTAATTTCGGAGCTGCAATGAATCACGGACCAACTGAATTGCGAGTTCGCCATGTTGATGCTGCTTCAGTGATGTTTGAAAATAGTTAGTTAAAGGAGAAGAGGATTTTGAGCTTGAAATAGTCTAAAATCGATAATTCTAAGCTTAGGCACTGAAAATGTTAAATTTCGAGATTATGCCACGTGGAATTTTGTTTAGAATTCTAAAACTTCAGGATTCGGCGTGAAAAATTCCACGTGAAAGGACCTCAAAATTAGTTAAGCCTAGATTCAAGTTAGCACAATTCTGAGGAAAACCAAAAACATAACCTCATTCATATTTTTTTCAGTCGATGAAGTGACTGCAATTAAATGGTTAGATTTGATGGGCGGAGCTGCATTTTTATCAACAATTTTGGCAAGTCTTCAAAAACCATTCGCCGAAATTCGCAATGCTTTTATGGATTTTGTTGATACTCTATTCGCATTTTCACCGATTGTTTTGGAATTTATTCGATTTGCTGGGTTGGTTTTTTTCAAAGAATTTAAAAATTTGAAACTGTGAAGAATCTGGTTTTCAGAGCTACTCTAGATTTCTGATATAAATTTCTAAATGAATAATTTTCCAGATTCAACGAATGGCTTCTCGATGAAAATTCCGAAACCGAATTCGAATTGTCACGCAAAAAATCACAAATCATTCGAAAAATGATCTCCAAAAATGTCGATGAACCCTTTTTGGATGCCGAATTTCTTCTCAAACTCAAAGCATATTTATTGCCAAAATCGACTCAACAACCACAAGTTGAACTCGCTTTGTAGAAAAATGAATAATATTTAAATATCAGATGTTTTTTTTATTGCTTTCGATAAATTTTTACGAGTAGAGATTTTGGTGAATTTCGTAGTAGATTTGATTTGTAAAAAGTTTATTCAATTTATCATATCTTACTAGAACTCAGAATGAATTTTTGGAAAATAAGAACAGTTTCAGATGACTACGAAGATACAGAAAATCGAAAAGCGGATCAAACACAAGAAAAATGAGGTTTTTTTTCTAACGTTTTCTGGAAAATTAATTTTGAACCTGAAAATTTGCAGCTTCTTCTCGATATTCGCCCAATTATGGATGATTTAGCCGATGAATTTGATAACAAAATTCCATATCTGAAATTTGTTGAAGTTTTCAATTCAAGAACCAACACCGAATTTGAGGTATCTTTATTTTTTGAGGAAAAATGAAAATAGATATTACAAAATATTTTCAGAAACGTCACAATGGCCTCAAAAAATACCTGAAAAATTGGGAACTTTCACAGGTTTTTCAAGATGTTCCACATGAAACGTTGAGATATGATTTGTATGAAAGTAAGAATTCAATCAAAAAAATATATAGAAAAAAAACCAAAAAAATTTTCAGATGACAATAAAGACAAATTCATAGTAATTCAGAATTTGCCAGAAGGAATGAAAAGAGTTGGGACTGTTTTACCGAAGAAAAAGAGAAGAAGAGCAACGGTTATGCCACAGGGTGGATGTTTTCCAGTTGACGCAGAAGATAAGAGGAATAGTTGGGAGGTTTGTGATTTTTACAAAACCCTAGAGGAATAAGATTTGGAAGCTTCGAAACTTGAGAAGAAGGATTTAAAAAAGGTCAGCGCCTACACAAAAATAATTTGAAGGGCCCGCGCCTACAGGAATATAATTCAAAGGGTTCACGTCTACAGAAATAGGAGTTGAAGTGTCCGCTCCTACGGACCTCGACAAAGGGTTTGAATATTTTCGGTTCCAGAAATGGTCGATGATTTCAAAATTCTTATCCGATAATTTTCCAAAGGTTCCGTGGATTCTTGAAGTTTGAATCCATTTTTTGGAATTATGGGCTGAAATTTGTGATTGTGAATTTGCAAGCCTTTTTCCAACACTCTAGAACCCATTTAGATTTCCCCAATTTTTCACATTTTCATCAAATTTTTCTCAGATTCTCAATGGAAAAACTGTAGTCTTCACAGTTCCATGTTGGCCGGGAGTTTCAGCTGAATTTCGAGCAAATAATCAGAATCTCTATGAAGAATTCTTGAACATTTCTTCGCCGAAAAAGAAAGTATCGTAAGTTCATCTCTCTTTCCATTTTTCATAAAATTCGCTAAATTTTTTCAGAGAATCAATATATTTGGCTGAAAAATGGTGGAGTTCAGAGATTCAAAAATTGCCACAAATTCTTTATATTGTATCGAAACTTGAAATATTCAAATTAACAAGTTTGGATCAATCAATAGCTGTAAGTGTAGATTTTTGTTGTTACCTGAGAATAAATTTATTTGTGTTTCAGGAAGTATTTCCGAGTGAATGGGCGGGACATTCAAAAAATTTTGGGATAAATTATGGAGTTTTCGGAATTTCAAAATCCAAATTGGTTGAGCTGAATTTGATTGTTAGATGTGATGCAGAAAATGCAAATATGGTTAGTTTTAGTTGAATTTTATTTCTTATATTTCATTTGAAAAAATTCCAGTTTACAAAAAACGAGATTATTAGAAGTTGCAAATTCGAACCGATCAATAATGAGATCACCAGTTTATTATACGATTTTGCAGAAAATTATAGGAGTTGTTCAATTGAAAGAGCTAATAAGGTGAAGTTTTCTTATTAGTAATTTTAGAAAATTAATATTCTAAAATCCTGTTTCATTCAGATGTTATTGGATAATATGACTTCTTGGCGAAATCGAGATCCACGAGATCGAACATTGGAAATAAGACAAGTTTTGAGAAATAATGATGATGAAAGTTATCCCACATCATTTTTCATTCAAATATTTTTTTTCCAGATTTTTGACTATGCTCAAAATGGTGATGAATATTCTGCTGCAAAATACAAAGATATCATTTTTGTTCCTTTATATTTTTCTTCTTCCTATCGCTAATTTATGTATATAAATATTTATTTTGATAAAGTTTGATCGATTATCCATTTTGAATTGGTTTTTTCTTTTTTTTTTTTAATAATTTTCGATGGCTATTTTCTATATTTTGTAGTTTTGAATTCGACCGAATACGATACGAACACCCGTTGTCCAGGTGTCATTTTGGTTATTTTCAATGCCTCACTTTTTCTAACTCATTTATTCGTTCATTCGTCGTTTTCACAATCATAAGTAGTTCGTCGCTTTCTTCCAATTTTCCTTGCCATTCATAAACCGATGTTATTGCCGGAATAATATTTATACAAGCTGCCAGTTTTTCTTCAACGATTTTTCTGAAAATACAGTTTTCACACGGAAAATTTCGAAATATTTACCTTGAAATTGTTAAACCCACTTCTTTGGTTGGAACTGTGATAAGAACAGTCATTAATTTTGCCAGATTTGACGCCATTTTCGATTCGGAAAATTGAAAAATTCGCGATTTTTTTTCAAAAAATTGTGTGTAGTTTTACGTGACGGTGTTTGCACAAAATTGGCGCGCGCTTTGAAATGGAGTGAAGCAACAATTGTTGTTTTTTTCTTTTTTCGGCACACCATTGAGTTTGTTTTGTTGTAAACAACAAGAATCGATAAATGTAACTACATATTTTGCAGGAAAAATGGCTCCATCAAAAAAGTCACCACCAAGGCAGTCAGATGAATCTGAAAGTGATCCAGATGAGCCGGTGAAAAAGGCCAGGAAAAAAACCAACAAGCCAATTACGACAACAAAGAAACCTGAAGAGGATAGTGAACCTAAAACTCTTCGGCCAAATTTGAATGAAAGTTATCAAGATGACGAAAGCGAGGATTTAATGAATTTGGTTGGTTTTAACAAGTTTTAGGATTTTTAAAAGTATTTTCTTTTGTTTAGGTTATTCCTGATAAACCTCTTTGTTTCACCAAACAAAACAACAATGGAGAACGACTTATGATTGTTAAAATTGAAGCAACAAATTTCAAAAGTTATTTCGGAACATCAGAAATCGGACCATTTCATAAAGTAAGTTTTATTTATAATTTTTAAAACAAGATACATGTAAATACACTCCCAAAAACACCGATTTTCAGAGTTTTACAAGTATCATTGGTCCAAATGGTTCTGGAAAATCGAATGTTATCGATTCTCTTCTTTTTGTTTTTGGATTTCGATCTGGAAAAATTCGATCGAAAAAGATCTCAAATTTGATTCATAGTTCAGCAGGAAAACAATGTGATAGTTGTACGGTTTCAATCTATTTTCAAAAAATTATTGATAAAGTGAGTTTTTGATAATGAAACATACGATAACGTTGTACATTTTCAGGACGAGGACAATTATGAAATCATCGCAGGATCTCGATTTTCAATCTCAAGAACGGGTTATAAAAATAATTCGAGTACTTATGCAATTGATGGAAGAAATGTGCCTTTGAAAGAAGTGGAAAATCGCTTGAAAAAAGTTGAGATCGATTTGACACACAATCGCTTTTTGATTTTACAAGGAGAAGTCGAAGCAATTTCAATGATGAAACCAAAAGGAGTAAATCAAAATGAAGAAGGAATGTTGGAATATCTTGAAGACATCATTGGCTCAAATCGTTTCATGGTTCCAATTACAAAATTCGAAGCTCGTGTTTCAAAATTATCCATGGAATCATCACAACAAAGATGTCGACAAGAAACAGCTCGAGCAACAAAATGTGCATTAGAACCCGATGTTAGAGAAGCTGTTGAATATTTGACAAAAGAAAATGATGTGACTATTTTGAAAAGTAAATTAGAACAACGCAAAAAGTATGTTGAAATTTTGTATTGGGAAATTTGCAATAACTTATTTTTTTATAGATTGAAATACAATGATCAACTTGGTCCACTCAAAGATGAATTAGATGCGAAAAAAGAGGAAATGAAAGTGATTGGAGAGAAATTGGATGAAAACAAGAAAGGATCGAAAGATAATGAGAAAATGGATAAGGAATTGAATAAGTACGATTTTTATATTCATATAAGTACAATCTATTTTTATCATTTCAGGCAAAAGGCTGAAGCTGAAGCAGAATTCGACAAAGCAAAACAAGAAATTGAAGATGATGTGACTGAAGAGAAAAAGAGAAAACAGAATTTGAAACGATTGACAACAGATATCGAAAAAATGGCTGCAGAAAAAGAAAAAGAAGAGAAAAAGGTTATTTTCAATTCAAATGTTTGTTTTTTAATATCTATTATCATTTCAGAAAGATTCACTTCTTGAAGCTCCTGAAAAAGCTGCGAAGAAAATTGAAAAATTGAAAGTCGAATCGGAAAATTTGAAAGAAATTGAGAAAAGTGCAAATGAGAAGGCTGATGAGAATTTAGCGATTTTTGACGCGAGATCTGAAGAGTTTCAAGAAGCGAAAACTGAAGCAGAAAATGAATATGCAAAGGAAAATGAGATATTGAATGATAAAAAGGGAAAAGCGTCGATTGCAGAAGCTGAATTACAAGATTTGAAGAAAATGGCAGATAAAGGAAAGAATACGGTAGTTGAATTGAAAGCGAAATTGGAAGAAACTGAAAATAAAATAGTTTCTGAAGAAGAGGAAATTGCTGAAATAACACCGAAAATTGAAGAAAATCAAGAATTATTCAATGAAGCAAATCGAGATGGACCAGCAGCTCGTGCAAAAGAACAACAATTGGATCGAAATATTCGAGAAATTCGCGGAAAAATCATGGATATGTCAAATCAACAACAAATGTTTCAATCTGGAAATCGAGCATTGGAGGCATTAATGAAAGAGAAAAATGAGGGAAGATTGCCTGGATTTTTGGGAAGATTGGGTGATTTGGGAGCTATTGATTCGAAATTCGATGTTGCTATTTCAACAAATTGTGGATCGTTGAACTCGTTTGTTTGTGAAACTGCTGATTCGTCGGCCAAAGCTATCGATTTTCTTTGTGCTGTGAGTTTTCCGAAAAAATGTAGTCAAACTATAATTTTGAAATTATCTAAATTTGAATTTTTCTAATTAAAAGAAGTTAATTAGTCCAAAATTCTCCGGTGACCCCAAAAATGTGCGTTTTTAACAATACCTTGTTCAAGAATTTGTTACAGAAAAATTTCGCCCTGAAATCGCCTGAAAAAAACGGAAATCAGGCACTGTTAAATTGATTTTCATAAAAATTTTGCTTTGTAGTTTCTTTTCAGTTTCTGTGATATGACACTACTACAATAATACATTCAGCGAACAATTTGAGTTTTAAAAACTGTAGTCGAAACCGAGTTATGTTTCCGAATAAAATATTTTTCAGCAACGTCTCGGTCGTGCCAATTTCATTTCAATCGACAAATTACAAGTCAACACGGCAAGAATGAATCAAAAACCAGAAGATTTTCCAGCTCCTCGTTTATTCGATTTGATCAAATGTGAAGAATATGCTAAACCGGTTTTCTATTTTGCGTGTAACGATTTGCTTGTTGTAAAAGATCTTGGAGAAGCACAACGATTGGACAGAGCACATAATCGTTAGTGATTTTAATTTAATAACTCAAAAGTTTCCCACATAAAACAAAAATTTCAGATAAATATGTGTTTGTAACTCTTGATGGAGGTAAACTTTCAAATGATGGTTCGATTACTGGCGGAGGTCAACCGATTCGAGGATTGATTGGAAGTGAAGTGAAAGTTCAAAGAAGAGATACAAATGGAAATGCTAATGAGATTCAAAAATTGCAACAAGAAGTTGAAAAGTTACAAGAAGAATATAAACAAGTTGCACCAAAAGCTAAAGCTGTAAGTGTATTGAAGTTTTTTTATCAAAAGGAAAAGGTTTTTGCAGCTTGACGAACAATTATTCACAAGTCGAAATGAAATCAAAAAATATACAGAACGACTGAAAGTTTTGAAATTATCTTTGGAACAAAATCGAACGAAGATTGTCACGCTGAAAAAAACAATTGAAATACAGGAAATTGAGGCGAAAAAAGTTGAAGTTGATCCGAAAGATATTGAAGAAAAACAGGAAGTTGTTCGCAAGCTTGTTCAAGGTAAGTTATTTGGATTTGAGCGGGAAAAGGGGGTTTTGGGAATAATAACGGGGGTTTTATTTTTTCGAAGGACAAAATCAAATTCAAAGTTCAACAAAATTTTTAGAACGAGATGAAGCGGATAGAAATGCGTCGAAAGCTCGAAAAATCGTTGATGAAGTAACTTCAAAAGTTGATGCAATGTTCAAAGAACTTGTTGAATGTCATAGAAAAGAAGCAAAAGATGCACGAGAAAAAAGACTAACAATTGAAAAAACAATTGCAAAAGAAACCGGTACAATTAACAATTCTGAAAGAAATATTGGCAAATGTGAAGAAAGAATTGCACAATTAGAAAAGGATATGGAAAAAAGACAAAAAGATATTGAAAAAGTGGAGGAAAATCAAGTTGATGAAAATGCATTGGAAGAAAAACAGAAGAAATTAAAAGAATTGGAAGAGAAAATGAAGGAATTTGATGAGAAGTTTAAGGAAATGAGAGAAGCAAAAATGACATTAGGAAAAGAAGAATTAGAATTGGAAAAGAATTTGAAAGATATTGCTGAACTTGTTAGTGGAATGAAATATCAATTGAAAGAAAAAAATGAAAAAAGTTGAAGATATTGATGAAAATGTAAGTTGAACATAAGAAATATATTGTTTGGAAAAATATATGAATGAAAATATTTCAGATATCTAAACTTGCACTAAATCCAGTTCCTCGATTCGCATTTCTGAATCCATCACAAAAACCAGAAGATTTACGAATCGAATTAACAGAAGAAATTGATCGAGCAATTATTGATTTACCATCTGAAGAACTTGAGAAAAGAATAGCTGTTTGTCGTGAAACAATTGCCAACGAGGCATATTCATTGGAACATCAACTGAGACATATTCAATCAAGTGAACAAGAATATGTTGATCTAGGAGGAGATGGAAAATCGACGAAAATACAAATGTTATCGGAAGACGAGTTGAGAGCATTTACTGGAGAGCAAATTGAAGAAATGCAATTCAATAGAAAACGATTCGAACAAGAACTTGAGGCGATGAAAAATAAGGTGAATTTGTGTGTCATTGATGAATATTTTGAAAAAGTCAAGAAATATAATATGGAAACTGCGAAAGCCAACGATATTAATAGGAATTATGATTTGCATCGGACAAAAATGTGCTTGTTGAAAAGAAATCGAGCGGAAGAATTTCATGTAAGTTTGGGAACAGGGATGTGTTAGAAAAGTGGAAAATTTTCGAATTTTTAAAACTCGAAAATTCAGAAAGTAAATCTGAGATTCTAATTCTAGCTGAAAAGTGATCTGGGCATTTGTTTAATAAATTCTATCTGATTTTGGATTTCAATAAAAAGAGGTTAATTTTTATCCGGATTTCCAATTTTTTCAAATTATGATTTTTTTCTCAAATTCAAACTAATCGGGAATTTTCAAAAGTTCTAGAAAAGTTATCGCTATTTTTGAAACCTAGTTTTCCTCGGTTTTTTTTGGATGTTCAATGAAAACACTGTACAAAGTTTCCAGAAGCCACACTCTACATTTTTTCAAACGAAAAACTGTATTTTTATTGATTTTCAGCGGATTTTGATGGATCACTGAAAAAAACGCAAAATTTTCCGACACATTTATTTTTCCAAAAATACAATGTTTTTTTTCAGTACGGCTTCATGTTTATTTCACAATCTGTTCGAGAAGTATATCAAATGTTGACTGCTGGTGGAGATGCTGATCTTGTGGCAAAATCAGGAACCGATCCATTCTCAGAAGGAATTCAATTTCTTGTTCGACCTGCCAAAAAATCATGGAAACACATTGAGAATTTGTCAGGAGGCGAGAAAACTCTCGCTTCATTGTCTCTCGTTTTTGCTCTTCATACATTCCGACCAACTCCGTTTTATGTTATGGATGAAATTGATGCCGCGTTGGATTATCGAAATGTTTCAATTATTGGAAATTATGTGAAGGTATGAATGTTTTAAAATCAAAAATTATTGAAGTATTTTTATATTTTTTTCAGGCGAGAACAAAGAATGCGCAATTCATTATCATTTCATTACGAAACAATATGTTTGAATTAGCAAATCGACTTGTTGGAATTTATAAAGTGGATGATTGTACTAAAAATGTGGCAGTTGATCCGGTTAAAATTTGTGAAAAATCAAAAGAGATATTTTTTCAACTTTCAGGAAAGGTAGGGTTATTTCTTGAGATTATTATTAAAATGAAATCTCTCCTTATTTTTTCAGGTGTCTTGCACATTGCCACAAGAAGTAACTGCAGAATATCAAAAACAAAAAAGTGCTATGAAAAAGGCGCAAACAGCTCAAGAAAAACAATATGATGCATTCCCATCAAGCAAAGATATCGATAGAGCTGAACAAATATTGCATATGCAGAATAGATTGGGAAGTGTTATTAGTCGACAACAAGATCGAAATGATGCTGGATTAGATTCGAATCGACCACAAACATCGGCTTCGACAACAAATCGACCAATTTCGCAAGCATCGACTAGACCTGAATCAAGGATATTGGAACGTGAGTTGAATATTTTTGCAAAGTTGAAATCTGACAAGAATGAATTAATTTTTTAGAGCTGAAAATACCAAATGTTCGATTAGTTGCAACTACAACACCGCCATTACCAGTTCCAACAGAACAATTGAGCGAAGTTGATGAAACAGTTCCGGTAAGTTGTTTCAAAATTAGGAAATGTTTTAATGTCTAAAAAATTCTGAATTTTAGCAGAAAACCTTTTCTTTCAATGATTTTCCAGAAAGTTGCGAGTTTTTCTCTAAAACCGGAAACACTTTAAAAAGTTTTTCTCTTTTGTTTAGCCTTGATTCGATTTTCAGGAAACATCGGAATCTCAAAAACATCGAGCAACCGAGGAAGCTGCTGTTGAAGATATGGAAATTGAAGAATCACGATCTAACGGAACTTTAACCGCAGTATCTGTAACAAATGGAAACGACGCAATTGTAAATCAAGAAATTGATGAGAATCAACGTGTTTAATAATTTGATTACTAATTTTGTATCTGTTTACAGTGTCTTCTTCGCCATCATCTTTCGTTTTGATTTATTCTTCCTCTATTGGTTTTTGTATTTACTATTATTCTTTTTTTCTTCCAAATTATTTTTCTGTAAGTTTTATCAAGCTTTAACATGAATGTTGTGTTTTTATCAGTTATTGTTTGGTTTTGGTTTTGCATGAGCTTTGGTTTGATTATCCTATTATTTATCTTAACTTTTCCTTGTGTGCTTTCACTTTTTGATTGATTTTGAGTTTCAGTCAAACTGTTTTCAGAATGCCACATACCATTTTGTTGATTCAACCAACAACTCAATCAAATTCAAGAACTTGGTCAGATTATGAAACACAAGCTGCAAGTTTGGATGGTCAGTTTTTTCAATTCAAAGGCTTCAAACCGAAACTATGTCTTTCCAGCGATTTGCAAAATTTTCGAAACTTTTGCTAGAAATAAACTGCCAGAGAATGCTGAATTCACTTTTGATATCAATCAAGTTTTTGAATTTCTTGACAAACTCACCGATATTTCGATGATGATTTTCAATGCTGTAAGTGCCAACAACCACGGCCTATTTTTTGAAATCCTTATTATTTTCAGGAAACTGCCCAATATGTTCCACGCAATCGTTCTTGGATCAAACAACAATTGTTCGAAATGTTCAAAAGTAAATGTCGTCACCCAGAAGCTGGAGAAAAATTGATTGCGGGATATTAAACTTACGAGTTTCTTTTTTCACTTTAATCTCTCCTTATACCTGATCTTTTTATATACGAGAATCTCAAGAATTCATTTGCATTTATTTTTTCGTTTGATATTTCACTTTTTAAAATGAACAATTTTACTGAAAGATAATCGGTAATAAATACAAATGGAAGATAGAAAATCGAAGGGCGAATAAACGGGAAAATATCTTATACCTTTTCATACTTATTAGACGGTGATTTTGTTCAATTGTTGAATGGCATTCGACAAATACTTGTCTTTGAAGTCCTTCGACGAAACTTGTTTCTCAACCTGAAAATATTTGAGCTATTGTTTGTGTTTTGAGTTTTAGAGTACTTACCGAGTCATTAATCAATTTCAACAATTGATCTCTTTCGAATCTGGATTTCGTTGCTTCGGTTTCTTTCAAATAATCAATTCTTCGTTTCAATTCGCTGGCGATTGTTTGCACATTCTTTCTGAAATAAAAATGTTTCTAATTTCATTTGAATTTCTACGAAATGTCTACCTGTATGTGGCTTCCAATTGCAATTGCATAGTTTCTTTGAGAGTTGTTGGCATGCTCTCTTTCAATGCAGCCAATGAAGCAGTTTCTTCAGCAGATGTCTGAAAATAGTTTCAATTTGTATTTTCCAAAAAATATCGATGTATAATCACTTTTCTGAATTGGACAGCATCTTTCAAATCGTCTTGGATCAACCCTTTGAAATAATCCATACGAGCTTGATAGTCCTTGTACAAGCCGGCGTCGATGTTATCTAAAAATTGAAAACTGATTAGAAGTTTATTTCATATATAACTAACATCCAGCGGTTCTGGAGACGAGCAAATAGAACAAAATCCATCCAACAGTCATGTGTCCTTGTTCTTCGAAAACCCACAATTCTTTGTTGAGCAAAAATGTGAAGAGACCTCCATAGAACAAATATGGTCCTAAAAACAAAAGGTTTTGTCTATATTTTCTTCAAAATACAATCTAATAAAAAAGGGAAAGGGAAAGAGAAAAGAATTGATTAAATTTGAGTTCTACCTGAAACTCCAGTTACTTTGTTGAAAGCGGTGAACCAAGAATCAGGCATCATCAAAAGACGAGTCTTTGGTGGATACATTGGTCTCGCTGGATAAGGATAGTTGACCTAAAACACGATTATCATAAAAACCAATGTAACTAACAATGAATCACAAACCAAATCTCTATCTGGATGCTCTTTGAAGTCTTTTGGGATAGCTGGCAAGAATTCAGGTGCAGACCATTCTTTGTTACAGCTGTCGAACATTGATTTTGGAGCTTCAGTCTCTCCTGGGAGTGGAATTCCTGAAATCATGAAAATGTGTTTTCAATAAAAGATTGTGTGATAAGTTTACCTTTGAATCGATAGGCAATTTTCTCGAAATAACCCACATTTGAAGATGTTGAAGATGCTGAAAATATCTTATTAGATTCTTGTAACAGGAACTAAATTCAAGAAAAACTAACTGGCAACAGCAGCACCTCTTGTGGCAAAAACGATAGTTTTCGGCGATGAAAGGCGACTCAACGACATTCTGGAATAAAACAATAATGAAAAGCAGATAATCAAAACGTAGAAAAGAGAAGGTCACGTACAAAAAAAAGATTAAAAACGGGATTTCGGCTTGAAAATTCAAGCCTGAAACTTTGGAAGGAAAAAACAAGAAAATTTAGGACCGCCTCTCTAAAAACTGTGTTCGTTGCGAGACCAAATAATAATTCGGTGGGCATGTTCCTTTGAACACCGTATGTTTTTGCGTTAAATAATTTTTTTTCAACCGATTTCAAGCTAATTTTCGCAGAAAGCATTGTAGAAGATTAGAGAATCACTCACGAAAAAAGTTTATTTTCTTGGATAAATTCAGAAACAAAATAAGTGCATCGTCACTAGAGAAATTTTGAAAAGAGTTGAGGTTTTGAAAATTTTCTTGGATTTTGAAAAATTAAAATTTTTCTGGAAATTGAGTTAGATTCAAATTTTATAAAAACTTCCGCATTCCCTTTTTAAAGTCAGAAAAAGTCTTTTAAACATATAAATAATTTATTTTCAAAGAAACAATAAATCACAACTCTTATGATGATCACAATAAAATCTACCAAAAAATAAAATAAATTTGCCAAACACTTTGAATTATTTCGTTAATGAATAAATTAAAAATTTCAGAGAAAGAAAAAAAAACAACATCTACACGTTGAGAGAAAGAAGTAAGTATTATTTATTTGGGTGTGGCTGCTTTTTGTGGTTGTTGAGCTTGTTGCTGATATCGATGTTTATACTCGTAGTGCCATCGATTGAAATCTGCATTGTAGACGACTATGGCACCCGAATCCAAACCGCCCAAAATAAATCGATGTGATGCGGCTACAGAAACACTACGAACTGCCGTATTTAGTGACTGAAAAAAAAATGAATTTTGAATCGAAATTCAGGCGAAAACATCGGGGGAAAATTGGTGACCAACAATTCGGTATTCTAGAATTTTCAATGTAAGCTCACAATTGTAGAGCATATTGACCCTGAAAATGCTCAAATTTGGGCTCAAAATCTTCGGAATTCGATGTAGATTCCAAAATTTCTAGTTTCATTTAACAATTTAGAGGCTTTTGAGCTACATTTTCAGAAATTCACGCGGATTCGAAATGTTTCAATTTCAGCTCAACTTTTTTTTTGAATATTTTGATTTGAGCTGAAACTTAAAAATTTTCATTCCACGTGGATTTGGAGCCCAAAAAGTTCATAATTCCACGTGAGATTCTAAATATTCAAATTCATCAAAAATAATTGGAGCATTTGAGAGAGCTTAAAGTGTGTTTGGGCTCAAAATTTTTAAAAATTAACGTTGATTCAAGATTTTTCATGTTCAGCTTAAATTTCATTTTGAGACTAAAAGTTATATTTTGTAAACACAATATAAATTTTTGCTTGAAAAGTTTTATTTTTTTATTTCATTGAAAACTACACTTTTTCGTGAATTTTGAATTTGTGAAAATACTTGTGAAGTATCGCAGCCAAGTGTGCCTGAAATCGTGAAAAAAACTCACTTGATAAGTATACAATTTCGTCAGTGGAAAAACTCGCCAAATTGATATTCTACCATTAATTGAACCAGTCACAGCAAATTCACCATCTCGAGTGATTGTCAAACATTCAATTCTGAAATTTTCAATTTGTTCAAATGTCTCAAATTCAAAAAACTCACTTGTCCTCAGCAATAGATTCATCTAATAATCTCGCCGTCGCCGAATATGTCACAATTCGTTTCGAATCATACAATGCCAGCAAAACACATTCTCGACTCATTGATAATTGTGTCACAATTCCTTGTCCTCGAATTCTTCGAAGCAAATCCGAACCAGTTGTATGAATCAATATGATTCCGTCTTCGCAACCACTTATCACTAAACCATGTTCAGCTGAAACACAAAGTGAGCTGATGGCAGCTTCGTGGCCAGTTAGAATTGATCGAGGAGATGGTGTTTCGCCAGGTTGATTGTATTCACCAGCAATATAACCTTGCTGAAAATATCGAGAATATTTTTGAATCAATGAATTAATTAAACCAACCGTTCCATTCCAATGCCATAAAACTACAGTACAATCCATACTTCCAGTAACAACATAACAATCACTGAAAAGACTTGTTTCACTTCGAGCAATACAGGTTACAACATCGCCATGTCCATAAACAGCTTGTCGAACTTTTCCTAAATTTATTTTATATTAAAAATTGTTCGAAAAAGAAAGAATCTAACCTGTGTCTGTATCAACAATTCTAAAACTATAATCTGGATATCCGCAAGCAAATATATATTTAGAATCAGTAGTTGTCACAAAATTAGTGCAAGAAACTGTCAATCTTTGATCAAAAGCATCTCCCAAATGTCTTCTCGCCAGAATCGCAGCCGTATTCGCCGTGGCCAATTGTGGATCAGCAGTTAATGGTAATTGAACAGTTCCATCAGTATTTGATGGATCCATTGCAAGTGCACTTCGTTGACTTGCTCCATAACTATAACTATTATCCCATTTATTCAATGAGAATACAAGATTTTGTGCAACTCCGACAACAGTTGGATTTGGTATTTGATGAAATGTATTAGCAGCAAGATAAACAATCGGACTATTTGATATATATTTCATCATCATACATAAATCATCATCTAATCTTCTGAATATTGTTGGTGTCATTGACATAACAGAATGTCGTGGTGGATGTGCTTCAGTTAATAATTGTGAAGGTGTTTGTCCAAACGACATTATCTGTTGTTCAATTGCTTCCATTTGCCCTGGAGTTTCAACAGCTTTCAAATTAACAGATCCTTCATAAGTTAAATGATAAAATACATTAACAGCTCGAACAGCTTCTGCTCCTTTTTGTTTATATCCAAATATCAAATCAATCCATTGATTTAATTGACAAGAAACAAGATCAGATTCCAATGCCTGTCTATGCATCAAAATAAATTGTTCCGGTGAATCAGCCCAAGCTGGTAATACAATATCTCCAACTTGTGCTCCATCTTGTCGACTTCCCAAATTAAATCGATTCGAATTTCTAAACATTTCTGGCAAATAAAACATCTCCGGAATAAGTTCTTTAACATCGTGCGAATCTCGTTGACATCTTTCCCAAGTGTCTTTTATACTATGCAATATTCTATCCGGATGATCGAATTTTCCATCGTGTAAATTGATGAACATTGTCGAAAATGGTTCAATTCTTAAAAGCCAATTTAATGTAAATGCAGGTGTCGAATAATGTGTTCCATAATGGAAAGCAGGAATTTGATCATCTGACCAACTTGTATATCTTTCTTGGAAAAACTTCCTTCGATTCTCAGATAATGCGCCAATTGGTTTTGATAAATCACGGAAATTCGCAGCCACATTCAAATCCAATGTGTCCGATGTATAATTGGTAAGAATCCACGGGAAAACCGGATATTGACTCAAATCATTGAAAGTTCTTCCAGCTACAGTATTCAAAAACATGAGATAATCGAAATTCGAAATCTCTCGCTTTTGCCATTTCAAACACATATCTGAATGCTTGAATAATTGTCTTGGTGTCATTAATGATGTTTTTCTGCTTTGTGGCAATCCATATTTAACACCAACACCAACACGTGGCAATTGATAAACAACTTTTTTCACTGTTTCTTCGTCGTTGAATGCAAACATAATTGCAGCTGAAATATTGAAAATAAATTCTGCAAAATTATTGAATGAAAATCTAATGTAAGTACTTATTGAAACTAAAAAAATAAAAGAAAAAACTAACTTCTCGTTGCCAAAAACAATTCCAGCGCAACATTTTGCAATAAAAATCTTCTCAAGAAAATCGCTCGAATTTCCAATAAATTCCATCTTGCATGAAGTGTCTCACAATATTTGAGAACCTGCAAAACAAAATATTTTTAAATATTTTTCTGTCATTTTTTCCCAACGGGTGTCACATATCACGCACACATGGTTGGGTGTATAATTATTATGTCTATTATTATTATGTGGTGGGTGAATGGATCAAAAAAGAATGAGAATCCTATTAGTGACACCCTAAAGAGTTTCAATTGAAAACTATAATGGAAATATTTTTGGGATGAGTTAGGAGAAGTTACGCAATCTTTTGATGTGTTAGCAAGGCCGTATCCGGTTGAAAACTTGGGGGATTATTATCTAATAATATCGAAGGATGTGTAAAGATAACAAAAAAGGAGATGAATCTAGATAAAGAAAAAAAAGAAAGAGGACCACAAGAGGAAAAATATAGTAAATTTGCTCGAAGAAATCGATAATGAGTAGATAAATAGATTACGGAATTTTTAGGTTTACATTTTCATACTGGGAACTTTTTTTTCAAAATAAATTATAAACCAAAAAAGGATTGAAATTCAATCATTAAAATTCTGGGTTCGGAACCATCAGAGCAAAATTTCTCAAAAACGCCCAAGTTTCGTATTTTCAAACAGTTTCAGGGCAAATTTTTTGCCTAACAGATTCTGAATGACGTGCTATGCCAAAAATATCCCAAAAATTAAATTGACCAGAAACTAGTGTTGAGTAATTTTTGGACCACCAAGCTGTATATTTTCCAAACAATTGTCAATATCTTTATCATCAAAGTGAACTCCGAATATCTTTTTTTTTTCATCTTCCTTCTTCAAAAAAAAAAAAGGCTATCATCTCGTCACCTTCTGATAAATGTCTTTGCCGTCTCTCATCATCATTATTGTTAGTTAGTTAGTTACACGCCCATTTCTTCTCCATTCTTTTTTTTCTCCCTGACATCCTAAGCCCCGCCCACTTTTTCTGTTTTTCCAATTTTCAACACATCCCTTCTTCTTTTTTCTCTCCTATTCGAACACATGCTTGGAAGAAATCCAAATGTGACATTTCAGGTTAGTGTTTTCTGTTTTATTGTTGCTATTTTCATTCTTCCAGGTTCAAACCTATTACAATGAAAAAGTGAACAATAGAAAAACTCGTGTGAGCAAAACAGTTTACCGTGTTGCAAAAGTAGTTCAGAGTATATTAAAAGAAGTCGAAGAACAAGAACCAAGATTCGTTTCAACAATCAGTGATGTAAATGGACGATTCGAGGGAGTAAGGACTTTTTTGAGATCTCTTTTAAAGTATTTTTCTTTATAGATTACAGTCCATTCTCCACATGAATACGAAGCTGTTTTATATCTCAATCAAATGGGAGTTTTCAATTTTGTAGACGATGGTTCAATTCAAGGTTGTGCTGTTTTGAAGTTAAGCGATGGACGAAAACGTTCAATGTCTCTTTGGGTCGAATTCATTACTGCTAGTGGCTATTTATCAGCTAGAAAAATTCGAAATCGATTTCAAAGTATAGTGGCACAAGTTATCGAAAAACCTGCCTATCGGTAAGCTAAAACTCATAAAGATCTCCAATAAATCAATAAATATTTCAGAGACTACTGTAAACTTCTAACAGACAATTCCGATGTTCGAATTCGTGTTGACGACAAATTCACAGTTCAAATAACATGTGCATTTCGATGTAACGGAATTTGGCCACGATCAGCTAGTCATTGGCCATTGGCTGGAATTCCTTGGCCAAATTCTGTGGTAGCAAATCAAGTAAAAGGTGAAGGATTCGATTTGACAAGTCGAGAAACATCAATTACCCAACAAAATAATCCGAATAAACAAGCAAGTACAATGGAAGCCGATGCATGGGCAATGAAAATGACGGGAGCCGAAAATTGCCTATTAGGTTAGTTATAGTTTAAAAACAAATCAAATCGAATATGTTGTTTCAGTGGGAGGCCGCCGTAAAACATTGAGTATTCTAAAATCTTTGAGAGATTCTCATTTGGATTTTCCTGGAACACCAATCACAAATTATATATTGAAAACTCTGGTTTTATACGAATGTGAGAAGCATTTTTCAGATTATGAATGGGAAGATAATGCAATTGGAGATCGAATCATCGGTTAGTTTGAAAATATTTTACTACCCAAAAATTAATTATTTTTCTAAATTCCTCTAATAAAAAGAATAACTAATATATTGTTCATTATAAAGTAGTCCATTTTTCGATGCTCTCTGCGTGTCACAAGAAAAATGAATTTTCTTGCATTCCTAATGATTTTTGCCTCGCGCCTTCATAGTCATTTTTTCATGGCTGTTGGCATCCAAATAAAAAAGTATATATAAAGAGAGAAGAAGGCAGGAGAGAGGGCAGAAGAAACTGTCAACTCAAATAAGTCGATCATCATTTTGACATATGGAATTGACAACCGAAGAAATATAGAGAATGTTGTTAACAGCAAATATTTTCGCGCGTGATCTTTTCAAAAAGTTATTGATGGAAAACTAATTCTGGAAATAATCAGCACTTACATTTAAGGAAAACGTTTTCAAAAAAACCGTAGCATAGTTTTGGCTTTTCAAGACTTCAGAGTAAAAATGGGAATTATCTTTAGAAGACAAAAAATACTCTAAAACTCGGAATTTTAGAAGAAAAGACTACGTTGACACGTCATAACACTGGCAAATTCAGATCCTGAAATTTCAGGGCGGAAACTTTCCCATAGGCCAAATTTTAGCAGGAAATATTTCAAAAAATCCGATGATTTCAGGATTTTTTCTAGGCCAGATTTCTGAATGAGCTATGACGTCATAAGTCTTCTCATGAAAATGTTGAATAAAATTTGAAGGATTTTTTGCTCATAAATTTAGGATTTTTGAATTCTCTATTCCAGCTCAAATTTTGTAGCATAGTCCCTGAAAATGCTCAGAATTCCACGTGAATTCCTAAATTCCTAGTTTAATCTAAAAAAAATGTGTTCAGTAATTTCTGTTTATTATCCACCTATTTCTACCAAATCCCATTCTCATCCCAATTTTAGGTGTTCTCCTTCAACTTGTTTCATGTCTTCAATGCCGCCGTTGTGCTCATTATTTTCTACCCCAACTCGATTTACTTCGTTCAAAACCCTCACATGCTCTTGAGCACAGTTCAAAACAAGCATGGGGTTTGGTTCGAAAATTAATGATTGATCCATTAGCTCTTCAATCCCTCTAACGTCTTTCTTTCTTTTCCTTCCCATTCTTTTTACGTGTTCATCATCATAAATTATTTTTTACCTGTTGTGATTGTCTCTTATACAATGGATGTTCTTCATCGGCATCGAAAAACAAATCAGTGGCTGTGACTGAAAGTGTTCCAGGCACAACGATTCCAGGAGCAATGAGTTTGGCAAATGTTGAAAAGCAAGCAGATTCTGCAAAAAAAAACATGATGAATTAATATGGACAACTGGGAAAAAAGGGGGAGAGGAAAATCGAATAAAATACAATTATGAGATTTTCGGGGGGCGACAAATGTTCTAATTGGCCCTATTAATTGGTTGGGTGACGGGTGTGTCAAAAATATTCAACATTATTAAATTTGACACGTTGTGAAATCAAGCGGGTAATAAAAATTGAATTTTGAAATTTTCAATTCCAGCTCAAGCATTTTGACTCTGAAAATTCTCAGATTTGGGCTCAAAATGTTGAGAAATCCACGTGGATTTGAGAGCTCTCAATTTTAGTTTAAAATTTCGAGCATTTTGAGCATAAACATGGGTGTGTTTGGGCTTAGATTTTTAAGGCTTAAATTCAACGTGGATTCCAAATTTCTCCAACCGAATTTTTCAAAAACTACCGTATGCTATTTTCTGGCGCCAAAAAACCACTCTCGTTTTTCCTACCAGCCAACCATTTATATTCTTTTGTTCATAAATTACTTTCTATTTACTTTTCTTGTCCAAAAATGACTAATGTGCTCCAATTATTATTAAAAACGAGAGAGAGCCAGGTGACTTTTTTGCCCGCGTTCCATTTTTTGTTCGTAATCCTGGCTGGATTAAACGAAACAGAGAAAAATGTTCGGAAAAAAGTCACAAAAATGAAAGAAAATCTGGGGCCGAGAAAAAATGATGAATTGCTCAAACAACTGACGCCTCCCTATTTTTTGTCGCGTTGTTTCACTTTTTTGTCGTTCACGAAATGAAAATCATTTCATTGTGGTTGGTCAAAATCCGATTCTACCGTACTATTTCGAAAATAGATAAAAATCATTAAAATGGAGAAGAAGAGTGTGTTTATTGGGTTGAGCGAAAATTTACGATCGCCCAAAAACACCAGTGTTCCTTTTCAACAGAACAGATTAGCTCATAAAAATGTGTGTTTTGTCGATGGAAAAATGATAACGGGGAAAAACTATTGAAATTAGAGAAAATTGAGAGACAAAATTTGAACTGAAAAAAGAAGTTTCGGAAATGTGGATTTTACAGAGAAAAGTGTGAATTTTCTAAGATTTTCACCAAAATATTCCACTTTTTTAAAGTTTCTCAAAAATGTGTATTTATCACAAAAATTGAGAACATGATGAAATTTCAACACCCATTTCCCACTCCATCCCCCAAAATCTATCCAACTTACGACTTGAAGGTGTTGGATCAACTTCATTCGCCCATTTTTCAATATCCGATTCATCAACCAATTCATTTGTCACATTTGCTCCCGATGGTTTATACGCTGATAATCCTTTCAATATTTTCCTCAATTTTTCTTCCGGTGATTCTTTTGGCTCTTCAGCTATTTTTTCCCCAGCAGTCGCTTCTTCATGTTTTGTTCCAATTGGATTTGGCACAAATCTCTTTCTCCTTCGACTGTCATCTTCCCAAACATCAAGTTTCCAGAATTGATCAATTGATTGAGAATCTCCAGGTTCGCTGAGAATTGCTGACATTTTTTCGAGAAGTCTTCCAGCATTGATAGAATCACGAAGACGGCCAGAAACAATCAAAAGATCACATCGACTGTATTCTTCATGTCGAGCTGATAATTGTTCACGAGTTTCATTCTCGAAATATGCATGTTTACTAACATCTTCAGCGCGGAGACGATTTAAAATGAAATCAGCTTCGTTTGCAACACGAAGAACGTGGTCACGAGTTGCGTGAGCCATCAAACGACCTGAAATTAAATTTTGTATGCAAAATTTCATAAACTTTGGGGATAAAAACTATTGACATGTTTGAATTTTGAAAAAATATAGGAAATTTCTCACAAATACTAATTAAAATTATAAGTATCTTAAACCTGAGCGAGAAATTTTTGAAATTCAGCAGTGGCGAACTCTAGCTAATGTAAGATATACATTTTTTGGTGAGTGGTTTTTTTTCGGAAAAATTCAGATTTCTGGGTGCGGTATGATCAAAAATCCGGGGTTTTGAATTATTTCCAACATACCTTCATTAACCAATTCGATAAATGCTAAACCAGCATGTTTTTGAAGCGATGTTTGCCATTCTTGTGAGCATAATAACATAACCAATTCAATAACTGATGAATTTCGATTTCTCAAAGTTTCCAAAACTTTTCCATCATTCATAATTTCTTGTCCATGTGTTCCAAGAAGTGTTTTCTGAAGATATCCTCTAAAATCACTCATCATTTCTCGAAGAAGCGGAGCACAGGATTCCAATGCAGTTTGCAATTTTGTTGTCAAATATTCTCTTCTTTCAGTGGTTTGTTTGACCGGCGGTAGTGCTGATAATTTCGAAAGTTGTGCAGCATCATATTCATTTTTTCCATCTTTTTTAATTTCAACATTTTCAACTTTAATTGCTGCAATATCACTTTCTTTCATATTTCCATTAACTTCTTCCGCTTCTTCTTCAGCTTCTTTCCCATTTTCCTTTCCAATTTCTTGTTTATCTCCATTTTCAACAATCGAATGCCCATTTCCATTCATAGCATGTCCATCTTCCGAACTTGATATTGATTTTTTATCATCATGTTCAGAAGAAGTTGTTGAATTGAAAAATGGAGACGGTGAAGATGGTGGTTCTAATATATCCCGATATCTTGACACCATTAAAACTGATACCAAATAAATAACAGAAAGTGCAAGGAATTGTGCTTGTCGATTTTCTTCAACCATATCTCGATAAACAACTCCTTTAATTCTTGTTACATCTGAATCCTGAACAAGTTTTTCAAGATCTTCTAATCCATCTTGTGCGCGATTTTCTAAAGATCCTCTTACGAAATCGAAAATACACTTATTTTTTGCGTTCGCTTCAGGATCAAATTTCGGAGTGTTCACAACAGGATTTTGTGTTCTTGCTGCCAAAATATGTCGAACTGCAACAGTTGCGGATATTCTCAATGATTGTCTCAAAACTCCTCCAGCTGGCATATTTTTCTCTTGTTCCAATTCAGAAAATGAAACTCCTGAATTGATAACAAACATATCAACGAGTTTAGCAAATCGAACAAGAAAAGAAGCAGCGACATGAATTGGAAGTTGTTGAAGGCAAGCATCGGCTATTCCGAGTTCAGAATTTGGCGAAGTTGCACTTGCAAGAAGTGGAAGAAGACCGCCACATGCCATTATTAAACTATCAGCGAGTTGTGAAATAACATGGACAACATTTCCGACGAAAACTTGATTTTCAGTTGCATTACATTGATCTCCAGTTTGACTATCAACTCTGGAAAAATAAATATTTGGGAAACTTTTGAAAAAAAATTTGGATTTCTCAATTTCCAGCCTTCAATTTTTTAAATTAATTTTCTTGTGAACCTTCCTTCTAACATTCCTGAATTAACTAAAATTTACACTCGAGATTTCAAATATAAAAATTTTGAAACGTATTTTCCAGGACTTGTTTTAAGGCGAAAAAAACCACTTTTTGACTCCTTGACATTACTATAAGTTAGAAATGTTGAAAAAAAAAATCCAAAAAAAACTGTTAACGTCCGAAAAAATGTTTCAATGACTGAAGAAATTTTGAGAAAAAAACTTCTGAAACTGCAGATTTAAATTTGTTTCCTAGATCAACTTTCAGTGAAAATCTTTTTCGAAATCCATAAGATCTACTAAAAAACTCACAATTTCCATTCTTCAACAACTCGTTCAATTCCACTTAATAAATCAGTCAAAAGCCGAACATGAACATCAGACCAAACAAAATCAGGTGTTCGGTAAATCGGCGTCGGTTCAGCTTCTTCTCCCGTCTTTTTTGCTTCCGCCAATTTTTTCTTAAATTTCTCATAAGACACTTTAGAATGAGCAATTGCCAATGTATCCACCCAAACTCTCCATCCACCATATTCATGTCTCAAAGCATGATGCAATAAAATCGAAAATGCTTCCCAAACCAATTCAGACACTTCATTTTGCGATTCATTTGTATGAAAAACATAAGCAAGTCCAATCAACCAATCTTGCCAAACTGACATTTGCAAAATTGTTCGTCGATTATCTTTACTTTCCCGGCACATATTAATAATATCAATCAAAAAACATTTCTTGATCATAACAATATTCTCATTTTCTTCACATTGAGTTATAACATGAGCAATCACTTTGAGTAATTGCGGATTTTCAAATCTTAAATTAAAATGGTTGGATTGATATTCAAAGAAAAAATGAAATAAAAAACTAACTTCCATTCCGGTTGAGCTGGTTGATGTGATGGATATGTGAAATTATTAGTCATTTGTTCAACAAGAATCTCGAAAAGAACATTGTACGTGGAAAGTGAAATATTTCTTGTATGAGAAAGAAGACGATCACCGATTAATGAAAATAGATTCTGTTGTCCCATTGATTCAGATTTTCGTCTGGAAAATAGATATGGTTAGATAGACTTATATAGGATTTTTCAGGAAACAATTAGGCCAGATAAAATAATTCTAATTTTACTAATGTGTTGAATTGAAAAATTTTAAAACACTAGAATGAAATGTCACAAAAATCATGTTCTAAATTCAAAATATTGTGCAAATACTTTTTTTTTTGAAAAACTATTCGTTTCCAAGTTTTCATCGAAAATTTAAAAGTTTGGAAATTTTTGATAACTTCAAAAAATTGGAAAAATAGAATGGCTGAAGACAAAAATAAACAAATTCCTCTTTTCAACTCACTTCAAAGTACTTCTGCTCAAATAAAATCCCATAATTTTGAGAGCTGGAATTCGAATCAATTCATTCGGCGCAGCTAACAAATTGAATATAATTCCAAGTGCTTTATTCTTATCGATAGCCGGAATCATAATAGCTGGTTGTTCTGATAATAATCTCGTGACAAGAGCTAAAACATCATATAAATTATCATCTTCTCGAACTGTTGCTAGCAAATTCAACAACGTATGAATTTCTTGATCATGATTCCTTTCCTCTCCTTCTTCTCCATTATTCAATGGTGTTACAATTAATCGATTGATAAATGTTAAAATATCACTTCGAATTGAAACAATATCACTTGTTACAAATGTATCTGGTCGATCTTCAACTGTATAATTTGATGATGTTTGTGGAAGTGCTAACCAATAGAAGTGTTTTAATGTGTGACACATTTCAATGAGTGTTGGAACACGTCTCAGCATTTGGGAGAAATTGTTATTTGCCAAGAAATCAGTTGCAAGATATTGATAAAGATGAACTTGAACTTCTGGTTTTGCACGAATCCAAAGTTTCGGATTAAATAAAATATAATCGAATAAATGTTTGAGAAGAGGACCGCCGGCTGGACATCGAAGAAGAAACTTTGCAATTGTGATAAGTTGTTCAAGAACATTCATTGATAAATGAGTCGGTGATGCTTTTTGAAGACAATTTGATATTATCAAAAATCCTTTGCTATGGAATAATTGTTGTTGACTCGATTGCGAACTCGATAAAAGTAAAGAAATCAGTGATAAAAGTGTCTGACAAACATCGCCATCAATTGGATCATTTGAAGATGGCAAATCAAGTTGAGCAAATAATGGAAGAAGAATTTGAATACCACCGACTGATTGAAGTGATTTGTGAATTGAATGAGTTGTGATAACTTCAACACCTTCTTTCATAACAGCGTGTGGAATTTGGACAAAATAACTGCTCGCATTTTTAGATGGTGTGTAGAGGCAAAGTTGACCATGACAATTTTTGGGGCAATATGCAAACATTAAAGATTGATGAAGATGTCCATCGAATAAATGCTGAAAATGAGGACATTTTTAGAGTGAAGAAATTAATGAAAATTAAACTTTAAAGAATTTTTAGCCCCTTATATCCAAAAAAATATATTTTAAAATATTAAAGGAAAAATAGAGATTTTCCGGGAAATTTGAACAAAAACTCATCAAATTTCAAGTGTTCTTAAAATTTTGAATCGAAAACTGAATCTTGAACAATAAAATTCTCCAAAAAATCCCTCATTTTCAAGTCCTACCTTTTTGTATCCTTCGGGTAAACTCGTTTCAGAATCATGTTTAAAAGTTGATTGATATGCAGGTCCAAGGCAAAACAACGAATTCGCTTGTTGAATACTCAATGCTTCAGCAAACAAATACATTGCTCCCATTTGTCCACAAAATGCCGAATTCGGAATTCCATCAGCTGACACACCAATCGAACATCTATCCCAATGTGTTGGCGATGCAACAGCCCATGACAATTCAATTGTTTCAACAAGTTGTCCATCAATAAAACATTTAATATCAGATCTTCCCCATCGCGAATAACAATGTGCAATTGCAATATGATGCCATTTTCTTGCTCCTAATTCTGCTTTTATACATCTCGATTGTTCTTTTCCTTTTGTTTTTTCAATATTTAGAACAAGACAATTGCCAGTGAAATGACACGAATATCCAATTCCTTTGCTTGTTCGAAAACTATACAAAACTGGTTGTTCTTTTTCAAATGTAACACTATTCAATGGTTCCATTCTTAGCCACGTTGCAAATGTCCAACCTTGTTGATATGGCATTGTTTTTATTGGTGGAAGAATTATTCCCTGCAAAAATAATTTCATAAGATATTGGTTTCAACACAAGGATATTTACTCACAGATTGGTCTTTTCCGGGAAATGAGAAAAACACATCAGCACTGTCATGTTGTGGCATTTCTTTCAAAACATGCAATAATTTTAGAGAATTTGATGGCTGCAAAATATATTTGTTGGAAACTTTTTGAACTTGATCTAAAAACCAACCCATTGCTCATTCGTCGATTTGAGAGCTCTTAATAAATGTCTTGTCTGTTTAACATTGATCGAATAAGCGACTAATGCGGCAATTAATTGAACAAGTAAATCGGCCAAAAGTGGAGGAGCATCGGGTAAAATATCGAGGATTCTGGAAAAAATTGGGGAATTTTTTTTTCGAAAATAAAAAACATTGAAGCGACTTCTATAAAGTCTCAAAGTTTAGAATTGAAACTTTAAAAATTTCTGCTGATTTTCGAAAATTTTAACTTCCATTTTATTTCGAAATATGCCGCGTGGAATTTTTCTAACCAAAAATTCTGATTTTCGAACACTTTGAATTGAGTTTTCAGAATTTTCCCACCAAAAATCATAAACTAGAGAAGTTTTTTTATAACTGGTAATGAGATTTTTGGTAAAAAATCATGACCATAGATGAACAAGATAAAAATTTAGAACTCACTTCGAAATAAGTCCAACTCTTGTGCACGCCTCCAAATTTCGATTACTTTTCCGAATAACAGCCAGAAACAGACTCCAAATTTCATTTTGAAGATCATGATCACAATGTGATTGAAGTGTAAGCATATGATCGACATTTGACGCATCTTCAATAACAAACTTCGATTCCAAATCAAATTGACCACCGACAAGCTGAAACTTTGATGTTATTGAGGAAAAATGGAAACATCAATAAAGCTTACAAGATTGAATAAATTATCAACAATTTGTGTTCGATCAGCAATATTATTCGAATGTACAACATTAACCAATCTTTGAATTGTTTCATCCGCTCCTTCTTCATTACTATGAATTAATGTTGTTTTTGATAATAATCGAGGCAATGTTGATGTCACATCTTCCTACAAAATTGCAAAAATACAGAACTATATATATATTCTTTACAAAAGTTAGTCAGCGTTAATTGCATTTTTCCATCTCTATTTTCTGACAAAAATAGGAGAAGAAAGAAAACTCAATTCAATTCAACGTTCCATTCAAAACTTATAATTTCATTGTATTTGTGAAGAAAAGTGTGTGGCGTGCATGAATTATTAGTTAGGGAAACGAGAGAAAACCGAACAATAAGGATGTAATTATGATTTTTGAAAAATTAATTAGGAGCATGCCTGCCACCTGGAATTGTAGGTCAAAATGAAATTTTTCAATTTGCAATTGAGATTTCTAATGAAATGTATGTTTTCTAGTAGTTTAAGATCTGCTAATAACAACCCCGTTGTCCAAAACTGCAAATCTCAACATTTCTTTTTGTATTTTTGATAATTTCAGGGATTTGTGTCACCCACCATAATAACTTTTGCTTCAAAAAATATTAGTTATTTTTCATGCAACTTGTTATGTTATGTTAAATTCTAAAAATAAACCATTCTCTTTCCGGAAAAATGTCTCACACTAAATGGCACTGAAATATTGAACGATTTTGAAAATGAAGCCAAGCTTCCACGCCGAGAAACACTTGAGTTGTTCAAATTTGACCAACTTTCTCGCCTACTTTGATTTGAAGGTGTTGATGGTTGTGTCAAATCATATTCAATGTAGAATGAAGTCATGGTTTCAGGCTAAGGTCAGATTTTAGTGTGAACACGTGAGAGGTGAATTTTTAGTGCAGGGGGTTCATTTTTGAATGTGATGAAATCAACAAAACGAAAAAAACATACTTCAAGTTCGAGTTCTTTTCCTTCTGGAAGTGGTGGAAGTGATTCAATAACTGGTGTTGGAGATGGTGAAGTTATTGTATTTTCAGATTGTGCTTCAGTTTCCGGAAATACATTTTCAGATTTTTCTGTTGTAGTTGTGATTTCTTCATCATCTTCAGTTGGATTTCTGGAAAAAACTTGTTTTTTTTTCAAATCGTGGGACCTGTTCAATAATTTTAAACTTTAATGATCATCAGAGCTAGAAAGTTCAATTTGCAAGGATCAGCATCTAGAGATCCTATTTCTCAATAATTCTATGAACTTCGAATATAAATGCAAAAACCAAGTAAAAACTTACGTTTCATCCAATCCCAAATCAACAGTATCCATCTGACTATCATCAAAATTCTCTTCGGAACCATCTTTTTCTATTTCAATTTCATCATTTTCTTGTTTTGATGAGGATGCTTCTGACGTTTCATCTTGTTTTGTAGGAGGATCATCTGCAGAGACTTCCATTTATCTGAAAACTAAATATACTTGGAAAATATGACGAGGCAAATTAATAACTCTGAATTGTGTGAGTTTGCGTGAAAGTGTTTGCAGAAACTTTGACAATTGCTCTTACGTTGAGAATTAGACAGTTTTGTATAAAAATAAAGTTAATTTGGCTAATCAAAAGCTTTATAACTTCAATGAATACTTTATTACTTTTAAAATCGTGAAACGTGGAAAAAATGTAATTAAAACCTTTTTTGATAGAAACAAAAAAATGAATCATTACAAATTGACCTCATAACAATAATAAAAAGTCAAAAAAACGAGAGAGAAAATCTATCTCTATATACACATACATATTCATAGTTAGACCAAAAAAGTAAAGAGTGTGGTCAATGAGAGATTGAGATATTCAAAAGAGACGAGGACAGAGAAAAAAGTGTCTTTTTGTGTGTGGGTCTTTTTTCCCTTCTTAGCACGCCTTCCCTTCTCTACTGAGTGAATACAACAACTGAACAACACAGCCTGGCTAGCCATATAAAGAAAGACGCAGAGCCGAAAATCAAGGTGAAAAAAACGAAGAAAAGAAAAAGAAAAGAAAAAAAAGCGGATATTCATAAGAAAAAGTTCTTAGTTAGAGAGTGAGCATTTTTTGTGCTAGCCAGAAAAACACAATATATTTCTATTTCACATTGAAGAGCTTGAGAAGAGAAAAATATTTTTTTGACCATCAAATATTATTTACGAAGTAAAATGATCGTTTCCTTCCGGCATTCGAAAACTTTTTTATGAAGAAAACTGGAAATGTTCGCTTTCAGATAGATTTCAATTTCGATTAGATTTTGCGAGGTCGAATAGTTCTTTTTAGAAACTTTAAAAAAGAAACGAACGAAAAATCAAACGGAAAAAAAGAAATAATCGATAGCTACAGTAATCTACTCAAAGGAACATGAAAATATTGTGAAGATCGCGTCAAGACCTGTGTGGCGCATCAATTTTTTTTCAAAAAGAAATTAATTTTTTTTCTGCGGAAAAGTTCCAAATAGATTTAGAATGAAACTCTGCTTGTTCAAACAAAAGAGTACTCGAAAAGAAAAAGGTCCCGAACTTTTGAATAAATAAAGAGTCTCTTCAATATGAATCTTTCTATATTTTCCCATCGAAAGCGTTTTTTTTTTCTAAAAAAAAATAGAAAAAGAAAAATTCCATTAAAACACAACGAGTACCTCGTCAAAGTATACGACGAAAAAAGGACAGCAATATATTATGCCATAATACCCTCCGACCTGACACATTTCACGAAAAAAAATAAAACACGAAGATTAATCACACTGTTTTTTTCGTAACGAAAAATATTTTGGAGAAATGTTTTGAGCTGAAAAACGATTTGGAACTTACCTGATTTATTTGCTGGTTCAGATATCGAAAAATAATCGGAAATGGGATTAGAGAGGATTTTTTCTGAAATATATGAAAATGAGGTCACGTTCACGTATTGTTTTCTAATTTTTTTTTTTGAAAAAAAACTCAATTGATAAAATTTTTAAAATTAATTAATTATTGACCTCAAATTATTTTTCTTGACTTGGTCTTTCTAAATGCAGCTTACTCATAGCTCAATTTATTTTATTCAGCTCACTCACGAACCACTCTATTTTGTTTCAAACACAAAAAGCCCTCACTCATTATTTTTTGTTCCTTCTCACAATTTCTCTGATTGCGTAACAACAGTGATATGGATGGCATTTTCATTGAGGATCAAGGCAAAAACCTGTCCATTTTCTTCAACAGAACCGGTTCGCGTCTCTCATTATCCAATGCTATTTCATCAAAATCAACCTCAATATCAGCAAAAACGTAAAGAAGGCGTAAAGATTTGGTCATTTATTATTATTTTTATTTTATTGGTCATCTTCTTCTTCTTTCCCTCTTTTCATTCTCATTTTTCTGTTCCAGCAATGATAGTTTTAATGTGAGTAAACAACGAATTCATTGATCTGAATCTGAATCTGAATCTAAATTTTTCAGAACTTTCATATTTTTGGGATGCGCAGCTCAAAAACAAGGTCCACCCGGACCAATGACATCACATTTTGTAGATTGGTTAATTGCTCACGGGTAATTTTTTAATTGTTTTTTTTTAATATTGATACATTTAATATTCATACATTCAATATTTTTTCTCCAGATATGAATCAGATGCATTTGATCGTCCAGATGTTGGACCACATGGAAGTTTTGGAGGTCGCCGAAAATCAGGTGAACCAATTGAAAAAGAGCCAGTTATTTTTATTCATGGTTCCGGGGATGCTGCGCTATTTACTCAACCACCAATGGCAACTGGTTGGAGCAGGTTAGAGAATATTTTTGATGTCTTAAACGCAGCTAATCAGTTGGAAATGAGTTTTGAGGTTTAATTAAAAGTTCTTAGTTTAAGATTCCATTATTTATTTTTCCCAAAATTCAATTGACAAAACTCGCAGAAAAATTAATTAATTTGAAAATTTTTTGGGAAATCCGTTCCAACTGGGTTAGCTATTGAATCTAGAATAAAATGAATTCGAAAATTTTGTAGATCAATCCAATATTTTTTGGAACAAAACTACACTGAAGCAGAATTATATTCAACAACATGGGGTGATACATGGGGAAGTGGTTCAATGCTCGATACTTATTCAACAGTTCATACCTGCGGAAACCTAATATACCTTCGTCGTTATATCGAATCTGTTCTTGCTTATACCGGAGCAAAAAAAGTTGATATAATTGCACATTCAATTGGTGTTCCTTTAATGAGAAAAGTTATCAAAGGCGGTGGATTAATTGGAACTGATGGAAATTGCACACTTGGCCCATCTTTGGGTTCAAAAGTTGATACATTCTTAGGAATCGCTGGTCCAAATTTTGGACTTTGTGTTTGTCAATTAGCTCAAACTGTTCCAGCCTGGTGTAATGCTTTAGATGGATTGTATCCAGGTTATACTTGTCAAGATCAGGTAGAATTTTGGATTTTGAAAAAAATTCTGAATTTCTAATTTGAATTTAGCTATGGTGCGGTTACACATCTGGAAGTTGTAAACAAGAAAATTATTCGAATCTTCTTCAAAAAACAAACGATGATCCAACTCGGGAAGCTGATCATGTTTATGCAATGTGGAGTGATGGTATTATTTTTAATTTTTTCCTGAAAAATTCCAATAAAATTTCCAGTTGATGAAGTTCTTCTAAATCGCGGAATGGTTTGGGGAAAACCAACAGCTCGAATTCCTGGAATGAATGGAAGATGGATTTCGGATCGAAATGGACATGTTGCAATGAAAGATTTGACTGAATTACGACAATATGAAGCAGTTGTACATCATTCAATTTGATCTGATCTAATTTATTTTGAAAAAAACTATTTTTTTTTGTTATTTTTTCTGTACATAAATAATTTATTTTTATCTAGTTACGTGAAAACACAGTTTGTTAAATAACGTGAAAAACCAATTTGGTTGTCTTCATTTTTTATTTTTCCATATTTACAAATATGGTGAAAAAGAATACACAAAAAACTAAAACTAAAACTGGTACAACGAAACATGGACAAAGTAGTAGCAATGAAAATATAAGCAGCTGTTCGCAATCAGGGTTAGTTTAAGGGAATTGGGGGATTATTGGAATGGGGCCAGGGTGAATAAATTGCTGGTTGGAATCTGTTCAGATAATTTCCAAAACCTAAAGAAAGAACGAAAAAATAAGAGTGTGTTTGTCAACACCGACTGCCCGCAAACACCAAATCCTACGCCCAATCTTGTAAAAAATAAAATAACGACACTCCGCTCAAACAGTTTGAAAATTAAACAACAGGCAAGCGAGTGTCGTTGTTTTACTTTTATTTTTTTCCTTTTTTTGTTTTGAAAGTGTGACGCCCATCAGCACAGCTGGCTTGACGTCTAGACTCCGCCCCTTTCGGGTCAGTCTTCCCTCACCAACACCCAGAGGATGACCACGCTTATATAATTATCTTATGCTTATACTTATATGTACTCTACCTTATCTTATATAATAAACATCTATTTAATCACTTCATGTCTTATTGAGATGGGGCAGGAGGCTGCCTAGCACCCTCACATGGAGGAACCACGAGATTTTTTTTGAACTCGCCCCCCATCTCAAAATTCTACTATCTATCCAATTCATATTTATCGTCTGCTGGGAATATTGTCCGAAATTCAGACAATATTACACAATCTCCAAGATGATCCGAAGATCAGATCATCTCAATCTTTTTCTCTTTTCTCGTAGGATTAGGTCTTTTTAGTGTGACTCATAATAGTTAGGGAAAATAAATCGGTGAATATTATTCGACTTATTCGACAAAAACAATATTCAACCTTATTCGACACCACCAACAATATTTTCGCAAACATCGGTGATTAATATCATGGCACCAGATGGACAAATATGCAAATGCGCGAAACAAACATCGACTCAAATGGCTGTCAGAAAACAAATAGACGACACCAGATGAGGAAATATGCAAATGCGCGAAACAAACATCGACCCAAAGAGCCGTCAGAAACCACCAGATGGCACCCAAGGGATGGATTATGCAAATGAGCGGAAAAGAAACAATAGTTGGAGGAAAGATGGCAATTAATATCATGCCACCAAAAGATGAGGGAAATCGGATAGAAAATTGGACCGAAAAGAAGAACAGACTACAGGAAGACAACTGCAAATAACCATTGCGATCGTCGAAAATCGACGAGAAATGAGCCGAGTTCAACGGAACGAACCAGTCAAATATGGGACGACACAGTACCATAGTTCCGAAGAAAACCAGATTGGGAAAGAGGATTATTCTTCAACACCATCCGCTTATAATGTTCCCGCGGATGGACCCAATCGGACAACACGTGAAAGGAGAGACCGCAGGCGACACTGACTACGTCAAACTTGCGAAATCAACTTAGTCGACAAAAGAGGACTACCAGGCCAACACTCAACGAGTGGGTAGGAATCAAGAAAACCCCGAACCGGAAACATGCTCCTCGTCCATTGGTTGCGTAGGAACCACGCCACCCTGGACATGCTTTGCGATTCAGAAGGAAGAGGGCCTCAAACCCTTCTACATTCCCGAGGAATCTCAAACACCCTGTAGCTGAAGAAGAAGAAGACAATAGTAAGAAACCTATCCAAACCGAATAAAAATCCTAACTAAAACTGAGTCACATCTAGAAAAACCTAACTCTTATCTGAAACTAGAAAAATACCGCTGCACCAGAACCACCTCTTTATTTTCGTCGATCGTTATTATTGCCGATTTCCTGCTGAATTGACAATTTCTTTTTGCCAGAACAAACTCGGAAGAAGAACAAGTCGCGTCCACAGCTGACAAATCCAAAGCAGAAATCGACAACATCAGAACGACCTATCCTTGAAAATTGAACCCCGGGAATCAAGGACCGATCGTCAAAAGAAACATCGGAGAGGAGGAGGAGAAGAGAGAAGAAGATTGAAATTCACTACGCCGAAGATCAGCGTAGAAGAAGACAGAAACTCAATTCGCCGAAGATCAGCGTAGAAGAGTATCAAGTCTCACTCAACACCGAAGATCAGTGTTGGGAAAACTCAAAACCGAATAGCTGGACATCGAAGATCAGTGTCTAGCGAAGAAATCAATCAAGACCGAAACAAGTGGCAGAATATCAAAAATCGACAAGTTCAGAGACATCAACGCCGAAGATCAGCGTTGGAAAAACAAGGTTGGAAACCCACCGAAGATCAGTGGTTTAGCCGTGTCGGAGAAGATCTCACAAAAGCCGAAGTAGATCTTTCAAAAGTCGGATATATCGGAGAGAAGACACCGAAGTTCAGTGTCAAGTTTGGTCAAGAAACCAGCGCCGAAGATCAGTGCCGAAAGAAACCAAACACTTCCGGAAAAGGTCGATATCCACACCAGTCGATAAATCCGATCAGTTGTAGAAGATTCGAAAACTCCACCAACAGTCAAGAACATCGTCCCACCAAGGAAAATGACTACTCCTGAAGAGAAAAAAGAGGAGGAAAAGATGAACACCGTGCCAGAAACTTATAAAATAGCTGGACTAATCATTGCTGCCACCAGAAAGTTCTCGAAAGGGAATCAAATCGAACTTCGTCGATGGATAGAACACTTTGAACAAAACTGTTACGCCGTTGGCGGCGACAATCAGACCGCCACCGATTTGCTCCCACTATTACTTGAAGACACCGCAAGGATCAAGTATGATTTAATTCCGGATGGGAAAAAGAAAGATTGGATAACATTAATCAAAACACTTCTCGCCACTCATGGAAATTCCACGGACACAATGGATGCCCGAGAAACGCTGGAAAATCTGCAACAAGGCATTATGAGCTGCGCCGAACTTGGAAGAACAGTCAAAGAACTATGCGACATAATATTAAACGGAATGCCAGCAAGTCGGAAAGAAGAAATTACAGCCGATACATTCCTGGCAAAAACAAGACCAAATTTGCGAAAATATCTGCGAAGGCTTAATCCGAAACCGAAAACACTGGAAGAGTCCATCAAAGCCGCCGAAAGAGAGGAAAGAATCTCTCAAATGGAAAATCGTGACGAAGATGAAAGTCATGATACACTCATGGCACATATCACCAGTGAATTTGAAAAATTGTCGAAAAACTTCCAACAACTCCACCAGAATTCTAGTAATCAAACATCCGAGCCATCAACATCAACAAATGGCGAGGGCGAGGAAGACGAAGACTATGAGGACGAGGAAGATTACGAGGACTATGATGAAGAAGAAGAAGACGACGACGACTATGAGGAATACTGAACATAATATTCCATCATTTGAACCTCCATGTAATGCATAATCAACCTCCATGTCAGATACAACGCCAATTCTATTATATCCACAAATATCAATGCCAAATTTATCAATTATTCAACAAATTATCAATTATTCACCCACCCTCCCACCCATATGCAACTTATCCAAATATACCAACATTGGGCACCGGGGACGGTACCATTTTGCCGAAGGGGGATGTGACGCCCATCAGCACAGCTGGCTTGACGTCTAGACTCCGCCCCTTTCGGGTCAGTCTTCCCTCACCAACACCCAGAGGATGACCACGCTTATATAATTATCTTATGCTTATACTTATATGTACTCTACCTTATCTTATATAATAAACATCTATTTAATCACTTCATGTCTTATTGAGATGGGGCAGGAGGCTGCCTAGCACCCTCACAAAAGCGACTAGTTTTTTTTAGAAATGGCACCTGGAATTTGAAATATTCCAAAAATTAATTGAAAGTCTGTATTTTTTGGAAAGTTTTCATAGTTTTCAGAAATGCTAAAAACTAAAATTAGCACAACTAGGTCACGTTTAATTTTTTTTTTAATTTTTATTTTTCGCATAGCTTATGTTAGATCTACAGTAAACAAACACTATCATAGCTAAAGGTTACTGTAGTTATATTCCTTCCAATTCTTTGAATTTTTCAGACAAAGACCACAAGTATCAAATATTCGACAAAAAGTAGGAAAGAAAGTCAAACCATCTCCACCAACACAAAACCAGAAAAAAACGAAAGAAGTCAAACCTCCAGCTCCAGTTACAAAAAAAGAGCAGCCAAAACCATCGACTGAAAATGCTAAGAAAAGATCAACTCGAAATCGTGTTTCTGCAGTTCCTTTACCAATTCCATCACAAACAACAACAACATCAAATCCAAAATCGAAAGAAGACGCGACACAAATGGAACAAGATCCAGCAAATCAGAAAGCGAAAAAGAAAAGTAAACGAAAAACAGTTTCGCATGAACAAAATGTGAAAACATATTTTCGAAATATTGGGTTATCGAAAAAGGAACCGAAAGTATTTGAACCTGGACAAGATAAAATGCCGGCCAAATTGAAGGAATTAAAATTGAATAAAGAAGAAAGAACACATGCGAGAACAAGAAAACATATCAAAGATAATCTCGTAAGACTTTTGAAGACTATAATATCATTTTTAGAAAAAAATATTTCAGAAAACAGCTTGTGAAGATGAATTCGAAGATGGCCCAAATTTCGATAACAATGGACAATTATTTGATGGAAATCGAAATCCATTTTGGACCGTCGTTCTTTTTGATCAAAATGAAGCCGAAAAAGAGGGAATTGAGGTTGAAGGTCGAATTACATCGGAGCATGTTATCAAATATTTGGAAGGCACTTTGGCACCAATTAAACCAAATAATAAGAAGTGAGAAAAATGGGGAGATTTTGAGGGAATATTTGTTCATTTTTTTTAGATTATTGTTTGATGTTACGAAATCTGTTGATGAGATGAGATCAATTGATGATGCATTTTTTAACGACGATGCGATTATGTACAATACTCTTCAGAATATTATTAATCACAGTGAACGTAGGTTACAGGTTTTGAAAAAGGCGGGGATGAGGGAAAAGTTTCAAATCAGTAAGGATTTTGATGATACAATTCAAAATTTCACAGTTGACATGCGAAAAATCAGATTTTTCATCAAAATTCATTTGAAAACTTGATTTTGAAGAATAAAAAACGCACTCATTCAAATTAAGCCCCGCCCCTTTTGCACACAAAAAATAGCAGCACGCACAACCCGTTAACCGTCGCTCACACCAGAAATTTATATATTCGCGCTCTCTGTGTGTTTATCGCTTTCGGGCGGTGGCGAAGCTATCGCCAAATTTTTTCTGAATTGGAAATATTTTGAAAATTATCGAGTTGTCAAAACATTATGAAAATTCTAGGATATTTGAACTAGACCCGAAAAAGACACAATTTTAAGATTTCTGAATTGGACCACTTCAACTAACATAAGTTGTCATATTTCTCGAGTTAGAGCATGAGATTTTACAATCTAATTCAAAATCTCCAATAATATTTCTAGGCGCTGTTCAACGATGCACTGGTTCTGAAGAAGGAAATCGTCGAAATCGATATGGCTCCAAATCGAAATCCAAATCCAAATCTTCGGATTCGATTAAAAGTCAGCCACCCTTCCCCATTTTACAAATTTTCTGATCCATATATTTTTCAGAAACTTTATCTGTGGAAGAAACTGTTCATCCAACAACAATTTTGTTTTTCTTGGATAAAGTCGAAAAAGTTGTTTATGAGGTAAAATTGAAACTTTTATCTAAACATAAATATAATCATAATTTTTCAGCGCGAAAATGCGTTTGAATCCATTCAAAAGTATATAAAACAAAAGGAAAATCTACGACAGTGGGAAAACATTTCTGTTTTTTTGTGAATACTTGAATGAATACTTGTTTTGAAAAATGATCTAATGAGTTTTACACCAATCATAGGCATTTCGGAACATTTTGATCCATGGAGACAAATTTGAAGATGAATTTGAATTTGAAAATGGATAATCTGGCCATTGCCACGACAGGAAACTTCTGAAAAAATTAATTTAATTTAATTTAATTATTCTATTTTTCTGTTATTTCCTTGTCTTTCTCTATCTTCTCATTCTTGGTGAAAGTCGTGAAATTTCCTGATTTCACGAAAAAAAAACGAATTGAAAAAATAAACGAGAGAGTGTTACGCCTAGAAGAGACGAGGAGAAAAGGAGAGAAAATGAGAGATAGAAACTCGTAAGAGAGAACGCCAGACAACACGACGTTTGTGAATTTTGTGCGAGCCCAAAAACATTTTTCGTTTTTTGACAAAAAATGCTAAAATTCTTCATACTCAACCAAATTTCACAATCTTTGCTGCAAAAGATAGCAAATTCTCGAGAATAGAAATGACAAAAACAAAAATCTCAAAAACTTTTCACCAAACACCAAAAAACTATGAATATATGTTTTTTGCCTTGATTTCCCTCTTTTCGTAATTTTTTTCTGAAACGGCGGTTGCCAGTTAAACTCGTTTTCCTTCTTACCTATCCGAATGTGGCATCATTGCTAAATGTCTACCATTTTGACTACAAATAGCAGCAACATCACTTTCTGATCCATTTGGATTCATTGGATATGGTAGATGTTTTTGATTATTTCCATAATCTTTTGCACTTTTTCCATCTCCGTCAACAAAACGAACACAAATTTGGCCATTTTCTTCAAGTTTTCGCAAAATGTTGGGGGAGCTGTAGGTGAATCGACCTTCGCCATGAGAAGACCAAAGTCCTAAGATTGAGTGTTCCATGTTTTGAAGCATTATTGATTTGTTGTTTTCAGATATCTGAAATATTTCCGAAGTTTAAATTGTATACAAAACCTATAGGTTGAGGTGAACTTTAAAAAGTTGACTTTTTTTGAGTATTTTTAGCAATATAAAAATTCAGGATTCCTCTGTTGTTCTCCGAACAAAATTCAAAAAATCTCACCTTAACTGGTCCAAAACTCGATTCAAATCGTTCGCATTTATTTTCCTCTAAAAACACATCAACTTCGTCACTTTCCATACCAATCCATCCCAATAATGCCATCAATTGACATCCATTACAAACACCAAATGAAAATGTATTCTCACGAGCCAAAAATAATTGGAACTGTTCTCGAATTTTTTCATTAAATTGAATTCCAGCAGCCCATCCTTTCGCTGATCCAAGAACATCGGCATATGAAAAACCACCGACAAATGCGACGCCTTGATATTGTGAAAGTGTATGACCAGATGATAAATCACTCATTGTTACATCGAAAGTTTGAAAGCCGGCTAATGTGAATGCTGATGCCATTTCTCTATCGCCATTTGAACCTTCTTCACGGATTATAGCAATTCGAGGAGCTGAAAACAAAAATAAACGAATCTGCCACGTGACAAGTCAGATTTTTCTCTAGATTTTAAATGAAACTATAAATGTTCACATACGATTTACTAGCTGCCACGTGGCAATTCAAAAAAAAATTTAATGAAAAATCAGGTTGTCCTGAAAATTGTTATTTTTAACGTGGCAATTTGGATTTTGCTATTACAGTAGTTACAATAATTGTGGTTCTTGGTATTTCTTAAAATTTCTGAAAATTTGGAAATATATTTACCATTTTCAAAATATGTTTGATCATTGATAAAATCAACTTCATATTCGAAATCAAATCCACATTTGTATCCAATTTGTTTTGTTGTTTCTCGAACCTGAAATTAAATTAAATTCATTCTTCAAATATCTAAAATCTAAAAAATCTACCATTTTCGCTTGTTCCAAACATAATTCATTAGTTTGATATTTTCCAAGTTGATCTCCAAGTTCTTCCCAAATTTCTCGTAACTCAACCAACTTCTCTTGCAAAACCAACTCGCCATTCAATGCAATTTTTATAATACCATCTGGCCCAAAATTTTTATGAGTGTTCCCAATTGTTTTTGCAGCTTTTCCGAAAATTGATAAAATCTCGGCTTCATCTGATTTTTCAACTTCAATCAAAACAGCTGGAGCTTCAGAAAATAGTTCCTCCACTTGTTGACCTTCGAAATTTGCTGAAATTCCACAATTTCCAGCAAATGCCATTTCAAGTAATCCAACAATCATTCCACCATCAGATATATCATGTCCAGCTAATATTTTTCGGTTTTCAATGAGTTTTTGAATCTTATTAAAACGATTAACAAATTCTTGAAAATCAGTGACGTCATCAATTTCATCTCCAATTTGTCGATAAACCTGAGCAAATGCTGTTCCTCCAAGATTTATTGATTTTGAATCAGTGAAATTGATAAGGATTATCACAGAATCAGCATCGGAAAGATTTTTTGAAGTTTTCAGATTTGGTGTCACTTTTTTAGTGATATCTGGGCATGTAACATAAGCTGACAGAACAAGTGTACCCGGTGCCTGGAAAATAATTTATTATTGGGAAAACTGAATGGAGAATAGTCGAGTCGAGTCTAATTTAATTTATTTCAAATTTTCAATATTACTTTTCCGTTCAATATGAAAAATACGAGCTGAAATCTTGCTCACCTTCACAACTTCTTCATTAACTTTAACCGCCATACTCAAAGAATCCTTTCCCCCATCAATTGCACATCCAACATCTCGAAGTGCATCACAAAGTGAATCCACAGCTGATACCAATCTAGCACCTTCACCTTCACATTTCGCTGCCCACATCCAATTTCCGGACATTTTTATATCCTGAATTCAATTAATTTCTTGCTAGAAGTTTTTGTTGGAAAGAATACCTTGATATCAGTGATTGGTGCCCAAATGAGATTCAAAAGAGTTTCGGATAAACATAGCCGAACTCCTTTTTCAACATCTACTAACATTTTGATGGGTTGTTCGCCAAGAGAAACAGCGCCTCCGACCTGTACAAAATTTGAAATGTTAACACTTTGACATTTGGAAAACTTTTCATGTCAAAAAATGAGGATTCCAAATTTTTTCCACGTGAATTTTCTGACAGTTGTTTGTGAGTTTTGTCCAAATCATCTCCAAAATTTTGAGTAAGATTACTGTAGCTCTCTAGGCGCTGATCCTTGACAATTGTTATTTCTAGGCTCAGCTAATTACTATTGAAAATTTAGAGTACAAAAATATTTTAATAGATCAAAAACCAAACATTTTTTAATCCTATAAAACATTTTGATCATCAACTTTCAGCTTTTTACGAATTTCCGGATTTTCTAAGACTCAAAATGTTTTTGAAACTACAAAAAATATATGTCAAAAAATCTCTGAACCATATCAAATTTGACCGTTTTCTATAAACTTTTTTTTTCGGAAAATGTAATTTGAAAACTGTTTTTCCACGTCACTTTTAAATTTTAATTTTCCTCTCCTAACTTGTTCTTTTCCAAATTCCACCAAAAAAGTCCATTTTTTCTAAATACCCCATTTATAGTGAAAATGTGAACCCATTAAAAAGCGCTCGCATAATAACTCTCATAAATCACAAAAATATTTTTGCATCAATTTTAGCCAACCCAAAATATGCTCTTTCTTGCTGCTCGATTTTCGGCTCGCGGCGGCATTTCGCATTTCCAACCAACCTAATGAACCCCCATTGTTGTCTTCATCACATCTTGTTCCTTTTTCGAATGACAATGAAGCATCCAAAAAAAATTTGACAAGAGGAAGAAGGAAAAATGGATACGAGAGAAAGGAATATACGAAGCTTTTAGTTAATCTATTTTCCACGCTTTTTTGTTGTGTTTTTCGAAAATTCTTTGAACATTCACCTGAATTAAAGTTTCAAATTTTATAGTTCAAAAGTACCTTCTTGACAATTGGAATCTCTAGGAATGACTGCTTGAGGTTAAGGCTCTCAGGGCGCGGCTATTTCAAAATTTCTCTGACATCTCAAGGCGCGGTTTCTTGCCAAAGTGAATCTCTAGATGTGGTTCTTAGACATTTAGTTTCTTGAGGCACGACTACTTAGAAACTAAGCCCTGATCATTGAAAGTCAGTTTTGAAATTTTTTAAAAATGTTTCCAGACATCTGAAATTCAGTTTTCATGATCTGAAAATAGTATCAGATTATACAAGTGACCCAAAGATCCCAAAAAAATGTTAGCCCATTCGAATCTGATTTACAGCAAGAAAATCTCTCGGCTCGGAGCTCGGATGATTTTTAGAAATGAAGATTTCTAGTTCATGTTTCCACCTATTGTTGTTTGTTCCTCGAAAAGTTTGTAGATGTCAAAGATTGCCGAGCACTTTTCATTTGTTCCTCTCCCCGAACATTTTTCATTCAACCGGAAAATCGACCAAAGGACTGACTTCCCACTTTCTATTTCCTAGATATTTCCAAAATAAAATACAAACTATAATGTCAAGCAAAAGCGTAGCTCGTATCAAAATCACATTTTCATCTAAAATCTAATCATCACTTTTTTCTCGCCCCTTCTCCCTAGGCCTTTTCTTTTTTCTTTTTGTTGTTCGACAACCCCAAAAATTGGGGGTGTGGCTTGACTTTTTGCATTGCATTGCATTGCGCATCATCTAAAAATTCCATCTTGCTTTTTTTGTTGAAAAAAATAAAATAGCCATCTTTTTACGCGAGATTTTTTTACACTTGAAATATTTTTTGGGAGAATTTTTGGCCTTAAAAATTCTGAAATTCAAATTTTGAAATCTGGGAGTGTTTCTTAGAAATTTAAATTTAGAATTTTCAGGAAACCAGCGGGCCTAAAACCAGCCTGAAAAAAAACTGATTGAATCTAGGCTTTTTTGGACTGAAAATTTCAGATTTTTCTGAAAATTTGGTGCGTTTTCTGTCAGAATTTCGAACCTTTATTCCAAAATCAAAAAAAGTTCCAAACTCTTTTTCCATTGTCAATAATTTTATGAAAATCTATAACTTCTATTAGTTCCAGATCAACAATGCGCAACTATATTCCCATTATTCTTCAATTTCTAATAATTTATCCATCTACAGTATCCTCAAATCTATGTTCATATTGTGAATGTGATTCATTATCAAATACAATTCTTTGTTCTCGACCAAGTCTTTTAATTCGAACTGTTTCAATGCTTCCAAATATTCAACAACTTCATTTGAATAATATAATTCTGCCGCAACCTCCACATTTCCTTTTTCATTCAAATCTTCGAGTTCTTCGAATGAGCAAATGTCAAATGGTTGAAGTTCCAACCAGTTCATTTTTAGCTCTTCCAGGATTAGAGGTTAGTTGTATTCAGAAGAATTATTTTCAAATCAAAATATTTGTCTAGATTATTGATCTATCAAATAATCAAATCGAAACTCTTCCTCCAACACTTCTTCGAAGTCTTAAAAATCTTCGAGTTTTGATTTTGTCAAATAACAAAATATCAAATTTGGCATCTTTGGAATGGATCTTAGCACCTGGAGTTGTGTTGGAACAATTGGATTTATCTGGAAATCCAATTGCAATTTCCATGCCACATACAATTTTTCCACCAGTTCGACAAATATTTATGTCATCCACGAGAATTGAGTCAATAAATTCGAGTTTTATAGTTTTCAAGGTATTCCTTTTTATCAGTTTTCCTTTCCTAAACTCTTCAAGTTTTAGGCACAAGACGATAAATGTGAAAAACTTCAATGTCGAAGTCTGAAAATCGAAAATCTTGACACTTCAATCATCAAAACTCTTGATTTTTCTGATAACCATGGAGTTCAAATTGATATTTCCTTTTTGAATATTTTTGAAAATGTAACATATTTGGATATTTCTGACTCTCGCCTTCCTTCAGAATTTGAAGATTGGCTTGAAAACAAAAGTCGTGTAAGAAGTTTGAATATTTCGAATTGCGAAATTAAATTGAGAGAAGAAGATACTTGGACATCTTGTGGACAACATTTACATTCAATTGATATTTCGAAAAATAATTTGAAACATTTGAAATTGGATCGATTCTGTGGAATAAGGTAGGTAACCTTCAGAAATATGAAATTCTGAAAAACAATCATTTTCAGATCAATATTTGCTCGAGATAATCTTCTTTCATCACTTTTCATCGAATCAACTTCAGTTGAATCAATTCATTTGAATCGTAATATGTTTAGCGAATTCCCTACAGTACCACCAGGAACAAGTCTTGAAAATCTTCACACTTTGAGTCTTTCACATAATTTGTTGACAAATTTACCAAAAGATGCGTTTTTTGGATATCCGGCTCTTCAACATTTTGATTCATCGCATAATCAGATAAGCGAGGTATACATTTTTAAATTAAAGAATCCAAAATATTTTTGTAGATTGATGCAAATGCTTTCCCATCAATTGGAATGGATTTAATATCTCTTGATCTATCATCGAATCAATTATCTTTACTCCCTCATCCAATATTACCATCATTACTTCTTCTTGATTTATCATCAAATAACATCGCAACTCTTGATCCACATTTTTTCACTGGTCTTCCAATGCTTCAACAACTTCGATTATCATCAAATCCTCCTTTATTTTCTCGTTGTCCAACTTCAAAATCACCTTGTTGGTCTGATCATTTAGATGAACTAACATCTTTGATCGATTTGGATATTTCAAATTCTGGTCTCGAATTTTCTCTACATTTGCGTCATTTGAGAACTTTGCGATCACTTTTATTGCGAGGAAATGATATTATTACAATCGACGCAAATTCATTACCAGATGGCTTGCGAACTTTGGATTTGGGAGAAAATCGAATTCAATACACTTCAAATTTTTCAAAGTTAGAGAAACTGAGGGATCTCCGAGTGGATCAAAATCCTTTGCGATGTGATTGCTCATTATACGAAATTGTTCCGCATTTATTAAATCAGAGTCAAGTAGAAGATCCAACATTGTATTATTGTTTTTCAGGTAGAATTTGGCGGGGTAGAGTGGGGTAAAAAGAGGTTTCAAGAAAAATAAAAACTTTTTTTCCAAATCACCTTCTTATTCCCAACACTCAATTGTCCCATTCAGAGCCACAACTTCAATGTTTCCTCATCATTTTATATTTATTTTCAGGTTCATGGCAATATCCCTTATATCCATATTTGGTTTCTGTTCGACCATGTGTAAATACAATGAAAAACTTCTATTCAATTCTCATCACAACTTTTATTATCTCAATTATAATCGTTTTTTCGCTTGTTCTTGGTTTTCTTGTTTACAAAAAATACGTGGATCATTCACATTTTATTTACAAACGTATTTCTTTGACTGAAACTGCTGTAAGACTTTGAATTTTTGTTTTGATAAACGGGTTTTTGAATAAATGTGAATTCCATTTTTCAAACAACAACCAGGAAAGAGCAATTTGTCAAAATATGTCAGCACGTATCACTCTCTTGGGGAAAAAAGTTGGTGAGCGGATTTTAAATCTTACTGACTTCATAAATCTATGCAAACAAAAAGGAAAAGAAAATGCAAGATTTTCTTGTTTACCAAGGGATTATGGCTTTTTGAATAAAAATACGATTTTTAAAAATTGTATAATTTTTTGGAATTGGAAGAAAACAAGAAAAAAGTCGAGGATAAAAAATTTTCAAATTATTTTTCTGAAAAAAAAGTTCTGAAATAATTCCAGGACAATTCAAATCCACATAAATACAGTAGCCTTTTACTGTTTAAAGATCACAAAGTTCTCAAAGGAAAAAGAAAAAATCTGGAGCTTCGATTTTATTTCGGTTTTGGAAAACTCTCATATTTTCCAACCCTCTCCTCTTCCATTGTATCCCAAAGTTCCCATAACTCTCAAAAATCCCTCACCTTTTCAAAATGTGACAATGCAACAATTCCAACATCAGCCAGCGGAGTATGCAAAGGCCCAACACATTGTTGTTGAGCAATCAAACCAGTCACACTTCGATCAACTTTACAAGTCAAATATCGTTTTGATGCAACTGAAGGAAGTCGAAGAACACGATTCAATGCATCTAATAATTTCAGATTTTTTGGGATTTCCAGTGGCACCAATTTTTTGGCACGAGTTTCAAGTTCGAAAGTCTACAAAAATCTATATACTTTTGACATCAGTCAATTCATTCAAACCTTTTTCTCTCTTTCTCCCAATTGTTTTGTATCCAAATTCACTGCATTTCCTTGTGGACCTTTCAATTGAATTATTTGATCTTCAATAACTTTTCCAACAAGAGAAATATGGCATTTTTCACGTTTTGCAATTTTTTGAACAATATCAATAAGTTGTGGATCAATTAAAGCGGCATCATTTTCCTGATATTCGGCAGTCCAAAGTTCTCGAAGTGAAATACTTGAATCTCCGAGGATGAATTCAGAACTATCAACAATTACACCACAACCTTCGACAAGTTCTTTGATAACATTTCCTGAAAATTGAAAACATCTAACCAGTTGGAAATGAGTTTTGAGATCTAATCTTGAGTTTCTTGTTTTTTCCCAAAATTTCAATTTGAATTGGTCAAAACTATCTTATTGGGCTAGAAATGAAAAAATGTGGAACTGGCTGAAATGGCACATTCCAAATTTGCTCAAGAATTTGAATATTTAATTTTAGTTTTTTTTCTAAACCACTAAAATTAGCTTTGTTTTGAAAATTAGAAATTTTTCAAGAATCAATTTTGAGGTAAAATTTTTTTAGTTATGAAAAGTTTCCATATCAAAAATGTAAATTACCATTTCCACCAGCTCCTTGATCATGAATACTCAACAATGGATTTCCCTCATTTCTCTCAGCACATCCTCTCACAATCCTATGCATTTTCTGTTCCATTTCGGCATCTCCCCGTTGAACAGCAGCAAAATCCAAAAAATCCTCTCGTTTTCCTTGAATATCAACTGAACTCGCAGCTCCGCCACCAACTCCAATTCTATAAACAGGTCCACCTATTTTCGCAACAATCATTCCAGGTTCACATTTCTTTTTTTCAATTTCATCATCATCAATTGATCCAATTCCTCCACTAAACATTATTGGTTTAACATATTCGATTCTTTCTCCACCAATTCTTTGACCAAATGATCTTGCGAATCCACAAATTACTGGTTCACCAAACTTATTTCCATAATCAGATGCACCATTTGATGCTTCAATTGCTATCTAAAATTTTTCCAAAAATTAGAAAAGAATTTGTCTGGATTAGAGAAAATGAATACCTTCAATGGTTCACTCAATGATTTCGGATAACTCTCTCGTTTCTCAATTTCATCTTCCCATTCCATCAGCCAACCAGGAATATTCAAATTTCCAAAACTATATCCAACACTTGCTGCAATTTCATATGCTCCTCGACCAGTTGAATGAATATCTCTAATTCTTCCACCAGTTCCAGTTGTTGCACCTTGAAATGGGCAAACTCCCGTGGGGAAATTGTGAGTTTCAGCAGAATAAATTAGATTTGAAGGTGAATTGTGAATATCAAAGGAAGAAGCTGTAGTTGGATTATTTGGGCGAAGTCTGAAAACATTATTGTGTGAATGTTGATATAAAAGTTTTTGCGAACCTCGAAACATTTTCGAATCCTTTGATCGAACTTGAATTATCATGAAATGCTATCAAACTATTTTTATTGGATGTGTCCAATGTTTTTCGAATCTTAGACATCAAACTTCCGCCTTCAACCAATTTCCCATCGATTTTCAAATTTCCTCGAAAAAACCAATGTCTTGAATGTTCAGAATCTGATTGTGCCAAATCAAATAATTCCACATCTGTCGGATTTCTCCCAAGTTTATTGGCAAAATAATCATAATAGAATTCAATATCTGAATTATCCAAAGCGAGTCCCAATTCTAAATTTGCTTTTTCGAGAGCCGATTTATCAGAAAGTATATCGATTTCATAGAAGTTTTCAATTTCTTTATAATTATTCTCAAAATTCACATTCTCATCATAAATTTGTTCCGTCATTTTATCAGCCAATAATTCAAATAAATCATTTTTCGTTGTCTCATATCTGATACTTCTCTCAATTCGACTTATATTTTTGATTCCAGCAGTTTCAAAAGCGCTCAAAATATTTGAACACATCGCAGTTTTAACAGCTACACGGGGACCAATTTCAATCACATTTTTTGAGAATTTGGAGGTTTTTCTGATAGCTGAATCTTTTTGAAATGGCGAATGAGACAGTAGAACATCCAATTTTTCTTTGTTAACTTCATAGAAATCAATCTGCAAAAAAAAAAGAATTTTCTAAAATATTTTGAATTGAAAAATTATAAAGTATGTAAAATGAGAAAATAATTTAGATTACTGTACCTGATTTGTAATTATGTGATAACAAAATTCAGTTGGAATTTCCAAATCACCCAATTTTTTGGGACTTTTTGGATTATCAGCGAAGAATTTCAAATGGAAATTTTCCATCTTTTTGCAATAGCCAAAAATAATACGAATGAAACACTTTGAAACAGTAAAAATGATAATTTTTGTTGAACATGTCTTTGACAAAAACACAAAATGTCAATTAAATCTAAACTGTTTTTTGCACTACTCTGATAACTGTTGTACTTTGTTGATATTTGAATTCTTTATTTTCGAGGGACTTAACAAAATCAATGAATTGTTGCCATGGAAAACAACTTATCTTTTTCGTCTGTGTTTTTTATTTGTTCTTTTTGTTTATTTTCAGCTTCTCATTTTTTTTTTGATTTTCAGATAGCAAAAGAGAATAATGCAAAGAATAGTGGATAAATTTGGCGATTCTTATCGTCATTTTGTATGAAAAGAAGATTTTGTTCACAACTTCGCTTTTCCTAAGGTTTTCTCTAAAAAGAAAACTCTGCCTTACATAATTAAGTACCAAAAATTGCAGCAGAGAAATATTTGGTTTCAAAAATTTTAGTTTCCAAATTTTTTGTATTTTAAAATACAAAAAAAGTTGCATCAGCCCGATGCGGGGCTCGAACCCGCGACAGCCAGATTAAGAGTCTGGTGCTCTACCGACTGAGCTAACCGGGCAACGAGATCACTGGTTGCCATGCCATAGAAAAACCCGGCTGGCGCCTATCGCTTTTCTCTCCCTTTCTTTCTCTGCGGCCTCTCTTTTTCCAATAAACACGTCTTTTTTTTGGCAACGCAACTGCCACATTTTTACTCGATGGCTTATTTTTGCTGCTGATTTTAAATATTCTAACTTATTTAATTAAATATTGTTAGAGGAATGGAAAATGATGGAAGCGATGATGAACGAGAAAAATGGAATAAGGAAAGAGAACGAGTATTGGATGAATGGAGTGAGGTAAATTTAATTTTGAAAATAAAAATGAATTAGAATTATGGAAAAAATGAATAAAAATTGTGGAAAAAATCGTGACGTAAAAAACATTCGCTCATTTCAAAATTTCCCGCATTTTCGAGACCCAAAAAAACTTGACGAAATTCAACGCAAAAGTGAGAGATTTAGAGACAAATATTTTTGATCTACCACTGAAAATGTTTCGAAAGTTTGGGGGTTATACATTTTCCTCAAATATTCGAATAATTTTCAAAATTTTGAAATTAAAATGCAAATGAAATTAAAACGTGACTTTTCAACAAAAAAAACACGTGGACATTTTTTGCTCATTTTCGAATTTTCATTTCCCCCCGAGAGGTTTAGAGAAAATAATTTTTGGTTTCTAGAGATAAACTAAGTTTTTTTCAGATCGAATTAAAAGGAAAAGAAGTCTTGACAATGCCGGATATAATAACCGAACCAGGAGTATCTTCACTAACATTCGAAACTCCATTAGAAGAATTATACCCGCTTTTAGTTTCAATCGAACAATCAGATCAACCAACTTCTTCAAATCAAGAATCCGAAGAACAAAATCCAACAATAACCACATTTGATCGGATTATGCAAATATGTTTATGTCGACCAGCAAAAGCATCATCACATCCACTCATTTATACACATAAAACATTGGCTGTGAAATTAAGTCAGGGTAAGTTTGAATTGAATTGAAAAGTGAAGGGAATTCTCTAAGGGCTTCAAAACATGTCAGAAATTTCGAAATCTTTTTTTAGTTGGATACGACAATGAAAATGGTACACATTGGCTGATTCTTTCGGATTATTTCCAAACAGTTTCACAAATTGCATTGAATTCTTCAAACGTGAATTGTCCACGTATTGGTTCGCATTGGCAAATCGTCGGATTTCAAGGCACGAATCCAGCGACTGATTTTAGAGGTTGTGGAATTTTCGCACTTCTTCAATTACATTCTTTTACTCAACGTCTTCCTCATAATATTCTCAAAGCAATTGTTCAATTATCAAGAGCCGAACCAAATGTGAGCATTTTTCAGAAACTATAAATTTGAATAAAAAATTTGTTGCAGGATTTTCCTTTGGCTGTTGTCTCAATAAATATCACGGGTTTAATATTGGGAAAATTGAAAAAGGATAGATTTGATTTGTAAGTTTTTCTGAAAAATATAATTTATAAAGTATTTAGTTTCAGATTAGGTACACCATCTAATGGTCTTTATCCAGTTCTTGTTTCATTGCATTCCGCGAGTCTTGCTTATTTTTGTGCTCAATACAAGTCGCAAAATTTAACATTGGCACAATGCCAAACACTTCTTTCAGGTTAGTACTATTGTAAACCTAATTCTAAATTCTTAAATTCTTCCAGAAATTGATCAAATGTTGGAAAAGTCTCCGAATTCGCTATTGTCACTTCTCGAAAATAACAACGATAAACTTATTAAACAATTATTGTGATATTTAAATACTAAATTGTCTTCGGTTTTGAATGAAAATTTTATACACATATTTGTTGGTTTGAATAAGCGAGAAAAATAAATAGGAAAAGAAAAGCATTAGAATGAAAATATGCGCAATGGAGAATTTTTTGAAAGGAAATAACTTTTGTTTTCAAATTTTATTGCTCATCCTTATCTTTAGTTCCATGCTTGAGCATACGAGTGAATTCGACATAATCGAATTGGCCGTTCTGAAAATTTAAGAATTATTTGAGATAGAATTTATATTCTAATCGAACAAACCTTAATTGGTGCATCTCTGAACAATTCATCAACTTGTTCGTGCGAATATCTTTCACCCATTGTTGTCAAAAGTTCGCGCAAATGTTCTTCGTTCAATTTTCCATTGTTTTCTTCATCAAAACATTGGAAAGCATTGCGTATTACTTCTTCAGGATCAGTTCCTAAATTTGTAAGTTGATTTTGGAGACAAAAGCATTTTATAAGATTTATCTAACCTGTCAACTTTTCTCCAAAAAGTGTCAAAAACATGGTGAAATTGATTGGTTGAGCTCCTGGAGCTTCATTGATCATTGCATCAATGAATTGTTCGCTGACTTCTTTTCCCAAAGAAGCAAACATATCCTTCAAATCATCTTGATCAATAAAACCATCGCGATTTTGATCGATCATATTGAAAGCTTCTTTGAACTCTTGGATTTGAGCTTGATCGAACATTGCGAAAACATTCGAAGTTGCTCTTTGTGGTCGTTGACGACGATTGACAGTTTTACGCGACGCCATTGCTGAAAATTGAAAAATGAATGAATTTTTCGGTATAAGAGAAACATAAGAATTTCCTTTAAATTATGAAGATTTTCGAAAAACAAACTGAAAACAAATAAGGATTATGAAGAAAAATATGATATTGATCGGTAAAATAAAAACGGAGATATGAAATAGATGACATTTCTCGCATAATTAAGTACATGAAAGAAACTATTATCAAGATTGGGAGAAAATCAGAATATCTCTTTCTTTCTCCAGACACTTCTCTTCTATTTTTAACTCATGTAAACAACTAAAAAAAAGAGAACGAAGAAAAAACAAATATGTAAAGCGAATAGAGTGTTTTGCGGGTGAATAATATTTATCGATCGATTTTTCTTTTCCTCTCTCTTTATTTGGCAGGTGCGCAAGAGGGTTGTTCTTTTCATTTTCATAGGATAAACAGATGTTCGTACGGTTTTAATTCAATTCAAACTTCAAAAAAAAACACGGTCGTATAGAAACAGGAATGATTGGAAGAAAAAACATAGAAATGCTTATCATTTTGTCACCCCCGCCGAAATGAAAAATGAATCATGGGAACGAAATTATTTTGTTTTTGTTTGGGAAAAGGAACATTTTGTTTTGAAAAAAATGGATGAAAAATGTTTTTTGGAGAAATTTATGAGAGAAGGAGAATCGATTTTGAAATTCATGTATTCAGAAACAATTAAAATTAAAAAACTAATTAAAAAACATAATAATTGTGATGAATAATTAGAGTCAGTTAAACAAATAATTTAATTCACAACGCCGTGTAAATATGAACTTTTTACACTGCTTATAACACAGTTTATCATCAAACAAAGTAAGTTAAAGTTAACTATTCGGCAAGTTTTTGAGATTCAAAAAGGTGAGAAACGGCGGGAAACACAAACGAAAAAAAGAGAAAAGAAAAAGAAAGAGATGAGTCACACACAAACACAGACAGCGAGAAAATAAAGGCACACATGTTTTGCTTCTCGCGGTATCTCACCACGAAACATTTATTTGAATTTTTCGCAGGCTTTTCGTTTTTTCTTTTTTTCAGAGTCGAGAAGTTTCAGATTTTAAAGTTCTAGAGGTTATTTTTGCTCTGAATAAAAGAAAATTATTTTGAGACTATATGGGGTTCATTATTTCTTTTCCTTTTCGTTTTTACACTTCAAATGTTCGATATTTTTGAGATAGAAGTTTGCATCATTTTTTTGAGTTCGAGCATTATTCTCGTCCCTTTTCGAAAAACACAAAATAAATTATTCCAATTATTTTTCAGGTAAAAACATGAACGCTGCTTCAATTCTCCGTTCCGTCTCACGACTCGCACTTCGCTCTTCCAACACATTGAAAATCTCAGCTCCACGCGCGTTCCATCAATCCGCCAAGGTTCTTTCGGTCACACCAGAACTTCAACAAGCTCTCAATCGTGAAATCGAAGCCGAACAAAACTTGAGCCGTGAAAATTTGCAAGGAGCAGTTGCGCCAACCTTCCCAGGATTCTCCATCACCACCAAGGAAGCCGAAGTTCGATTGACCAGAAAGAACGGAAATGAAGAGTACGTTTAATAAGATTGTAGAAGTGTCATGAATAAGTTTTTGATTTTTCAGAATTCTCGTGGTGTTCAACGTAAACCATTCAGTTGACATGGATGACAGCTATGACGACGAACCATCTCAAAATGTAATCAAAGTTTCGTGATAATCGCTCATAATATTTTTTCTTCAGGCTGCTCCAGTTCCAGTTGCTCTCCCACCTTTCACCGTAGAAATCACAAAAGGAGATCAACGTCTCTGCTTCCACTTGGAACTTGTTCCTGTTGATGACCAGCCAGATGAGTGTGAGTTATCTAATAAATGTTTTTGAATTATCTATGAAATTTTGTTTGCAGATGACTTCCGTGTTGAAGAATTCTACGTCGCCCCAAGCGCCAAGAATGGAAATGAAGATGTTCCATCTGAGGTTTACGCTAGCAGCGGAAAATACATTGACCCTGTAAGTATAAAAAAAATCAATAAATATAACTTCCCAAAATGTGTTAACAAAAGCATGGTTTATTATTTCAGGATCTCCATGATTTGTTGTTTGTTCGTTATTTGGAAGAACGCGGTCTTGATGCTCGTTTCTGCAAAACTCTTGTCGCTTACGCCACCCATTATGAACACTCGCAATACGTCGGTCTTTTGGACAAAATCAAGAAATTCATCTCTTAATTTAATTTAATATAATTTTGTTTTAAAGGAACACCAAAAGCTAATAGTCACTCTAGCGTATCCGAACAAACACTTCAGAACTCGAAATAATCAATGTCAATTTACAAATGTTCGCAACAAGTAAAAAAAAAATTGAAAAAATGGTGAAGTTTGCGCCAAAATAAAAAAAATGGGAAAAAAACCGTTTGAATTCCCTCCTCAGAGGACTCAGAGCGAAATGTGCAAACACCGTCACGGCAGAATGCACACAAAAAAAATTATATTTTTTATTTTTTTGTTTTTTCGGGAGTTTTCGCTTGTTTTTCACTTTTCAACGATGAATTCATATATTTTTCAGTAAATTGATGTTGGCAATCCTTCTCCCAACTGTCTCGATCATGTTTTTGACGGAGGAATGCGGAATTTCGTCGATTTTCAGCCAAAAAGTGAGTATTTTGAGAAATTACAGATTATTCTCATAAATCACTGTTTTCTAGGCTCATCAATGTGAAACATGAATAAAAACTGCTGAAAAATCAAAGAAAACCGTAGAAGTAGAAGAAAGACTCTGTGAATAGTCATGAATCGAGGCGAATTGGAGAGATTCGATGGATTTTCATGATTTCAAGTCAGTTGCGACCGGAAGTCGTCATTTTTGCCATCCAAACTCATCCAAAGCACTTTTTCGTCAATAATTCTGCTCATCAATGTTCATATCACAATAATTGTATACATTTACTCTTTGAAAAGCTGTTTTCTGTCATTTTTCAATAAAATTTGATGAAAACCGGTTTATTTGTTAAAAAAAACGAATTTATCAGAACTCCGACCATTCAAAAACAACTGTAGGCGCTCGAAGTTCGTGGATGTCATATTTATTTTGAATATCATCAGGTTGTGTTGGAGAAACGATCAAAATCCGCGATTGCAGGTTGAAAACGCAGATTCCTACCAAATTTACTTATTTCGCCACGAATGTTCTTCCAATCTGCAATCAATACGTTTTGTTGATAACTAGAATATCGAATTTACTACTTAAAATTGTAGTTTACTATGAGAAACAAAGAAAAAAACGGAAAAACGCGAAAAATATTTTTCGAAAACAAAAAAACAAAAAGAAAACAACGACATTCCGCTCGCCTGGTGTTTAGCGTAAAAGGCGTGGCAATTTGATTTCGAGTTTTTTTCATTTTTCCACAGAAAAATATTTTTTCCTCTAAAAGTTCAGAAGAATTTTTTCATCGAAAATTGAGTATAGGGAATGAAAGTAGGAGTATTAAAGTGTCTGTTTTTGTATGCGCGGCTTCACCTAGCGATGTTGACCTTTTAGTTTTTGGTGTTCCTTTAATTCAAAGTCAAACCATGTTTGTAGTTTAGGAATCCCATCTTTATTACTGTTGAATTTAGTTAGTATCTGTTGGTTTTTGTTTTCATAAATTTTTGGCCCACTGATATTGTAAAAACCAAGGAAATCTATGAGGAAATAAGTCGACATCTTTAATCTAATATTTTTTGAGAAAATAATTTCAAAACCGTACTAAAATTATATTTTTCTAGATGGTTGACAATGTGCAAGAATTCAAATTGAGAGAAGACTCCGAATTGAGATTTGCGGTAATTTTGGAAATGCGAAAAAATTTAATATAACTTATTTGGATTTTCAGGTCGGAGACGAAGAAGATGTTGTGCTCGAATTAATCGAAGGATATGCCGAAATGTTTGGAACTGAAATTACGCCGAATAAAAAATACACATTTCCACCAAGTGAGTTTTTTTGGCATAAGTTGACGTGGCAAAATTTTATTGTAACGTGAAAAAGTCATGGCTCAAAAACATTTTTGCCGCGTCATAACTCGTAGTGATAAATCATTCTAACCTACTTTACTACAAAAAATAATAGTATCATTTTTTCGGTGGAAAAAATCGAAATGAATTCAAAAAGGATTTGTAAAAACCCGTGAGACAGAAAAAAAGTAGGTCAAGTGATGTGGCTTTAAAACAGTAGTAAAATCTACTGTAATATCTAGAGACTTACGATAAGTGGATTGGTTTTGAGAATGCTCAGACTAGACTCAACTCTTAAGGACAAGAAAACAAATGAGGAAGCAACACGGAGTTCGTGAAATACCCGGAAAAATGAGACATGAATTCCTGCAGTTCCGACTTTCATGCGAGACTTTGGAAAAAAAAAACACAACAAAACTTCAAGTCTCGGCTTTTTTGCGAGACTTGAAAACAAAAAACACACATCAAAAAATACAGTTTGAAAAGCAAAGAATTCGGCGAGTGAAGTTGGAATTTCGGATGATCGATGTGCCCTGAAAGATTGATTTTTTGCCATTCTCGAGAGCCAGGTTACAAAATCTGAAATTTTTCTGTGAAAAAAAACTTACTTTTCAATTGGAGTTGATAAAATTGCGAAATTCTGAATACATTTTCCGATTAATTTCTGCAATCTCCAAAAATTCCACCAGGTTTTGAGGCAAATTGAAAAGTGGACGAAAAATATAAAAGGTTTATGTTGAAGTCGATTTGAATCTGCAATTTTTTGAAAAATTAGGCTTTGAATAAGATATTTGCAACCGTTCCCCCAAAATCTCACAATTTTTTCCAAAATTTTTTCCCCCTCAAAAAATCCATGGAAATGTGCAAAACCCGTGATAACTGTTACTTTCCTACAGCTTTCGGTTCTCCAAAAGGATTCTTTGACAAATCCCTACTCAAATGATCAACATTTGAATAGTTGCGGGTTTCAACAACTGGTAAACGTACTTGCTCAGAAAGTAACGCACATTTTACACTTCATTTTTTAGGTTAGAAGTTTTTTACTCCGAAACTTATGATAAAGATCCTCAAATCAAACTTATCTTCTCAAAAAATTTGCAATTAGTTTGTGTAGAGGCAAAATGAAGGAATGATGAGATTTGCCAAAATAAGGATGACGTGTCAAACATTTGAAATTGTTTATTTTTTGTTGGATTTTCACGTACACGTTTCGAAAATTAATTAAATTTTCGATTTTTATTTTATTTTTTTTCCAAAAAAATACACCTTTTCAAGAATTTTATAAATTTGATAAACTGGGAGAAAACTCTGATATTTTTCTTATCCTGTTTTCTAAAAGAAAATTGAAGGTGGAGTCTGAGAAAAAAAATAAATTATGCTGATTTGAAAGAGCACGTTCTACAATCAATTAGTACAATCCTCGAAGGATTTTTCTGAGAAGCTTCCAGAAAAATCCATCGAGGATTGTACTAGTTAGAACACGCTCTTTCAAATTAGCATACCTTAATTTTGCTCAGACTCCATCTTTAAGGCTCTAGGCGAAACAGTTAAATAGAAAACCACCAAAATATTACAAATTTCAAAGAAAACCTTTTTATAAAGAGGTTAAAATAATAATTTCCACGTCGACCACGTGGTTTTTCTTTTTCCCTTTTCATTTCTCATTTTCCAAATCTATCCTAATTTTTCGCAGGTTCTCGAGTTGCAATTTATACCTACACACAAGCCACAATCGAATTATTCGGAAAAGTTTCGAGTCATTATGTTGCTGATGATACTCCGATGGTTTTTTATGTCAATATTCATGCAGCAATTGAAGAAGTTCGACAAGCGAGAGAAGAACAAGCAATGCAATCTGGATATGGAAAGCCGAAAGGACCCAAAGTTCTTTTGGGTAAATTTTTAAAAACCTTAGTCTTCTATGGGAAAATCTGACAAATTTGGGATAAAATCTAAAAGGGATAAAATCTCTGTGGTATAAATTCGAGAAAATAAATCTGAAATTTGTTTAAAAGAGAAGAGTAATCATCATATTTTCTATAAAAACCTTATGGACCTTTTTACCTCTTCTCTATTCTTGTTTATTGAATTCTTCTAAACCCCTTTCACCTTCTTATTCATTCAAAACAGATTTTTAGGGCTCGAAGTTAGGTTAAATATAAGTTTCCCTATTTTCAGAAACGGTGTCGGGGTGGCCGAGTGGTTAAGGCGTGGAGAGACCCGTCTTCATTGAGAAATCATCGCGGGTTCGAATCCCGTCCCCGACAAACTTTTTTTTTCTTTTTCTTCCCTTTCACATTAATTTTGTTTCAGTTGGCCCATCGGATGTCGGAAAAAGCACATTGTCTCGAATTCTTTGCAATTATTCAGTGAGACAAGGAAGATGTCCGGTTTTTGTGGATTTGGATGTTGGACAAAATAATATATCAGTTCCGGGAACTATTGGAGCATTGATTGTTGATAAAACTGCCGATATTATTGATGGTTTTGATCGAACAAATGCTCTGGTTTATAATGTGAGATTTTTTGGGTGGAAAGAGAGGGGTATAGTTAGAGTAACTTCTCAATAATCAACAATAAATAAATAGAAGTTCCTTTGAGGATCTCAAATTTCTTTCAAAGTAAATTTGGGACTTATGAACAAGATAAGGGATTCTGCCCAAAAATGTTATTTTTGTGAACTTTCCCATTGTTAGCTATTGGATTATGGTTCGAAAAATCTTTTAAAAAACTCCAAAGTTTTTTTGAAGTCGAAAAATAACTGAAACCTCGAGCTGAAAATTTTCTAATCTCGTATAAACCTTTCAGTTTGGACATACATCTCCTGGTGGAAGTATTGGTTTGTACAAAGCGATGATGAAACAATTGGCAGCAAGTATGAAAACACCACAAGTAAGTTTAGCAAAATTACATTTTTCACATTAAAAATCAGCCACATTTCAGTTTGAATCAAATAGCGATGCTCTAATTGGTGGAATGATAATAAATACATGTGGATGGGTAAATGATGCTGGATATGAATGCATCAAATCAGCTGCTGAATCATTTGAAGTCGATATTGTTATTGTAATTGATCATGAAAGATTGTATAGTGATTTGAGTCGAGATTTGCCGGAATTTGTGCGACTTTTGAAATGCCCCAAATCGGGAGGAGTTGAGAAACGAGACTCGGAATTTCGCGGGAAGACAAGGACTGCAAATGTGCACAGTGTAAGTTGATAGAAGATTGGTTTTTGAGAGAAATTTTTGTGTTTTTCAGTATTTCTATGGAACAAAGTCTCAACAAGTGTTTCCTTTCAATATTGTTCTACAATTCAACGATATCAAATTGTTCAGAATTGGAACTGAAAAGGTGAGAGAATTCAAAGAAGATTTTGGGGATTTCCTGAATTTTCAATTGTTTTCATTCTGAAAATTGTGATATATTTGGTTCAAAATCAGCCCCTTCTAAAAAATATTTAATTTTTTCTGTAAATAGTTCAATTTTTGGTGAGAAAATGGTTCAAAAACCAAATGAAAATGTAAAAAAAAAAATATTTGATTTACCGTAATCTGACTAAAAATTTATTATTTTTTCTAATTTTCATTTGTTTTCCAGCTTCCTGATTCTTGTCTTCCTTTTGGAATGGAAGAAGAAGATCCAGATACTCGAGTTGTTGAAATGACTCCTTCCACTGATATTCTTCATCATTTATTTGCGATTTCACATTCGAATATTGTTGAAGATATATGTAAATCAGCTGTTTGTGGTTTTGTATTGGTTAAGGAGGTACTATTAAAATCAATTTCAGTTTTATTTTTCAAATTTCCATTTTCAGATCGATATGGAACAACAAAAAATGACAGTTTTATCAGTGAGAACAACATTGCCTTCAACAAATTTGGTCTTTATGAATATTTCTCATCTTGATGATCATGTTTAAGAAAAACATTCCTATATCAGTTACGGGAACTTCTATTTATTTTGTTTCTTTTTTTTCATAAATTGGTTCAAATCTAATTTTTCATATCATATAAAAACGGAAACAATATTGACAAAAATAGGGGGAATTTAAATTTTGGAAAGAGATGAATGAATGAATGAAACACGTCTAAATTGGAGAGAGATAATTTCACAAAAAAAGGGTTATATTTAATTATGATAAAATAAGAGTGAATAAATAACAAATGGGGTGTTTTTCTTGAATCAGGCAGAAGCAATTTTACTTTGCGCATCGGTGAACACTTTCTTGAATTCATTCGCAATTTTCTCCTCTTTGAATTTCAAAATGAAGACTGACATTTCACCATTATCATCTTCAGAGAAATCCTGCAAAAACAATAAACATTAGTTCATTTTTTCAGAAAAACTTTGAAAACTTACGTTACAAACAAAAGTCAAAACATTTGGCATTCCTCCTTTGCTACTGAGCTGAATTCCTTGTTCGATTCGGAAATTGGCGCAAATCTTATGAACTTGTTCTCGCCGCATAACAAATCGATACGTGTTTGTGTCTTTGTTGTAGAGAATCTGAAAAAATATCAATTATGTTTTAAGGAAAAAACCAAATAAATATTCTTACCTTGCAATCTCCTACACCTCTTTCTTTATTCTCTCCCAAATCTTTGTAGAACTTGTACAATTTGGATCGCGCTTTGAATAAAATCTCTTCGCCTTCTTCACCTGTTTTCACTTCAATCAAATCTGGAAGAGGAATGACTGGAGTGAATTCAACATCTGGTTCTTCTTCATTTGCAACTGTGTCATCATTTTCATTTTCCTCATCGTTTTCTTCGGCATTAACAGTTGGAGCCTAAATATCAAAATAAATAGTTTACGTCTCAAAAAAGTATAAATAAACATACAGTACTCTTCTTTTGTGATTTGAACTCTTCTTGAGCTTTCTTTGCAGTTTCACCTTCGAAAATGTTGCTATTTTGTTTAGCAGCAAATGAAGAGAACGATTCACCGCTAGCAAATGCACCGAAGATCTGAAAATTCAAAAACATGGGTTTTAGCTTGGAATTAGAAAAAAACTAACGCTCTTCGGTGTTGATGTGGTTGTTGCAGATGCTGTTGATGGTGATTCAGCGGAATTCGAAGCTTTGACAAACGAGACTGGTTCAGGTTGTTTACCGAAGGAGAACTTCGGGGTTTCTTTTGGTGCCTCTGGAAATTGAAAAATATATATTTATTTACAAAAAAAATTATTTTGAAATCTTACCTGCTTGTTTACCAAAACTGAAACTTACTGCTTCTTTTGGTGCCTCTGAAAATTGAACATATTTATATTTACATTTCAAAAAACTATTTTTAATTATTACCTGCTTGTTTACCAAAACTGAAACTTGGTGTTGTTTTAGCAGCTTCGGCTGGTTTTACAGAATTTCCAAAAAGAGAAGATCCTCCAGTTGATGGTGAATTTGTGGATGCTTGTTCTGCGGCTTTCATGAAACTGAATTTCGGTGTAGAATTTGTTGTCGATGAAGCTGGAGCAGCTTCAGCGGGTGTGGATTTTCCAAAAGAAAATGAAGGTGTTGTTGATGCTGATGTTGTTGATCCTGTACCTCCGCCAAACAAACTTGCCTTTGGTGTTCCAGCTCCTCCAAACATGGCTGTATTGTTTGCCGAACCATTAAGAGCTCCACCGAATTGTGGTGATTGTGATTGAGCGAGTGGTTCTTTGGCTGCTGCAGCGGCACTCATTCCAAAAGAGAACTTCGGTGGTCCAGCTGGTTGTTGAAGAATTGATGGCTTCGAGAAGATTGTTGCAGCTTTATCAGCTGGTTTTCCATCTTTTCCACTTCCACAGCAAGAGCAAATATCAGTTCCAGCATTATTGCGAACATAACATTCAGTGCATTCCCAACTTCCAGCGGCAGGTTTGAATTTATCTCCAAATCCAACATTCTCTTTGTTTGATGGGATAACAACATCTTTTGGTTCTTCCTTCACTTCTTCTTTTTTCACAACAGCTGCCTTGATTTCCGAATCAATTGTTTTTGCTTTTTGAGGAGTTGATTTGTGTTCATTGACTGCTTTCTCGAACAAATTCTTGAATTCCAGAGCAATTTCAACTGATGCAAATCTTGCTGACAATTTGACATGTTCTGGTTTGTCTTCAGCGAAATCTTCACAGAACCAAGTGTATGCTTTATCATTTGATGCCATTTTTTGGATTGTCATTGATCCGATGATTGGGAAGTTAGCACATACTTTGAGGACTTGATCACGGCGCATTACAACTCGATATTTCTTCGATTCCTTATTCAAAAGAACTTTCAATTCTCCAGTTCCTCTTTCTTTCCATTCCGATGTCTCATTTGCATAAATGTAAAGTTTGGCTCGATTGTTGAATACAACAGATTCTTCTTCTTCACCAGTTTTAACATCAACAAGTTCTGGCAATGGAATGACTGGTTTGAAATCACCTTCTGGTTCATATTCTTCAACATCTCCTTCTTCATCGTCTTCTTTTCCAGCTGTTGATTTGCTTGGTGTCGTTGTTGTGGCTGCTGGAACTTCTGGTTTCTTTCCGAAAATGTTTGAGGATCCGCCGAATGAAAATGTTGGTGTTGCGTTTGTTGCGGCAGGAGCAAATGGTTTGATTGTCGATGCAACTGGTGTAACGGCTGGGGGAATGACAACAGTTTTCGGCTTCTCTTCGACAACTGGAGGCTTGATCACAACTGGTGGCAAAACAACTTCTTTGGTTGCAGGAATCGAGACAACTGGTGGAGGAACTTGGGCTACCACAGGAGGATTGATTTTTGGAACTTGTGGAACAACTCCGGTTGTGATTGAAGGTTTGGCTTGTGGTAGAAGAATTGGAGTGCCAACAGTACTGAAATACATTTTTGGTTATCGAAAATTTAGAAATCTTATAGTGAAATAATTGTAAAGTTTTACTAACCTTCCTTGAGCTTGCATTTGAGCTGCAATTCTTGCGTGTTCCTCTTGCATTTGTCTTTGCATCATATGATGTTGATTCTGCATCATTAACGAAGCTTGCAAGGCATTTTGTTGTTGATAGAACTGTTGTTGTGCAAGCATTGCTTGTTGCTGTGTTGGATGTGCTACAATTGCTGGTGGAGGAACTGCTACTGAAGTCGCTTCTTTCGATAATAAAGTCTGAATGATATTCAGAAGTCGTTCAACTTCTTTATTGTGCGCAACATTTATTTCATCCACTTGTTTTTGAGAACGATCATCAGTGCGACGCAAATCTTCTCGAAGAGCAGCAATCGAACTTTGGTGTTCCAACTGAAGTACAAATTCATTTTATTGTAAAAGCTATTTTCAGGGATATAACTAACCTTCAAGCCATCGATCGCTTTTGACAAATTATCGCAATGAACGATAATTGACTGTTGAATGTCTACGACATTGGCTATGACACGACCCAGATTCGAATTTGGATCCGACATGATACTGAAAATGTTTGATTGAAAAATGACTTATTGATTATGCGGTTGTTATAGAAACGAAATGAAGATTTGACATAATTTTAACAAAGTTCACGTGAAATGAGTTATTTATTCAGAAATTGCGGAAAATCTATGTTGAAACCTAATGAAAATAGTTCGAAAATGTTTGCCTTATCTGAAACAAGAGATAAAGCGAAAATTGTGTATTGAGAAATTTGGCGCCAAAACGTTTTCCGCTTATATCTTTTATTCAATAATCAGAAATTATGTGGAAGCTGGGTAAATGTAACACAGTGAAAAATCTGAACCTATTCTCAAAACTGGAAATACAAAAAGCTTGGCTGAAACAGAGGAAAAGCTGAAAATTCAAACGAAAGCTGGTTTCGAAAAAAAATAAAATTCAAATCGATTTCGCCGCGAGACACAACAGCGCCGAAAACTTGTGCGCCTTTGACCATGAGTTGGCACGGTTCCATAAAAAACCTGTTTTTTCTTTTTTTTTTGCCGTGAACCAAAAAACTCGAATTTTCCTCCTTTCCGTATATTTTCTTCTGTTTTATTTAATGCAAATTTTCATCCATGTGGCAGCAACTCTCTATCGATTTTTCCGCTCACTTTGTCTATTTGTTTTCGTCCTTTTTTCAAAGAACACTAGTATTTTTAGTGGTCGACAATTGCAATGGAAGTCGATAGCGGGTCATCTTCTTCATCAGAAGACGAAATTGAACAAAAATTAATTCATACTGCGTAAGTGAATTTTTTGTTAATTTTATTTTTCAAAAATATGTTTTTCATTTCAGAAATGTTCGATTAGCAATGGATGACTCGAAATCTGCGGAAATAATTGCGAATACAATAAAAGTGGATAAAGAGCCAAGTAGAAGTGGAGCTGTTAGAAAAGTTACTTTTGAGGAACATTTTGTAGTTCTGTAAGTTAGTTATATTTTTATTCAAAGTTTTATCATTATAAATTTCAGTGAAATTGTTAGTAGCGATCCAAAATCACTATCAAAATCGATCTCAAATGCAGTTGATATGTGCGATTTGTCTCAAAAAACTTTGCGACTTGCTCAAAAATATCCCAGCCCTGAAAATGGTGTAAAACGACCATTTTCAGAATGATTATTTGTTAAGTTTTGTTTTGTAAATATAATTGTTATGAAGTTGTTTTGCTCAATTATCGGATTAGTTTCTCTTGAATAATGTTTTCGTAACATTGAAATATTTTTTATTTAACTTTGGATACTGATCTAATAATTTAGTAAACTAATTTAGATGTTTAAAAACCTGAAAAATCGATTAGACAGTGAAGCGGAGAAAATCAAACAATCAGTTCAACAATATGGCGGACAAGTTGCTGCACAAGTTGGACAATATAGGCAAGCAATGAATGAACAACAGACTACAAATGAATCAGGTTCTTCGAATAGCAAAAAAATCGGGGAAACTTCAATTGATGATTCCAATCAAATCACGGTTAGTAACAGTTCAAGAGGGGCTGAAATTTAACTTATCAAAAGTTATGGTACCATAAGGGATTGTTCTCAAAATGCTAATAATAAAGCATGAATTTTCTGATCAATTATTATAGGTAAAAAACATTTTAACAAAATTCGAGGAAAGTTTTTTTCTCTAAAGTTATATTTTTTACGTTCCAAAATTACTATAATTTTTTTATATACTATTGCTGGTCTTATCCCATCTTCAAACGTTTTTTTCTCAGGAAACATCAAGTGCAATGATGAGTGAAATTCCTGAAGCAGATCTTCTTGGTCTCGGATTATCAGATATTCCTCAATCAACAACAACAAGACAACGAACATTTTCTGGAGATTCGACTGAAAGCACATTTTCTTCACTTCTACATTCACTTCCAAGTGTTTTGACATCTGCTCTCGAAACAATTCCATCAGATTCTGAAAGTGTTGCTAGTGACGCATTTTCAGTTCGATCTTCAAATGATCCAAATTCAAGACTAAAACAAAAACTTTTGAATTATAAAGAAAAATATCGAGATGCAGTTCAACGACATAACAAATTAGTGGATGATGTGAATAATACGAAAATGGTTTTAGAAAAAACACAAGATGAATATTTGAAAAAAAGTGGAAAGTATGAGGGAAAATCAGAAGACGAGTGATAAAAAATGTGAGGATTATCGGAAAATGTTGGAGCAATGTAAGAATAAGATCAAAACTTTGCAAGAAAAACAACAAAATGCAAATGAGAATTTGATAAATGTTGATAAAGAGGATGATCCAAGAATAAAAGAATTGCATGAGAAAATTGCAAAAATCGAGGATGGTTGGACAAAAAGAATGAATGATGTAAGTTACTATATTAATTTGAAAAAAAATGAACAATTTATGACTTATGGAGAACTCAAATTTAAATTTTTCTCTGACGCAAGTCTGAAGTTAATCTTAAATTGAGTTGTATATTTTTATTGACAAGAATTTCCACGGAGAAGTTTGGAACTTCCTGGTCCCCCTTTCGAAATCCCACATTTTCTCAAATATTAAAAATAATGTTTCAGAGTGATCAACAACATGTTATAACTTTGGCTACAACAAAAGCTGAAATGCACGCTGCTCTCGAATCTAAAGATTCTGAAATTGAACAATGGAGAAGAAAATGTGGAATTCTAGAACAACAAGATTCAGATGCGAATCAAAGATGGAGTGAAAAAGTTGACAAATTGCAAGAAATGAATAAAGCATTGGAAAGTGAGAAAAATGAAATGATTCAAAAATTGTCAGAAGCCAAGCAACAAGGAGTTAAAGTGAGAGTTTTCGGAATATATTTAATTAGTATTTAAAATTTTCAGGCAATTCTTGAGGAAGAAGAACGAAAGAGAAATGAATTGGAAACGAGTTTGAATGAAAAAGAGAATCAATTGATTGAGGAAATGGAAAAATTGAAGGAGGAAAATGAGCAAATGAATTTGGAATTACATAAATATGTGGGTTTTTTGAAAAAGATTCAGGGAGAAAACATACTTGAGAATATTTTTGCAACTTTTTTCTAAAAAAAATTTTGTGGCAAGATAATAGAGACAAAATGTACTTCAATCAAAATTTTGATCAGAAATGTTTTAGACCATTTTTTCAGCTATGGTCGCGGTTTTCAAAAGTTTTGCTCTAGATTTTGATCGTTGGAGCCGCGCCTTGAGAGCTTTAATCAAACTTTTGAAAATCCGAAAATTCCCGGCCACAGTTCCAGCTTTTGAATTAAAACTCAAACTCCATAATTTTCAGAAAGTTCAACTCGAAGCTTCAACAAATTTCGATGAAAAACAAGAAGATATTGAATTGGTTTGTATCTTTTCCCCTCTACAACCTTATCATTTTCCAAATTTTTCAGATAAGAAATGAGCTTCAAAGAAAGTTGACAGAATCAGTGGCAACTTTTGAATTATATCAAATAGAAGCTGAAAAATCATTGCAAATTGTCAAAGATCAGTGAGTTTGTTTCTGTTGATTTCAAAGTTTCTTTTGGGGGTATTTATAATTATGCACAAATCGAAATCTTGCATGCATACTATCCAAACAAATCCCTCATGCTTTTTTTTTAAATATTGTATTTTCTATACTTCTATTTCAATCAAATATCATTTTTTTGCTCTATTTGTATCTTTTTATTATTTCATGCTGTTTTTTATGTGGAAATTGTGTTCAGATTGCAACAAACACGTGTCGAAAGTGATTTGTGGCGCGAAAAATATGAAGAAAAATCAGTGGGAATGGATGAGATTTCGAATTTCGAGTTTGAAAATTCGGAAGATGGCGCCAAAATTCGAGAAGAATTGAGCAGATTGGCAGAAGAAGCTAGATCTGTGTATGTTTTGCAAATTTTGAACAAACAATTTTGTAAAATATTTTCAAAATGCACAAGCGTGTAACCCAACTAACAAAAACATAACCTAAATTGATTTCATTTAAAATTTTGTGATTCTTTTCCATTGCTTACTGTCGCTTTTTTTGTAGTGATGTTTGTTTTCTTATTAAAATGCCCTATTGTTGGAGCCAAAACTAACAAATTTAGAAAATATCGCTTCAAAGCCCAAAAATCTCCAATTTTTGTTTCAAAATATTCAAATGTTCCCTGAATATTACTATTCCTAAATTTAAAATAATTGAAAACATAATTGATTTTTGTGTGCTTCCAACTCTTTTCTTCTCTTTTTGCTTCTTCTCCAATTACATTTCCTTTTTTCGAAATCCAAACGGATTATAATTAGATTTTGAGACTAACAACAAAAATGTGAAAAATGAGATGCTGTTTTCATTCTCTCCGGTTTCTAAAACGAGTACAAATATTCTGCCAAAATTCAAAATACATTTTTTCAATTGAATATATTAGCTCAATTTTTTATTCCAGTTGTTTTTCCTTCACTTTTTTTGTGTCCATCACATGTTTATTTTCTCCAGAAGAGAATTCTGATGAAAAAAAGAAGAGAAGAGCTTACGGAATGTCTTTTTCTTTCCTTTTTCGTCTTTTTTTCTCTTTTCTATTTTTTTCGTATTTTTCTGAAAGCTTAAAGTTGCATGTTGTATGTTTTTTGCACCTAAAAATCACCTTAAACAATTTTATAATGAAAAAAAAATCAAATTTCATATACTCTAATCTCTAATCTCAGCATATAAATTAATTTCAGACTTGAAATTGAAAAATCGAAATGTGAAGAATTGCTGAAAGAAAAAGAAGAAATGTTGCGAGAAAAAACGGAAATTCTGGAGAAATGTGAGAAAATGCGGGAAGAATTAGAAGATGTGAAGAAATTGAGAGATGAAATTGAAAGCAAATGTGAAAAAATGACTGAAAATGCAGAGAAATTGAAGGAAAAATTAGAGGAAGAAAGAAAGGTGTTTGAAAATGAGAAACTGGAAGTTCAGAATAGTATTGATGAAAAGGTTTGTGATTAAAAAAAGGGTTTCTATAATTTAAAAAAATTCTATGATTCAAACTCGGTCTCTGTCTCTCAAATATACTAAATCGTCAGTAGCTTGATGAATTTTAGATGAAAAAAGTTTTGCCCCCAGTTTAGTGCTGTAATTTTAATATTTTAAGACTTCACAATTTTAAGACGGTCACATCACGGCCAGAATCGTGGTTTCTAGAAGTCAGAATTGTTCGCTAGATTTTTACAGTACAAAAAATCCGTATTTATGTAGAATGTTTCTTTTATTTGGGAACCACAACTCTGGCAGAAATTATTGTTTTCTTCAATTTTTCACATATTTTATTTTTCAGAATCGAAATGCGTCTCAAAGTGAAATTTCGCTTCAATCGAAAATATCTGAACTTGAGCTACAATTGGAGAATTTGACAAAAGCAAGAGATGAAACTGAAAAATCGCTAATCGAGGAAATATCTGTTTTAACGAAGAAATTGGACACAAATGAGAAGGTAATTAATCATGAAAATAATCACAAAATTATACTATGATTCAATTTTTAGGTTGAAAGTTTGATTGAAATTGAATCGAGTGAAATTGGTGAATTGAAAGAGCAAATCGAGAAATTGAACAAAATCAGGGAAGAAAATGAAATTAAGGTATTTTTCAAAATATATTTTTATATGTGCTAAATACGAGATATTTTTTTAGATTCGAGAATTTGAATCAAAAGTTGAAAGTGAAGAAACCGAGAAATTGTTGATTTTGAAAGAATCAGAAAGTTCGAATAAATCTGATGAAAATATTGAGAAATTGAATGCAACACTTCAAGAAAAAGAATCTGAAATTGAGAGAATTAGAGAAAAACTGTTGGAGATTGAGAAATCTAGAAATGAAGAAATCGATAATCTCAAATCAGAACTATCAGAAATACGATTATCTCGAGAATCTGAAAATCAACAACATAATGAAGATTTGGAAGAAAAGAAGAAGGAAATTGCTCAACTTAGACAAGAAATTGATACAAAAGAATTGGAAATTCAAAAAATGAATTCGTCGGAAAATGAAGATGTTCAAAAATTGCAAGAAAGAATAAATGAATTGAAAATTGTTGTAAAAACATTGAAAGATGAATTAGAATCGAAACAATCGAATGAAAGTGAAAAAGTTGAACAACTTCAAACCAAAGTATCAAATCTTGAATCGGAAATTGGAGAATTAAAGGAAAATATTAGAAAGAAGGAAGAATCACAAAGCGAAGAAATTCAACATATCAAGGATCAAGATAAGGAAGTAATTCGAAAACTTCAGGAAATCAATACAAATTTATTGTCGGAAATTCAAAAAGTTCAGGAAGATTTGAAGAAATCGCAAGAAAATGAAAATGAGAATAAGAGTTCTCTTGAATCCGAAAATACAAAACTTCAAGGAATTATTGTAGAAAAAGATCAAGAAATTAATGAATTACATCAACAAGTTAGCGAAACTAAACAACAATTTGATGATATTCAAACAAAATTATCTGATTCGAATACTTCACAAAATTCTGAAAATGAACAACTTCGACGAGAAATTGAATTGAAGGATTCTGAAATTCTGAAACTATCCGAATCACTTCAGAATTTGAGTTTGAGTGAGAAAGATGAAATTGGAAAACTGAATGAGGAAATCGAAAGTTTGAAAAAGAATATTCAAAATATTTCTGAGGAAAAATTGTCATTGGAAAAAGAAATTCAACAGAAGGCAGAAGAAAATACTCAACTTGCAATTGAAATTCAAAAAATTACTGAAACTTTATCAGCAAAAGAATCTGAAGTTCAAACTCTCAAATCAACTGGAAATGAAGAACATCAAAAACTCCAACAGAAAATCGCTGAAAATATCATTTCTATGGAATCCGAACGACAAAAATATCACAATGCACAATCTGAAATTCAAAAGCTGAAAGATGAAATAACGAAATTAGAAGAAAATGTGAGATTTTTTTGAAATTTGTTTATTTTGCTTGAATTTCTCGCCTAACAGTTTTTTTTTAAAATCTAACATAACATGTCAAATCTTGTAGATTCTTGGCGAACAAAATATCAACGAAAAAATGCGCATCGAATTTATTGCAAAGGTAATATTGACTGTGCATGCATAGCTTTGTAATATCAGATTTTTCAAAATTTGCCACGTCATAACTTATGTTAGGTGTTGAGTTCTGCAATTTAGATAGTGGAAACGTGATCAACGGGTTGAAAAGTACTAGAAAACATATTCCGTGTGCAAAATTGAAATTTAGCCACGTCATAGCATTTGTGTTTTTTCTTTTTTCTACAATTACAGTTAACTTTGAATCCGCGACTTTTTAAACCCCTTCCCATTTTTTATATTTGAATAATTTCCTGCTAATTTTAATCCTCATATTTTCAATTTTTCAGGAAAAAATCATCAGTGAACTGCGAAACGAAATTTCATCGACCAACTCAAAACTCTTGAATCTCGAATCAAATGGATCTCAAGAAATATCAAATCTGCAATCAACAATTGAAAAGCTGAAATCGAATATAGAAGAAATTGAAGGAAAAGAGAAAAGAGCACAGACAGACAGAGATAATGAAAAACAGGAAGATTTGAGATTGAGGTTATTTAAAATGTTATTTTTTCAAAACAAAGGTATTTTTTCAGAGAAACATTTGCAAATGAATTGGATAATATGAGAAAAAGTTTGGAAGAAAAAGAAAATGCATACACTGAATTGAAATCAAAGGCTGAGAAGAAGTTACAGAAAATAAAAGGACAGTTTGATCAACAAAATTCGGAAATTCGAAGCGAATTGGAAGATGTTAGACATAAATTAGAATTGGAAACAATGGAGAAAGAAGAGATACAAAAGAAATTGGAGGAAGATTTGGAAAGTTTGAGGAAGTCAGAAGAATTGAAGGATAAATTACAATTAGAAGTGGACAATTTGGAAGCTGAAGTGAAAAAGTTGAAGATAGCAAATGAGAATAAAAATGCGAAACAGGATACAGATTCGAGGAAAGTTGTGCGAGAATTGCAGAAAGAAGTGAAGAATTTGTATGTTGAATTAAATGAAAAACATGCACAATTTGATGAAGTTAATGAGGAATTGAAAAAATTGAAAAATGAACAAACACAGGTGAATGGGAAAAGTGAAAATGTTGAAGAAGATGATCGAAGAAGCGAATTTTCGGTTGGTTTTTTCTCTTATAATGGGAAATATGAACAATTTCATTTTTTGCAGTACAAAGAAGAGATCGCATCTCTGAAATCGAAATTAGATGCTTCGCTAAATGAAGCAGATGAATTGAGAATTCAAATGAGTCGAAAAAGAAGATGTGATGAAAAAACAAACTGTTTCAAATGTGTCGAATGCGAAAAAATCAACAAAAAATGTCGAATCTCATGGTGGAATTGCTGATCCAGCTGAAGCTGAATATCTTCGAAATGTTCTTTATCGATATATGACAAATCGAGAATCATTGGGGAAAGAATCTGTGGTAAGTTAGAGATGTATCTTTTTGATGATCAAAGAAAATATTTAAAAAATCTGATTTTTAAAAGTTTCTACAAATTAATAATTAATTCTGATTTTTTTTAAATTAGGGGAAATTATTTCTTCAATAAAAAATTTTAGTCCAAAAAATATTCTCAAAATTATTTTCTAATTTTTTAAGGTTCAAATTTAAACTTTTTTTTAATGCTTCAAAAATAAAATACGGGTTTTCTGTTCATATGACGATTATATTTTTGAAATTACTAAGTTACCATAACTATAATACGCTTTCGATATTTTCAAAATTAAAAAATCTTTTTAAATTCAGCCTGAATAAAACACATATCAAATCCGCTTATTTTTTCCAGACACTGGCACGTGTAATTGGAACTGTTGCACGATTCGATGATCAACAAATGAGTCAAGTAATAACAAGCGAAGAAGCTCGACAAGCAACTTGGGCAGCAGCTGTTAGTGGAACTGTTAGTCATGCATTGGCACGATGAACAAACCCCCATTTCTATTTCTGGCAACTCATTTCTTATTTATATGTGCCTTTTTTCTTCTATCTAATCTAATTTAGGTTTTTTTTATTGTTAACAAAAGGATTTATACCGGTTTATAGTTTTCGAAAGTTTATTTTCTCTGAATATAACATAACAATATAATGATATCTAAATAGAAATGTGATAAGTTTTCTTTTCTTGTTCTTGTAAATAGAGAGTTTTTATATTTCAAATAAATTATTTATTTTATACAAAACTTGAGATATATTTTTTCAAATGTTAGAATTTCCTTGGAGTATTTTTTTCTATTTTAGATTTAGACATTTTAGAAATTAATTTCTACAGGGAAATGTTGTCTCTGCAATTGAAAAATGGGCGAGAATTGTATTATTTGAGCGAAGTTGAAGTTCAGATTGGAATTGATGAAAATGGAGGAATGGAGAAGTACGGTAATGAACTTGAAGGAACTGGCGATTCTGATTTGACAACTCATACTTATGAAGGAGGTTTTAGGGTAAGAACAGTTTTGGGATTGATTTGGAGGGAAAAATATGGTTTCTGAAAATTTTGATTCACAAATTGACTTTGATATATCAATATTAGTCCTAAAAAATACAACAAAAATCCATCAAAAATAATCTGAAACTTGAAAATTTTATCATTTTTCAATTCAATTAAAAATTAAAGGAATCTCGAATTTTAAGCTCCTGGAGCTCAAAAATCAAAAATTTATAAATTGAAATCACCTGAAGCCTCATTTTGAGCCAAAAACAGGAAAATCAAATTTTTTGACCTGGAAAATTGCTTGAATAATATTTTTATAACCTTCCAAAAATTATGAATTTTCTTTGAAACAGTGCATTTTTCTATATGAATTAACCTAAGCTGAGGAATTATTGGAAAATGTTGTTTTTCAATTTTGTTTTTCCAAGTTATTATCTGAAATTTCGATAAATTTTGAGATTTAAATTTGGAAAATTAAAAAGCTTGGCCTAAAAAGTTCGTCAAAATGTAATATTTTCAGATTTGGGAATGTACAACTGATTTGTGCGAATTTATCGAAGAAAATTCGGCATTTTACAATGGAAAACGAGTTTTGGAATTAGGATGTGGTGCTGCATTGCCATCTATTTTGACATCAATTCATGGAGCATCTCATTGTTTTGTTCAGGATTTTGTAGGTTTTCACTTTCAAAAATTACCAAATCATCTTTTTTCCAAATTTCAGAACTCTAGCGTTATTCAATGCTTCACTTTGCCAAATTTTTGTTCAAATGAAGGAAAAGCTCAAATAGAAAGTGCATCGATTCCATGGGAAAAAGTTCCAGAAACAATTGAGAATAATAGTTATGATGTGATTCTTTCGTCGGAAACTATTTATAATGAAAAAGATTATGAGAATCTGCATAATGCGGTTGTTTCAGCTTTGAAAAGTGATGGAGTCGCGTGAGTTTGGGGAAGAAAGGTACTGTTTCAGCTTTTACTCGAGATTTTTTATAAAATTTTCTAATACGGTTCGACCACCTGATTCTGTTGGCAAAAATCTCGATTAAAAGTTGGAAAAATACCCTTGAAAAATGAAATCGTGAGAAATAAAACAATTTTCAGATACTTTGCCGCAAAGATGTTTTATTTCGGAGTTGGTGGAAACGTTCCGTCGTTTTTAGATTTTGTTAATAATTTAGGAATTCTCGAAGCAAAAATACTCAAAATCATCGATGCTTCTGTTCAACGGGTTATTGTTGAAATTAGAAGAAAATAGAAATAGAAGAGATTTGAGTTTGTTGAATTTGTTATTACTTATGTTTTGTTATTACCAAATAAAAATGTTGAAAATAATGGAATTTTGATATAAATCTATTTTTTCAATAAAATTTACAGATTCTACTAAATATGAAATTGGCTGAAGTTCCAAATTTTTCTATCCAAAAGTTACGAAAAAAAAACATATTTTTGAGCCAGAATTATGTAAAAATAATCAATTTCAAACGTGGAACGTGACATATTTCTGCCAAAAAACATTTTTGTTTTCGTTTTTCCTATTTTCCCTATTTCTTATGCGCCGTCCAAAATACAAAAAATCTCCGTTCGAAAACAAGAAGAAAAAAGTTAGATACGCATGTGGTACGGTTTCACACACATTTTTGCAACATGCCCCTTTAAACTTTGTAGTGTGTGCCTTTAAGTCAGCCTAATTTTTTTTTTTGTTTTTTCACTTTTTCGGTCAAAATCAAAACTACAGCTCAATTTTCAGATGAAAGACTATCTTCACAAATATTTTACTGATTTTCGTGGATATCATAAATGTTTGAAATGTCAAAAAGTGTTCCGAACTTCATTCAATGATTTGTATCTGAATAAACATCTTCAAGTGGCTCATCAATTGGTTGTATCCGATCTAATTTTGGAATATGCGAATGAAAATTGGAAAGTTATGAAGAATTATTATAAAAATGTGCTTCCAAATGGATATTCGTGTCTTTTTTGCAATCAAATGTTTTATGATAAAAGTGAATATATTCTTGTCAGTCATATTAATACAGTTCATGGTATTGTAATGAAAGAAAGAATGGAGGAAGAAAGAATGATGCTGGAAAATCGAATGGATGTTGGATTGAATGAATTGAGTGGAGATTCGTTTAGAGTAAGTTATTTTTGGAAAAAAAGTTGAGCTTTCAACATATCTTTAAAAATGGAATAGAATTTGAAAAATTCAGAAATGGAGCGAACATTCTCCATTTCAATTCAAATTTCTCAACTGTTGACGTAAAACGTTTTTTTTTTTCAGACCGCGGAATTGAGAAGGCTGAATTATGATCCGAATGCATTTCAAACGATAACTGCAATCAATTACGATGATACAGATGTGAGCGTTTTTTTTTCAAAAACCATCTCACCGGTTTTTTTTTTCAGAAGAACAACATAACATGTGATTTTTACCAAGATGTTGGAAATAATACGAAAAGCTGTATAATCTGTAATCTACAATTAAAAGTTGTTTCGGTTTCGTCTTTGTTGAAACACTTGAGAAATGTTCATAATGTTTTTGAGGCTTATAAATATACCGATGGAATAGCGAAGAAAAAACCTAAATTGAGTGGAGTTTGTCCGACGTGAGTCAATTTTAGGAATAGAAAAATATAGTAAATATTTTGTTTTCAGAAAAAGTGAACTGAAGAAACCGGACAATTATGTTGAATATGTGAGTTTGGAATTTCTTTTGATAAAATCTTTACAAAAATGATTTAGGCAACACTTTCGAATTTTTTCATTTCCTCGGAAGATTCAATAACTTGTGTCAGTTGTGGAATGGAACTTGAAAATAAAACATCAGAAGTTCAATTGGAACATATTCGACAATTTCATCCTTCCATTTTTGCAACTCTGAAATCTGATCCACCTCCAGTTCCGAAGAAACCGTTTTTGAAAAAGTGAGAGTTTGATGGGGTTGTGAGCAGAGCTAGACAACAATATTTGATTTTTGAAAAAAGTTATTTTTTCTTATTGGAAAATCAAATTAATTATTTATTATCATTATATTATTAATTTTATCATCTTACATACATATTTCGACTATCTATTGTATTATAAGTAAGCTAGTTTGTTGATTTTGGTTTTGGAAAAAATGGATTTAGGTGGAGTAAAAAGGAAGCGGGTAAACCGTGGAATATGCATTATTCTTGAGAAATTAAAAAAATATATTGTTACTTTCCTCAAAATGATATTTTCAGAAGAATGAGGTCATTCAACGCCGAACGAAAATTAACATCATTCATTATTTCCCAAGGAATTTCGTATGATGTTTTAGGCGATCCAAACTTAAGAATTCTTCAAAGAGCTATGAATATTAAAATATCACAATTAAATGCAAGATCTGTGCCACATGAAATTGACTCCAAAGATATTATGGATCGACTTATTGAAGATTGTGCAATTGAAACTAGGGTAAGTCACTGATCTAAAAACATATTTTCAACAAAACACTGATTTTCAGGAACAAGCTATGCCATTTTCAAATAATTCTTTAATAACAATTTCAATGAGTTTTCATTGCGAAAATCGAGAAATATTCGTGGCAGCTTGTTTGCATAATAATACGATCAATTTCAAACGGAAAAATCGGGTTGTTTTCAAAAAATTGTCTTGTTCGAAATTAGATTGTAAAACAATCGAGAATCTTATGAAAAATTTGGAAAAAGAATATCAATTTTCGAGTTCTCAAGTGTCGAATTTGGTTGTTGAGAAAAAATATCTGGATTTATTCGATGGTTTTGATGAAAATGTTTTGAAGTTCGAAAGTTTTCTTGAAAATATATGTGAACTTGCGGAAAATGTGCTGAAGGTTTCGTTCTTTGAAGAAACATTGAGAATGTTCAACGAAACCATTGATTTGATCAGATCTGATGGGGATTTGTTGGAGAAATTTGAACTGTAAGTGAAAGATCTATAGCTGGATAAATGGAATTCCAAAAGAATTAAATATTAAAATACTTACAGATTGATGATGGACTGCAATGTAAACCGATTTGATATTTCACTTTTCAATTATTCGAATTGGTATGAATGCTTAGAAATGCTCATTTTGATCGTCGAAGATAAAAGAAAGGTGAAATCATTTTTGAAATTGTGAAAATTTTAAGCAAGGACCCACAAAAAATTGATTTTGAACATAAATAAATTCCAGAAAAATTAAAAATCAGAAAAAAAAGATATGTGACCGAACTATTTTGGTGGCCGAGAAATTTCGGGAATTCGGCCAAAGCAATAAACGCGCTCCAACAATACGGATTTTCGCAACATTAGAGCGAGTTCGTTGCTTTGACTCGGCCACCAAAATTGTTCGGTCACATTTTTTTTCATGTTTTTATTTTTACTAAAGTTTATGCTGAGCTTTACTTTTTTGTGAAATAAATGCATTTTGAGCTTCATTCATCAATATTTTCAAAAGTGCTCTGAATCTCTGCTTCCAGACGATTTCCAGACCATTCCAAGCAAAATTTTAGAATTAGAATTTTCAGATCTTAATCATCCAATTGTTCTCCAGCAAATGGCTTCCCTCAAATAAATTATCTAATTCAATAATTCATTATTTATTGATCCTCTCAAATATTCTCAAAAAAATCAATTTGGTTGCTAAAGCTGCTTCGGATTCAAATGGAACTATTTCAAGTGTTATACCTTTGGTAGTCGAACTGATTGGAAAATTGAAATGGTTTGATTTTATTTTATTATCTTTTTTTAATTTCATCATTATTTTTTTCCAGCGAAGAAGTTGATTTGAGCGATCTGATTGAAAATCATCTCGAAATTTATTTGAAGGACGAGAAATATATGAAATATAATTTCGCAACTTTCCTCGATCCTCGATATGTTTTCGATAAAAATATACATTGTTATAAAACTTGGAATTATATTAAAACAAAATTGGTTAACACGATTCAAATTGAAGATCGAGATTGTTTTTTGGTAGGTACTTACGAGGGAACTCACTGAATAGATTGTTTCTGTGACTTTGACAGTTCAATTATTATTCCAACTCGGGAAATAGATAGCAAATGATCGCAAGAAAAATTGACTTTTGGGAAGATAGTTAAACCGCCAAAATCACAGAAAAAGTTTATTTCGTGCATCTTCCCTTGTTAGATATTTTTATTATTTTAAAAACAAAACAATTTTTCAGAAGGAATTGGTAATGTATCAAGGAATGATATCAGTAAGAACAACTTCAGTATTATCAAGTGATTATTTCTTTTTATGGAGTGAGAAAAGATATTCTTTACCGATGTTGTTCAAATATTCCATGGATTTTCTAAATGTTCCAATGTGTTGTCTAAATGCCCAATATTATTTTGGGTAAGTTTTCTTATTTTTGAAAAAAAATAATTATCAAGCTTTGTTCTAGGAAACATGGAAAATTTGGATATATGAACAAAACTATGGGTTTTGAACAGTTCAATAATTCAATGATTGTTGCTTCTTCTCAGGAAATTTTCAAGTTAGTTTTTTCTATGTTATTTCAAAAATAAATATTGTATTTTCAGATCTCGTGATTTTTCGGTATCTGCTCCAATTATTTTCAATAATCCAATCAGTAGATCTGATAATCCTCCCGAGCTTACCGAATATCAACCACAAGAAAACTCTGAATTTATTGATAATGATCAAATTGTGATTAAAGTTGAGCCACCGATATTAGAAGATGAAGAAGAAGAAGAAGAAGAAATTATGAGAGATGATAATAATTTGTTACAATATATTAAGAAAGAAGAAGAGTAGGTTTTTTATGGGCTTATGAAGTTTTGAAAAAATCAAATTTGTTTTTTTCACTAAATATTTCCTTTAGGGTTGTTTTTAGCTTTAAAAAAATTGGAAATCTGGAAAATGAATTTAAAAATTGATGGTTCATGATTCAAAAAATCATCTCAGCAATGTTTAACAAAATTTGCGATGTTCTACATTTTATTTTATGCAAACCCGTAGAAAAAACATTCGAAATTGAATGAAACAATTGTACGATGGCAAGTTTTGAGAAAACAATCAAAATTAAGCAAATCACACGTATTCAAGAGTATCTAATCTAACATAAGAGTTATCATAATTCCTGTTGACCATATTTATCAACTGGCCACATGCATTGACAAGAAATTGGAACATTTTGAATTGTATGTGGATGCCAATGAATTGAACCAACACTTCGACGAGATACGTGAATCTGTATAAATTGATTCTATTATTAGAAAAAATGTGGGGTATTGGGAGAAAGGTTGATTTGTTAGTGTAACAAAGAACATCCTTATTACATATCATATTAGATTGTTGGAGAGAAAACATTGATCGTTTAGAAAGAAGATCAACAAACATTCGTACGCATGATTGATTGATTAATTAATAAAAAAAGTGTGTTTTAAGAGAGGGAGAGGGGGGGGGGTAACAAATTGGAATTTTCAAAATCAGACCTGAGGATCGGGGTGGGACCATCCTAAATTCTTCTGATAAATCTGAAGAGAGGATTAAAATTTGGACTTTTTTGAAACCGATTTAAGTAACTAACTGTTTTTTAAAGGATTTTTAAATCGGACCTGATTTGAAGAATCGAATTTCTCTGAAATATTCTAAACATCAGATTCTATGATCCGATTCAAGATATCCAAATAATGGTTCAAGACTTTCTCATATAACTAAGGATGTTGAACCCTTCTGGCCCGATCCTGAATGAAAATCTGCGGATCTGGCCCAATTCAACTTTCTCCCCTTCTACTCACATCTGTATATTGTTGTACACATCGAAGCATTCCTTTCACACAAGTCTGTTCACTTTTTCCAAATCCAAAAAATCCTTGTTTATTTGATAAACATCGAACTTCGAAAATGAACGGCGGGTTGAATTCATGCCTGCAAAATGTTTTTTTATGGATTTTCTTCTCATAAACACTAATTTCATGGTCGATTAGCGTCTTTTTTCTCGCGATTACTTGTTAATGCGGAAAATAATCGGAATTGGAATCTGGTTTGGTTTTGTTTTGAGGCGGAAACCATTTATGAGAGACAATTATTATTATATCTGAGAACACTTCCGATTTGTTTGATGATATGGCCAAAAAGTTACGCGTTTGGTTTCAGGTGTGAATTGATTAAAGGACCAACCGGTTTTAGCGGAAGTTTTTTTTTGGTTCGTTTGGTAAGGAATAAGGAATGATACCGTAGGTGGAACATTGCAAAAAAATGAAAGGAGAATTCTAGAAAAAGTAAAAAGGTTGAAAAATGGTTTTGATGAATTTTGAGCAAATTTGGAATATGATGAGGTGGGCGTTTTGTTTAAGAATTTCCAAATTGGACTAGGGTAATCACATTTTTGATATGATTCGAACTAACCCAAAACCTGTGCCTAACTCACCCTTCGGTATTCAATTCCCTTGACTTTCGTTCACTCTTACACAATTCCTCATTCTTCTCCCTCCGACTATTTTTCCTTAGATGATGTCCATGTTTTTTATGTTTATGCTTCTGACTCAATGGTTTTTCTGTCACCAAATCAATCGATTTTTCAAATCGAAAAATTTTCGATTCATTACCAACTGACAATTCATATAAATCATCAGTCTGATTGACAATTGCGCTCTGCAATTTTATTTTCTCAGAGTTATGCTAATTTATTCACAAACCTCTTGTTGATGATGTCTTTTTCGATGTTGTCGATCGCGCATTCTATCAAAACCGGATGCACGTTCTGAAAACAAAATGAGTCATTTTCATTGAAATTGCTTTTTTTTTGTAATTTCTTCGAAAAATTGTTGATAAGTGTCAATGTTTTGCAAAAACACAATTTGTTGGTAACCAGTTTGAGACTAAATTGATTTATGTCAATGATAAATATACCTTGGTCGAATAGAAGGAAAATAGAAGAAATCAGTGTTTTGGAAATAGAATTATGAAGTGGAACTTTTCAACTCACTTTTCAAAATCTAGGAATTTTTCAAAAGGAAAAAATTTAAAAAAAAATCTCCGTCCAAAATTTTAATTTGAGCTTTAAAAACTAGCTACAATCAGAAACCACGTTTTGAGAATTGAATTATGGAAACCAAAACTGTTCAAACTAACTTTGTGGATATGTCTCAATAAGTTCGAAAATCATAACAATAACAATAATAAATTGAATAAATTGGACCTTCATAGAACATTTGTCGAAACACTTCAGACATTTAACTGTTGATGTTCACCCATAAATACTGTCGACGTAGATCTCTCTGCAATAAACTTATTTTAAAAATCTAAGACGCCGTGAAAAAGAAAGCAAAAAGGAATAAACAATAAATGAAGAACATCTGGTGTCGATTTCGAGAAATGAGAAGAGGAGAAATGAATTTGAAACAAAAAGAAGGAAGAGAATTCCATAAATATCATAGTTTAGTTTTATTTTGAAAATAAAAGAATCAATGGGGCGTGTAAGAGAAAAGGAGAAAAGGACAACAAAAAAAAATAATATTCTTATTGATAACATTTTTAATGGTTTGCTGAAAAATGAAAAATGTCTGAAAATTTGGGAAGATGGGATTTTTAGTAGATGAAGAAAAAATGGTATTTGATGAATTGGGGAGGTCAGTCAAATTGGCAGATGGTTTGCAAGGCAACCTTTTCCGGAACCGACCGGCTAAAAATTGATCATTTTTCTCAGAAACAAGTAATTTTCTGAAGCACCAATATTTGTTTCTGATTTAAAAATTTGGAAAATGTTTTCCTTGTGAATATCTTTTTTCAAAAACATGTAGAAAATAAAAAAAATACCCAGAAAAAGTGTTAATTTGAAATTGAATCTAACTACTCCATTTATCCGAATCACCACGACCTCTTGATTTATTATTTGGGATTTTTTGGCGACGGGTGGCCATTTTCTTTGTTTTGGATATTTAACGAGTGAAAAAAGAAAAAGACAAAAATTGGATTTCGTTAGTCAGTCAGTTAATTGGTTAGAAAAAACGGATCAAAAATCAAATTAACCAATCATGATATGTTTTGGCGCCAGACATAAAAATACTGCACTGTTTCATGTGTTTTGTTAGTGGGGAATGTGGAATTGGGAGAAAATAGGAATTTTTAACAATAAGGGAGGAAAATAAATCACAATTCTATTTAGAAATTTGTAAAAATTTCAAAAATTAATATTTTGTTTTCACGTGAAAATTAGAAAGTCATTTCTAATTTTAAAAATACCTATAATCAGAAATTTCTATGGAACTTAAACCGAATTTTACAGAAAAAGGAAGGGGTTTCAAAAAAATTAAGTTTCAAAAACAGTTTGTCTCTGAAACTAAAAATAGTATTTAGCTGAGCGCAGCAAGTCCGATTTCTGAAAGTGGTGGAAACTTTGCCACGTCATAACTATATTTTGAGCTAATTGTGAATCCTAGACTCTTGGAATAGTTATCTTTTAGTACGTTTTTTGAAGGCAAAGATTATTTTTCTGAAAAATATCGATCTCAGTCTAGAAAAAAATTAAAAATTTTAAACTAAAAAGTTTCTTTATCTCTTTTATTCTCTCTATCTGAAAAATGATAAACCTATCTAAACTTGAGTAAACAATAAGATTCATACCTTGAAAATAACAAAAAAAAAAGAATAAATTGTCACTCACCCGCCCAGTTTTATTTCATATAAACGAAGAAAAAAAAGAAACTATTTATTTTACAGTAATCGATGATCGAATTATACAAATAGATACAAAATGCAAATCGAAAAAGTTTTGAAACGAAAAGTTTTTTTTCGTGAAACTTTTGGAAGGCTCTCAAATTTATCTTTTTTGTTGTTCAAAACGATTTTTCACATAAGCAGAAAAAGAAGAAGTTTTTGGAAAGTGTCATTAATCACTAGTTGTTTGAGGTCATATTTCACAAGGGAAATCGACATGGATTTGATTTCTGTGCTAACAAAAATGAGAAACATATTTTCTGAATCTGAAAATCTTGCCTATATTCGATAAATCATCTTGTTTTTTGTTTGGTTTTCTTTTCTTTTCAAATACAAAATAATTTTTAAATTGGATTAAAATTCCTTCAATGATAACAACCACCCAAAAAATAAAGAAAATCACGAAGCGACTAAAAATAGGATTAGAAGAAAATGGCAACATTTTTTCTCTCTACGTATTTTTTCAAAGAAAAGAAAAAGGCTTAAAGAACCGCAAAAAAATCCCGAGGGTTTTCAAAAAGTGATGAAATGGACGGCCAAAAATCTTTGGTTCGCAGAAGAAAACTGAGTTTTTTTTGTTAGAAAAAATGATGTCAAAAAGTTTTATGTTTGATTACTGTAACTCAAAATTGAAGTGTTTTGGAATCTGAAGTTTAAATCATACTGTACGCAAAAGTGTTTGCACTCACTAATCTGGACGTGGAGGTAATTTGAAAATTTGAAAACATAGATTCATCTCAGATCGTTTCAACTTCTATTTTTCTAATTTTTTCTAACAAGTTGAATCAAGAAAAAAACATCGAGAAGGAAATCTTTTCTTTTTTTTTGGAAATAAAAAAGGACAACATTTAGAACGAAGATTCGGATTGATATATTTATTGCTTATCACATTATCATATCACTTTCTTCATATTTCTCAATTATTTTCCAGTCTTCTTTTTTTTGGTCGTCTCGTTTTGTTTTGTTCGATCAATCAATCAATCGATTAACAATAAGGAACATAATTTGGAAACATCTGAAACATTTTTGAGAGCAAAGAGATTAGGAGGAAAAATGAAAAATTCTGCACGGGAAGATAACTTTGGAAAAAGTTTCACAAACTTTGAATCTGAATTAAAAAAAAATTATATTTTAAGAATACTTGGATCGAGAGTCATACGGGACACCGAAAAAATTATTTACATACCCACAGCGGAACATTTTTAAGAGGTCAGCAAATAATCTTCAGAAAATTTGTTCCAGTTCTTGAAAACCCTTATTTTGTGAAAAATCATCAATTGCGAAAAAGATCCTGAAAAAATATGTTGTCTCGAAAATATCCCTGCAACAAGTTCTACAAAAATATTACTTGGAAAATCTGTTTTTCCGAAAACTTGAAAATTGTTTCAATTTAGAATTTTTCTAAAATTCAAGATGACCTGAATATTTTTTGATGGTACGATTATTTTATTTATTCGCAAAAAATCACCATTCAAAAATCGAACTCAAAAATAAAATTCAAAAAATCTCAAAAAATGTATGCACAAAAGTCATGCACACATGTATTTAGTTTAGTTTTTTGATTTTTCTCTAATCAAAAACACCTGATTATTTTCAGCCATTTTCAGCCATGCAAACCCTATTATTATATGTCACAAAAATGTCGAGTTTTTTCGAATTAAAGTACACTGCTCCACAAAAAGATAACCTCACCCCTCATTTTTCAAAAAAGCGAAAATTTGAATTTTTTGAAAAAAGTTTGTTTTTGAAAAACATGCCAAATTCGGATACTAATTCATCCCTGAAAACAAATTTCAGATTTGGTAAGCGCTGAAAAAAAAATTGAGAATTTTCAAAAAAGCCGATTTGCCAATCCACATAATGATAACCTCACCCCATGTTTTTTGACGAATTCGGACTTTTTAGTCGGAGTTAGTCACCCAAAATGTGTTAATGTATGGTTGGTGAGTTTTTAATCTAAAAAAAACACAGTGCCACGTTTCTAACACGTTGTGAGCATCAGATTTGGAGCATTGCGATGTAAAGAGCATTTTTCAAAAAATTTTACAGATTTTGCTATTTTTTTCATTTCTTTTTTCAATGTTTGACGTTCAAGACGATCCAAATGATCTGTTTTAAGCTCATTATGTTGAAAAAATTGGAAAAAATTGAAAAAAAAGAAGAAAACAATCGAGATGCGAATTTTTAATTTCGCGCCGATTGATAATTTGGAGCACCCACGACGTAAACTTTTGAAAATTACTGTTTTTTTTTGTTTTTCGAATTGTTTTCTAATGATCAATACTTTTCTAACATCCCACATCAAATTTTCATCCAAAATGCCGCGAGGAAAGCCTCTTTCTGATTTTGAAAAAGGGCAAATTACAGCCAAAAAAGATCAACGAATTTCAAATCGACAAATCGCAAGAAATTTAGGCCGTAGTCCACGAGTTATCAATAATTATGTTAACGATCCGCGAAATTATGGCCCCGGAAACTGTCCTGGTCGTCTGAGCTTGCGATTTGTCGATTTGAAATTCGTTGATCTTTTTTGGCTGTAATTTGCCCTTTTTCAAAATCAGAAAGAGGCTTTCCTCGCGGCATTTTGGATGAAAATTTGATGTGGGATGTTAGAAAAGTATTGATCATTAGAAAACAATTCGAAAAACAAAAAAAAACAGTAATTTTCAAAAGTTTACGTCGTGGGTGCTCCAAATTATCAATCGGCGCGAAATTAAAAATTCGCATCTCGATTGTTTTCTTCTTTTTTTCAATTTTTTCCAATTTTTTTAACATAATGAGCTTAAAACAGATCATTTGGATCGTCTTGAACGTCAAACATTGAAAAAAGAAATGAAAAAAATAGCAAAATCTGTAAAATTTTTTGAAAAATGCTCTTTACATCGCAATGCTCCAAATCTGATGCTCACAACGTGTTAGAAACGTGGCACTGTGTTTTTTTTTAGATTAAAAACTCACCAACCATACATTAACACATTTTGGGTGACTAACTCCGACTAAAAAGTCCGAATTCGTCAAAAAACATGGGGTGAGGTTATCATTATGTGGATTGGCAAATCGGCTTTTTTTGAAAATTCTCAATTTTTTTTCAGCGCTTACCAAATCTGAAATTTGTTTTCAGGGATGAATTAGTATCCGAATTTGACATGTTTTTCAAAAACAAACTTTTTTCAAAAAATTCAAATTTTCGCTTTTTTTGAAAAATGAGGGGTGAGGTTATCTTTTTGTGGAGCAGTGTAGAAGCCTCTAGTTATTTTTTCAGTTTTTCTCTGGCTTCATTGATTTTTTCTCTACAAATTTTCCGTTCCCCATTGATAAATCCATGTTTTTGTTCTTTTTTGTGATACCCTTTTTTTTGTTTTGCGGTTTCCTTGGTAACTCAGAACGCATAAAAGAAAAGAAAAATAATCTCATAAATATTTGTTTAGTATGAGCAAATTTATACTAGTAGGTATGAACGACAAAGTGAAAAAATACGATGTAAGTCATCTAGATGAGATCTTTATGATTCTTTAATTTTTACTCATTCTCTAATTATAAAATAAATGAATTCCAGGTTCCTCTCAAACAATATCACATGCTACAAACTTCTCTGGAAGTTGATTATCCATATTTTCCATTTCGAATATCAATTGATTATGTTCTTGTTCATGACGCAAGTTCGAATAAAAATCGTGAAAAATTTCGGCATTTTTTCGAAAAAGCCGCGCAAAAAGAGGGTCTTATAATAAGACATGAAAGTTCTGCGCAAACACATTTCACTCTAATTTCGACACCTTTTCATAGATTATGTCGAGAAGCTGAAATGTCACAAATGTGTTTTCCATTGAAAGATGTTAGTTTGGGAGTTGGGTTTTGATAAGGAAAAAAACTTCCGATTTTTTTGTAATTCCAAAATTTCAATTTTTCAATTATCGTATTCATCCTTTCCACAAATATTTCTCAAATTGAATTTTCAAAAATTCAAAATGTGGAAAAATTTTCAAAATTTTAGGAACATTTCTTGTGAAAAATTTTTGAACAATTAAAACTTAGGAAACCCAAAAAAACAGGGAAGCCTAAGATTAGCCTGAGAAAAAATTGACCCAATATTTCCAGCTCATATTTTTTCCAGTGTCAAATCAAACCAGCTGTTCCATCTTGTTGTATTCCACTTTCCAATTTATTTGTTACCGATGACACAGTTTGTCATATAAATGCCCCTTTTCAACGGAAAAATGGTCCATTATTTGTGAATTATACTAATGAGAAAAAGTTTTTCACTCCTGCGCAAAGAGGATTCTTGACACATCAGGTAATTTTTTTTGTAAAAAGAATGGGACTGTATTTGAAAAAAAGCTGTAACAATTTTTCGAAACTAACCAAAAATTTGAAAAAAATTTACTAGAAATGATTTTCAAATGCTCACGTGGACTGAATTGTTCAAGCACATATTCACATTTCTTGAATAAATTTCTAAAAGTTCCTAATAAATTGCAACTTCTAGATCCTTACAAAAATCGATATCAGTAAAGATTTGGGATTTTCAAATAAACAAATCGAAGGAAAAGAAGAAATAACTCTGTTATCCGATGAACCTTTGAGAAGAAAAGGTTTGAATTGGATGTTAATGAAAGATGTTTATGATGAAGGATTTATTCTACATGCTCCAAGCACGGTAAATCTTCATTCAATACATTTTCATCCTCTCAAGTTTCCAGGAAGAACCATATTTCAAAAAAATGAAAGATACAAGTAATGTATCTTATACTGATTTTGTGATGGAAATCGAAGAAGATCCGAGAAAAAGATTGAGTGATTCGTGGGGAAAATGGATGAAATTTCAACCATTGAATAAAATTCGAGAATATTTTGGAGAACAAATTGCATATTATTTTGCATGGCAGGGAACATTTATTACTTTATTATGGCCGGCTACCATTTTCGGGTTATTTGTTTTTGTATATGGGTTTATCGATAGGTAATATTTGGATGTTAGATTAAAAATTTCATCCTACCCATATCTCTGAAATTATATCAATTTCAAGTTTTTAATTTCTGATCCTATCAGCCCCTCCATCTTTCTCCAACAATTTTCATATTTCAGTGTAAGTACGAGTCCGATTGATTGGGATGATTGTGAAGATATCAAAAATACCACAATTACCTGTGATTCCAAAAAAGGTGTATCACATTTTTTCACCTCTTTATCTCAATGGTTTATGTCTTCTTTTGACACAAGAATGAATGCATTTTTTGCTGTCTTTATGTCGATTTGGGGTAACTCTTTCTTATTTTTCCACTTTCCAAATTCACTTTTCAGGAAGTGTATTTGTTCAAATTTGGAAACGTAACAATTCGGTACTTTCTTATCAATGGAACTCCGAAGATTTTCATTCTGTTGAACCAGATCGACCTGAATTTCGAGGATCGAAACTGAAAGAAGATCCAATTACAGGTGAAGATGTATGGATATCTCCAGCTGTTATCCGATATTTCAAATTCGTAGTTTCATTTTTATTCGTCTCATTTTTCATGTCCCTCACATTCATATCATTGATGTTGGTAACACTTCTAAAAATATGGGCAAATCATTTTTTCAAATGTGATACAAGTTATACATTCAATTGTTGGTTTGTTACTGCTGTTATCCCATCTGTTCTGAATACTTTATCAACAATGGGACTTGGAGCTGTTTATAGTAATTTGGTTGAGAAATTGAATCGATGGGAAAATCATCGAACTGAAACTGATCATAATAATTCATTGATTGTTAAAATATTCGCATTTCAATTGGTTAATACATACACCTCATTATTTTATGTGGCTTTCTTCAGACCGGAATCACATGTGAGTAGAAAAACTATTGTTGAAGTCATGGATTAATTTATGTTTAGGGGTTTCAATCAAACGGATTATTTGGACTTGGCGAATCATTCAAGGATACGTGTATTGATGAAACTTGTGGAAGTTTATTAGCTGTACAATTACTAACTCATACTTTAATTAAACCTGTGCCAAAATTCACGATGGATGTTGTTTTACCGTAAGTTTTGAAAAAATGGAACATCAGAGAGGCTTCTGACAAAACTGATTTCGAATCAAACAACTTTCAATTTGAATTTTTAGCCACAGTTATCAGGATGTTTCAATCAGACCTTCTTTTGTTTTCCGAAAATCAAACAAACAGCCCGATTAGTAAATCCTTAGAATCGGGCTCAAAAATCTTGAAATCTGGTTCCGACTCTAGAACTTTTGATATTCAATAGAACACCTTAACCTTTCAGATATCTAATAAAAATCTTCCGAATCCATCAATGGTCTTCTCGAACAGATATTCGATTCGAAAACAATGATGAAACCAATGTTTTAATTCGAGAATGGCTCAAACCAAGTGCCGGAGATTTTGTTCTTTGGGAAATGAATGAGAAAATTATCATGTTTGGAACGACTATGGTAACTAACTAAACTTTCTTGCGTTTTTCTCTTCAAGATTTTTTTTCAGATGTTTGCCTCGCTTTTTCCGTTAGCTCCCCTACTTTCTTTAATTATTGGCTTTGTTGATATGCGAATTGATGCACATCGTTTGATTTGGTTCAATCGAAAACCAATTCCTCAAATCACTACTGGAATTGGAATTTGGCTGCCAATTCTGACATTTTTACAATATTGCGCGGTTTTTACGAATGCTTTCATAGGTAATTTTTGAACGGAAAGAGTGAAACTTTACTAATAATTATATTTAGTTGCATTTACTTCTGGCTTTTGTTCCAAATTTTTCGATGATGGTTATTGTAATGTTCAAAATCGACTTTTGATTGTTATTGTTTTTCAGGTAATGGGAGATAAGTTTTTTTTCAAATTAAATTTTTTTGCAGAACATTGTGTTCATTTTACGATATTTATTATCTTGCATAATTCCATCGACTCCGGCAGCAATAAAATTAGCAAAAAGAAAGAAACATTATGTAATTGGACATATTTTGGAAAAAGGAGATGTTCCACATAAAACAAGAGCGAAGAAAAAGACAAGAATTGCTAAAATAGCGTGGATTACTATGAATAAACGAGAAAAAAGAAGTCGGGGTTCGAAATAATTATAATTTTTGAATGAATTTTTCAAACAACACACCACCGGTGCGTTGTTTATTGGCCAAATAAAGTTTGTCTTTTTTGCAGTTGTTTGTTTTGACAAGTGTATTGTATATTATTGTAAGTATATAGAGAAAAAGATAGACTACTTAGATAGGGTCAGTTGGTTAGGATGAAATTATTGATTTTATCCGTTTTGTGCATTTTCGTTGTCAACGCTAAAATTGAGCATGTTAAAGAGAAAGCATCGGAAACTCATGCAAATCCGAAAAAAGTCGAAGTCAAAGATGCACCCGAGCATAAAGTTAGCAGAGAAAAATGTAAGTTTTTTTAATTACAGTTTTCCCAACAGAAAAATGAGTTGAAATATATTTCAGTTATGGAGGATTTGAGATTTCGACGAGTTCAACATGCCGATGCAATTCGTGGTTTGAAAATTGTTTCGGATGATAAAATAAATGGATTTTTGGATGATGTTGTGAAAAATATTCAAAAAATATTGAATGAACATCGAGATATTATTGGAAGAATCACAATTATTGAAAAAAGTCAAATTCCGGATGAAGAAAAAAATCAAGATTCACTTTTGAAAGTTTTGGAAAACGCTGCATTCTTCGCTGATCTTTCCCTGGCTTATCCAAAATATTTCGAGAAAATTTTGAAGAAAAACTTGAAGTTGAAAACTCTTATTGTGTGGGCTTATCATTATTCGACAAAAACTGAATTATTTGATGAAGCGACTTCTAAACAAGTTATGAAAATGGCACAAAAATATGGAATAATTGAAAAATCGAAAAAGGAACAGGAGAAGGATGATTTGGAGAAAAAATCAGAAGAAAAAATTAAGAAACGAAAAGAAGAAAAAGAAAAACAACGAAAACCTGAGAAAAAACAACCAAAAGGAGAATTATAATTTTGAAATTAGATATAACTGGTTCAACTTCACTTAATATTCTACAATAATCTCGTCTTAAAAGCCATAATCACTCACTTTGCTATTAATTTATAGGAATTTTCGTGCAATAAATAAATTGGTTCCCAAATTATTTTATGAATAGTAATGGTTTTTCAACCGAAAAATATTTTACAAAATTCGTCTTCTTTGATCTCTCAGTTCTTCCGTAATTTCTAAGCGAAATATCTTAATCCTTTCAATTCTTCGAGAATCGAATGTTGGCGATTTTCAGAATCCACAGGGTGTAATTTACTACCTCAAATCGCTAGACCTCAAATTTTTCATTAATTTTTGGGTAGATCAAAAATAATTTTTCTCTAAATCTCTCGTTTTTGCGTTGAATTTTGTCGATTTTAGTCCCACCCCTAAGATCGTGTCAGGTCTCAAAAAATGCGCGAAATTTTTCGGGTAGTAAATTACACTCTGTGGAATCCCTAAGATTTCTTCAGGTGTTTGAATGGAATGTACTATTCTAAAGTTAGAAGTTTCAAGCTTTCGAGTTTTTTGAAAGTTTAAAAATTACTTCGTTGCTTGATTGAGGAAGTTCGCAGAGTTCAAGGAGAGTGAAAGAAAAATCGGAAAAAATGAAAAAAAAATGAGTCGTAAGGTCATGTGTATGTTGAGTACGGTAACACGTCAATGCACCACACACATTTAACCTGACGCGCAAGTTGTTTTTTTTTGTGTACACGCACTGTGCCCAGAGAATGAAAAACGCGAAAAGCGCCACAAGGAGACTGACGCTTTTTGTGTAGTTTTTTTTGTTTCGCTGGAGCGCACTTACTGATTACAAACATTTTGAATTTTTTGTTCAGAAAATTTCCATTTTTTTTTGTTTTTTCGAAATTAAAAGAAAATGGGGTATTTTTTCGAAAAAGTAACCAATGTGAACTGTAGAGGAGGATTAAAAGTACCTATTTCACTTAACCTCATTTCTTGTCTGTTTCTCATATCTCCAATCTTTTGCCTCAAAAATGATGATGCCAAGTTATCATTTTTCAAAATCCAACTATTTCAATCATAAATCTATAAATTTGAAATGAAAGTGATAAAAATTGATCTAATATTATAATTTGACTCGTAATTCTGACTATTCACACTATTTTGAATGCATTGAATGCAAAAAGGAACCATTTCAGAATCTTACGGTTTGTCTGAAATTTTGTTAGTTTTTAGTCAGTTAGTTGTGTTTAGTGATTTTCTAATGATATTTATAAATTTTAAACTCGTTTTTCGAATGATTTGACCTAAAATTAAATAAAAATCAGTCCTATAAATATCTAGGCACTTTATAAAACTCCTTCGTTTATCATTTCTTACTTTTTTCAGAATGTTTTTCTAATTCTTACTTTCCTTTCTTCACTTTAACTTGTGAGGTTGATTTTTCAAATCTAGAAAATCCGATATTTCATCATTAGAGCTCTACTTTGACTATTTTTTCATTGTGAAACAAATTTCTTATTAATATTTAACTATGAGAATCATCTATATTTTCCTTCAATTATGATAATTTTCACATTTTCATTCATTTTCATATGTCATATTATGCTTCCAATTGTTAAAACAGTTCCTTTCCTTCTAAAATTGAATGAAAAACAAAAAGAAGGCGAGAGTGTGTGTGCGCTTCGAGGAGGGTGGATGAGAAAAAAGAAAACAAGAGAGCGTGTGTTAACGAGAGAGTGGATGAGAAAACAAGAGAGGCAGCGAGAGAGTGCGAAAAAGAGTGGATGGCACCAGACACGTTGGCGCATTTCGCGTTCAGGGCACAGTGTACACGTGTTTTAAAAGGAAAGACTGGTTAGAAAGCTATTAGACCTTTGAAGAAAGATATCAAATCTCAAACACTGGAGTTTGAATATCTATGCATCATGCATTTTCTTTTAGATAGAAACAAATCAGATTTTTCAAATCCTACAATTTTTCAGAAACCAATAAAAAACTATGGCGAAATTGACTTTGAAAGATTTGAAAAATCTTCAAGAAGACGAAGAACTCGATTTATCCGCAATGCAATTGACCGAATTTCCACTCGCTTTGCCAATGGTTTCAAGATTATCCACTGTCGATTTGAGCCAAAATAGCATAGCTTTTCTTCCGAACGAAATTTGTAAAATGAATCGATTGATCAGGTTATTTTTTTTGAAGAATTTTTAGATTTTAAAAATAAAAACACAAATGTATTCAGATTGGACCTTGGCAAAAACAGAATTCATCATCTTCCAAACGACATTGGAAATTTGACAAGTTTGCAACATTTGAATTTGCAAGGAAATGACATTGAAGAACTTCCATTGTCATTTGCCAATTTGAAATCTCTCAAATGGTTAGATTTACGTAATAATCCACTCGAAGATAAATTGGCAAAAGCAGCTGGCAATTGTGGAAATGATAAAGAATGTCAAGCAGCCGCCAAAAATGTTTTGAATTTTGTATCAGAACGAAAGAAGTTTATAGAATATCAAAAGGAGAAGGAGAATAAAGTCAACGAGAAAATCAAATTGAAAAATGTTGAGGAAAAGAAAAAAGCAGCTAAAGCAAATGGTAAATTATTTTTTTACGTGACCTTGAAAAATCCAACTCATTTTAAACGTCATTGGATTTAACCAAATCATTTCTCGCTTGTTTGTTTTCATAATTGTTTTTTGAATTTTCCTCCCCCTTTTTCCTTTTGTTTATTCCTTCGTTCTTTATTCTCCATCCATCTGCTTATTATTCTATCGATTTCCATTCTCAGAGCTCCCTTTTTAGAACAAATTCTGAACAGAGAGAGAGAGTTAGAGACGCAGAGTTTGCGCACGCCTCCCTTTTAAAATTTGTTACACATCCAAATGCCTGTTCTCTCTTTTTTCCTCTCACTATTTCTTTCTGTGGCTGGTGAGAAGAAGAAACGAGGAAGACTGTTGTCAGTTTGGTTGCACACGTTCAAAGTGACCAGCACTTTTTTCATATTACATCGCTTTGTTGTTTGCAATTGTACTATATTACTTTTTTCATGGTCCAGCCAAATCCTGTTCTTTTTCAAATATTATTCCCTATATATAAGTATCTGACCTGGCTAGTTTTCTGACATACTTTTTCTTCTTCCAATGATTGACAAGGTTATCTGACACAAATCGTTCGTTCTCGACAAATTTTTGATCTACCCGCGAAAATTTTCGAAATCTTTTTTTATGTTTCTTCGAAAATCATCATTTTTTTCCCGGAAAATTTCCCAGTCTCATTTGAATAGTAAGTATTTCTAACGTTCTTCAACATGCTTTTTGGAACCAAACCCTGTAAAGGTAATTTTTCCTCTGATTCTCTCTAGAAATTCTCTGCTTCATAAATAACAATTTTATTTTCGTGATTTTGATATTTCGTTTCTTTCATATGAGAAAAAATTAGATTTCGTTTAGGAAGTGTTAAATAAAAACTCAACAAACAACACAATGGCCAGTAAGTTTCGAATCTAAAGAAGAAAAACAAAGAACTTTTTTTGTCTTATGAAAATTTCACGTGGTGTTTTTCAGGAAACGCAAAATCGAATGCTCAAAAGGAAACATCGTCAACCAAGGCGACGACCGCAAATGCGCCAGTGAACAACCACAACGAAAAAGGCGCCAAGAAAACGCCAACACACGCGAGAAAATCGGCAGCGAGACAAGAAGAAAACAGATCGAATCAACAACGAGGATTCTTCAGTAGAGGTGAATTTAGGCTAACTAACAGAGAATGATGTGGTCACGGTCTTGTACAAAGTAGATTTAGAGAGAGAGAGAGGCAAAACCTTCGAGAATAATCCGAAAAAAACGCTCCGAAAAATTTTCAATTCAAAAATATTTGTTTACCACTCTTGGGTCTCGAAGTGAAAAGGCGGATGTTCTAGATTTCTTTCGCTCACTGTAGCATTGTAGCCCCTAGGGATCTATTTTGGGGTGGAGCCTGTTTGTTATCAATTTATTTATTCTTTGCTCAATCACAATTAGGCTGACGTGTCCTTACTATTAAATTTGATAATAAAATAAAAATAAACAATTATCTGTTTATTTTCAAAGTTCTAGAAATATTCCTAAAATGTCCAAAGGTTATTGTTTTCCACAAATTTCCCCAAGCCTCTCCTAAATTATATTCAAATTTCCAGTTATTCGCGCGATTTTCCTTCTCGCCTATTATTCTGCGTTCGCCGTTTTGGGTGCTGCAACAGTTTCCATTTTATTCAACTGCAGTTCTGGAGGAACCGAAATTGCTGGATCCAAGCCACTTTGCGCTGATCTCACCAAATTGTCCCAATTCCAAAAAACCATCTCCTCGATTCTTCAACAATGTTGTTAATACTTATGGCGTTGTTTTGAGAGGATACAGGTTGGTTTTTTTTTCGAAATATATTTACCATAAGTTTTGTTTGTTGCAGAAGACAGGCGAATTCAGTGATCAACCCAGTTTCGAAAACTATTCAAGCTCAATGGAAAGAATTCGGAAAATCCAAGTTTGGAGCTCATGTTCAACAATATGTCTACAAAGTTCACGCTTTTGTTGCCGAAAAACTTATCATTGCTCAAACTTTTGTTTCGAAGAAGATTAATGAAGTTATCACTTGGTATAACAATGGAGGAGATAAACAAGTTGCTGAGATTTTGGAACCAGTCAAAACTGTTCTTTTGATTATCGTTGAAGTTGTTCGGGATGTTGCTCTTCATGTTTACGGTTAGCTTTTTTAAATTTTATTTCGAGTCTTTTTTTCAAACATAATTATTCTCAGAAGGTATTGTTTATGTTGCTGGACGTGCTCAACAATTCGTTCATATTTGGTTGGAGAAAGGATTCCAAGCTGCGCTCAAAACATTGAACTAGAAACTTTGAAAAGATTCCTCTGCCCTTCCACAATGTCAATTGTTACGGTTATATCTTCAACCATATACTCGTTCATTTTTCTCTTTTTTTTCTCGAAATTTTAATTTATTTCACTACGTCTTACTGGTTTCATTATACTTTTTTGCCCTTTTTCCCGATTTGGTTTCGTCTTTTGACAGTCTTCATAATTTATAATGAATGATGAGAAGAACAACACGATATTATTTTACTTGACATTTCTTTTAAGTTGTTGACGGAGTTCGATGATTTTCTCGCGATCGCCGGCCGGCAACATTTTCAGATCTTCTTCACTCAATTGCATTACTTGCATCAATAATTCGGCATTTTGCTGCTCTTCTGGTGTTATATCTGGCTGTTGTTGTTGTGGCGCAGGTTTTTTCATTTGCTGTGCTGGCGGAGCAAATTGTTGTGACGGTGGAGCCATTTGCATATGTTGTGGCGGAGGAGCATGCAATTGTTGTTGAGCATGTGGTGGTGGACCTTGATATTGTCCATAACCAGGTGGTTTATGTTGCATTTGTTGAGGTGGAATTGATGTACTTGCTGGAAATAGTAAGATTGAACTTCAGTTTTCTCGATATTCTGAAAGGGGGATAAAATATGTTTGCTTATAGAGATTTTTGAGTCAAAATTTGTAAATTTGGAAGCTCTTCCAGTTTTACAAATTTTGACCCAAAAAATAGTTGATAAAAAAGCATTTTCTTTACACAGTACTCAATAAATTCTCACGAGATGAATTGCACTTTGCAATCAATTTCGCGAAGACTTTCGGAAAAAAATCGGGAAAAACAAAAATGTCGTAAATTGCGACATTTCAAAAATGAGAACAGGGGGGATCCCATTGAAAAATTCTGATTCCATCGAGGCACCACCCATTCGGGATTTTATTAAAAAGGCAGATACCAAGAGTGTTCTCATTTATACCACCTAAATTTTACACGTTTTTGAATCCTAGAATTATTTTCTATTCAAAAAAAAATCAATAAACTTACGTGGAATATTGAAGGGTGGTGGTTGTTGTTGCTGCTGCTGTGGTGGCGGCATTCCCATTGGTGGAAGATTTTGCTGTTGTTGTTGAGGTGGAATTTGATGGAATGGTTTGATAAGAGTCGGTGTTTCTCTATGTAACATTGCCATTGCAACTTGTGGATCAACAATTCTCATAACAACTTGAGCTTGAAGAAGAGCATATGCAAGTTGTGGGTTTGTTGTCAACATTGTTTTGATCTCGTTTGGATTGGAACGCACAACCTGTAAAAATTTGAATGAACTATTTTATTCTTCTTCAGAAGCTCCAGAAACTTACATCTTTCATTTGTTTCATCAATTCAAACATTTTCTCCGGGGCCAAAGAAGTTACACATTTCGCAATCACCTGAAATATTTACGTTTTCGTCTAGTTTTTTGATAAGTGCATATTTACCTCTGGTGCCTTTGATGGGTCGACTTCTGATCCATATGGATTCTCTTCTTGTAATGCAGGTGCTGACTGAAAGGATACTGTTGATTATTCTTGTAAGGATGTGATAAACTCACATGTAAGCTGTTGAATTCCTCCATTGTTGCATTATTTCCTCCGGCTGCACTGTCAACTCGTAATGGACGACCGCCAAGTTCGTGACTGAAAATTATATAATTTTTTGAATAATTTGAATCATAGCCGAGCGGAGATTTGGTTAAACTTTTTAAAAAATCGATAACTACAATGCAAATATAATTATTTCAAATTAAATTTAGAATTAAGCTTTCCTAATCTTTACTGGTAAAATAGATCAAGAAAATAGTTATTTTTATTGATCCAAAATAACTAAATAGAAAACCTTGAACTCTGCAAAACATACCCATTCAAATTTCTAATCGCACTTTCAGCAGTTTGAATATCCGGATATTCGATAAATCCATATCCCTTTGGCTTTCCAGATTCTCTATCATGCACCATTTTTATCGATAAAACCGGCCCAACTTTTGAAAAAATTGCTCGTAAGTTTTCATCGCTGATATCATACGATATATTTCCAACTGAAAAATAAACATTTTTTTGAAATAGGATAATTCATAAACCTACCGAAAACTGATCTTTGTGATCGCTCATTATTCGGACCTCCTTTGAACATCTTTTTTCTCCTTAAAACAAAACGTCTTCAGTCGAAAAAAGAAAACGAAAAAAAAAATAAAAATAGAGAAAAAAGCACGCCGCGAGTTGTGTGCCAGGGATGCCGGATAGGCTCCGCCCATTTAATTTGTTGTGACGTAAACAGTGGCGACTAGGAAGGAGAAATAAAGGAAATAGTGACCTTCGAGAGGAAAAATCTTGTAATTGGATATATTATGATGAAATATCTATATTTAATTTATTGATTTGTTCATAAAAATATGGTGTTGATATTTTATTTATTTATTTATTTTATTGTCATTCAATTCAATATTGAATGTGAAAAACGAAACCAAATCGAATTTTGTTTTTTTTTCGAATTTTGGCTGAATCACTTTTTTTCGATTTTTAGTAGTGATGTTTTGTTGATTTTTTTTGTTGAGAAAATTATAATTTATTTTGCATAAATTAGGTTTTTTATTTGCATCAATCTGCAAAAAAATTAATGAATATAAATTTTCTTGGCTCCGAATTTCGAAACTCGAAAAGTTTGGATTTATTCGTGATTTATTTGCGCAGCTTTCAAAGAAAAAACGATGCGAAAAAATTTCGAATTTTAGTGGAGGAACATGAATGAGCCACATTGTAGTTGAGCATTTGAATTCGAATTTTCGGAGTTTGTTTGTGCGTTCAAAGTGTGTTGAAATGGAATCACGCTCTGATTTTAATTGAATTATATGATTTTTTCAGTTAACTTTACCTGTAAGAGCTTCAGAGATCGGAAAAGTGATTCGCAAGCATTAATTTTTAGAAATGCCTGTCACAAAAAAATGCCGCGTGTAGCGAAGCTCGGGACGTAGTTGACAAGGTGCAGAACGTTTTCATTTCAAGAATTTATTATTTCAGTTTGAAAAATTGATTATGTGTTGATCACTAAAACTGTAGCTATTGGGATTGTAATTATCTCGAAATCTAGTTATCTTTCATACTTCTAGTGATATAATAATTCAAGTGAATATAAAAAATTAAATTTTTTTAGCACATTTCTATGTTTAACTATAATCTAGCTGGCTCATTTACTTCCTCCCCACCCAAAAGAACCCCCAAAAATTCGAAATTTTGCATCATTTTTTTCCCTGGAGAACACCTCGTTTCGTTTTCTGTGTCTATATATACATATCGATGTTTCTTCCTAACGCATCCTTCTTCTTCTTCTTCTTTTTTCTCCCTTCCAACACATTCTCAACAACTTCTTCTTTTTTTCTCCATTTTTCCACGCCTTTTTTTTTCGAAAAAATGCTCCCCTTCTTCGTCTTTTTCTCTTGGCTGGTTTGATTACATCTCCTCAAGAAAAAGACGTCTTTTTTTCGGCACATTGCCAAAAAATTCGAGCTAGCTCTCGCTCGCTACTTCTCTTCGGTGACAAACTTTTTGCTCGCCTCACTTCCTAAAAAGCTTTTTCTCCTTTTTTTCGCTGGATTGTGATGTGAAATAGGTGTTTAATTGAGAAGCGATTGGGTTTTTTCTTTCTAAATACATAGTTATTTTGTCTAGACCCAGAAAAAGACTGTGAAGAGAATTTTCGAAAGAGTCCAGGGGCTTTTTAGTAAATCAAAAGTTAATTTACTGGAAAAATGTTTTATTTGGTGGAAAAAAGTATTTTTAGTATTGTCAATAACCAAATAGATAAAACACGTGCTTCATTTACCGTAATTCTTTCTCATTCCATCTTAAATTTTTTGTGCACTTTTATTTTATTTTATTTAAATTCCCAATTTATCTAATCCCAAGATTAATTTAACAAAATTTTAACATCATCTGAAATCCCCCTCTGAAAAAATTCACAATTTTTTTCGAAAAGCTTTCTCACAGAGCAAATTTCCGCCCCCTTTCCCCAAAACATCCTTTTTTGCTTGCTCGCCAAAAAATCTGTGCCTTTTTTCAATTTCAATCTCATTGTTCCATATTTGTTCCCTCCAAACAAACATGTCATTTTTCAGTTTTTTTGCGGGGGAAAAATAATAATCATGGAAATTTTTTTGAAAAAAAAATAATTTCACGGAAGTTCACGTGAAAAAATCCTGAATCAGATCAACCCAAATTTAAAAATGATAAAATGATCCAATTTTTTCCATAGTTTTTCTCGCAGACTACAAACTCCAATTTTTATGTCCCGTATTCAAATTCCAAAAATCCTCCACACAAATGCATTTTTGAATGACTTTCATTGAGAAACCCCTGAAATGGCTCAAATTTCATTTTTTTTTTTGAAACATGTTTCCTTTTTCAAGGAAAAAACGACAAGCAAAATCCGCGCGTTTTTCAAAAAAAAAAAGGATTAAATGTCAATCAATCATTTTTAGTGCTTTTGCTCGTGGGGTGAGAATTGATTTTTTCATGTTAAATTTTATTGGCAAAAATTAAATTAATTGCACATTTTGAAATATTTATTTTGTTTTTTTTGGCTTTAAAAATGAGCCAAAAGAAAAACGACAGTAAACTTGATTGCATAAAAATATTTCTGGTTTTGAAAATTGCATTTTCAAAATTGGAACAGAGCTTCGAAGTTTCGGAAACTTTTAACTTCAAAATTTTGAAATTCAAAAAAACCCAGTCTCACCCCCCCCCCCAATTCAAAATACAATTTTCCCTACCCAAAAATTCCACAAAAATTCCACATACACATATTTCAACCCCGTTTTCCAACCAGTCTGAAACCAGACCTTCTTAAAAATTGATGAATTTTTTGTGTTCCGCAAACGACGACCAAATAGACACATAAACAAAACTTCTCCGTCTTCTCTGTTTATTATATGGAAAAATTATTAATCAGTATACAAAATTTTTCGTTGATAAAAAATATAATATTGATTTTTCGTTTTTTTTTAAATAAAATTGTGTACTTTTTCAGATGGAAAAGTTGCTTCCGTGTTTGCTCAAGTACACATTTGACCACAACCCTTTTGTTTGTTTTTTTTGTGCTGGTGGATTATTTTGAGTTTCTTTTTGTTCTAGGTCAATTTTTTAGTAATTCAAAATTAATAATAATAATAATAGTTTATTCATAATACATAGTTATCTGACCCGAGCTCGTACCCGAAAACGATTATCTTTCTTCCATAAAAAAAGATAAGAAAAACATGTTGGGAGCTCAAGGATCTACTATTTGTTCGTTGAATGGGTCTCGTCGCGATGTGATGCGCTGTGTGTTTGCGTTTTTCATTTTTACTTTTTTTTTCATTTTTTCCTTTTGTTTCTCCCCGTTTTTTTTGTTTTGCGTGAAAATTGCGATTATATAGTTGAACTGCTATCTCAAGTTTTACATTCAGTCAGAGTTTTCTCTCTCGCAACCTGGTTTTAGGCGCCGCGGTGCTTTTTCAATCAATATGATTCGAAAAAGGCACAAAATGAGTGTTTTAATTTAGCAAATTACAATTTATTGTTTGTTCATATCTTTTGCGTCTAGCAGCTTCAAATAAAAGGTAGGAAAATGAGCTGTTTCGAGTATTTTCTTGAAATTTTTCCTCTGAAATCGCAGATCCTAGAAGGAAACCTATTTTTGCAGCTTTTTTTGCAGATGAACTGAAATAATGTCTTAGTCATTCAACTACTTATAGGAAGTTTTTATTCAATCCGATTTGAATCGCATTTTCGTTAGTTTTAGATAGGAAACGCTGTAGGATGTTACCAAACATCGAAAAAACTCAGAATTAGAGACAATTACAACTTTTTGAAGCTTTTCCATAGAAAACTAAGCAGATAGTGCTCATGTATAAGAACAACGTCGCCCTCAGCAGCTTTCAATAAGTATTATCACTTCACAGAAAGCTGCGTTTTTCACGATAACGTTTCTATTCTGCGCATTTTACTTTGATTACCGTCATAGAACAACAGCAATTAATTTTTCTTTTTGTGAACTCGTGAGATCGTAAAATTTTATTTCTTATAAAGCCATACTTCAAACTTGATGACAAACATTATTTCAGCGCAGAAACCACTCGTGGCGCTGGAAACTCGACACGTGGAAAACCAATGTAAGTTTTTTTCTAAAATAATTCTTCAATTCTTCAATAATCAAAATTTCTTCTATTGATTTGAAAATCAAAAAGTTATTTCTAGATTAATTTGTCAATAATCGCATTTTCTGCCATCATGATAGAAAAATTGACGATAAAAGCGAAATCTTTTAAATTGAATAAACTAACAAGCAATGTGACTCCCTGAAAAAGTTCGGTTTTATGTTCAAATAGTCTTATGGGGAGTTATGAAAAACCCAAAGGGTATTTTGTAAGTGAAAATTCCTTTAATGAGAATCCAGAGGTTGAAATTCTGTTTTCAACAATTTTCAAAAGGAAAGATAAAACGTTCTATTAATGAAAATCCGTAATTCAGTTCAAACTCAACGAAAACACTCGATCAAAACCGCATTTTGAAGCTTGGGTGGGTGGATCTTTTGAATTGTTTTTTTGAGCGCTATTATCTATAAACCTTTGAATTTGATACATGAAAAAAATTCTAATTATTTTTTCGAAAAAAAAGCGCTCCACAACAATTGAAAAGGGGGCAATTCAAGCTTCAAAACGCGTTTTTGATCGAAATGTTTTGTTGCGTTCGAGCTGAATTACGAACCTTGAAAAATATAATGTTTTTTGACTTCTTGAAAATTGTTCAGAATTCCAACTTCCTGATTCTCATGAAATACATTTTTACTTACAAAATCCCTATTGGGTTCGTCATAACTTCCCGTAAGACACTATTCAAACATACAACCGAACTTTTTCAGGGGGTCACATTGGGATCTATTCCTTGTAAAAATGAACTGGAGAACCATTATCCAAAATCAGAAAACTAAAAATAAATCGTACGAAAGTTTTTTAGCATGTAATTTTCCCTGTTGGTGATCCATCTCATTTCAAGATCAATGTCGGAAAACCTTGCATTTTTCGAAAAAAATTCCGTCATAGTGAGAATTTTTCCATATCATTTCACTTTTAAAAATTTCAATAATTTTCATGAAACAAA